CGGTTCACAAACAGTAAAAACAGTAGAAACAGCAGTGGTTCCATACAACATATAACAATTGACTTAACACATTATCCATAAATTACCAATAAGCAATTACAATGCACAATTATTACAAAAAATAACCGTACCCAATCTTCTCATCATCCAAGCGTAGTCCAGGTTCGTCGTCCATTGTTCCATTCCTATGTTCCATTACCAGATTGCACTAAATTACTCAAACGCCTGCAAAAACATCCAGGTCTTCACCTTTTTGCGGAATACCATTAGAGATGGTGCTAGTCTAATGTCCGTAGGAAGGGCGTTCCACAGCCGAGGAGCCACCACCGAGAAGGCCCTATCTCTCGTCCCCGCCAGCCGTGCTTGAGAAGCAGGCGGGATCGAGAGCAGGGCCTCCCCGGAAGATCTCAAAGTCCTGGTGGGTTCATAGGCAGAGATGCGATCGGATAGGTAACTTGGGCCGGAACCGTTTAGGGCTTTATAGGCCAGTACCAACACCTTGAATTGGGCCCGGTAGCAAATCGGCAGCCAGTGGAGCTGGCGCAACAGGGGGGTTGTGTGCTCCCTGCGCTCCGCTCCTGTTAGAATCATGGCTGCCGCACGTTGGACTAATTGAAGCTTCTGGGCCGTCTTCAAGGGCAGCCCCACGTAGAGAGCGTTGCAGTAGTCTAGGCGGGATGTGACAAGAGCGTGGACTACCGTGGCCAAGTCAGGCTTCCCAAGGTACGGGCGCAGCTGACGCACAAGTTTTAAATCCCTACAAAGGTACTCTTAGGTTGTAGGTGAACTATGCATCCCAGTACCTACAACTCATATAAATCATGGTGATTTCTTCCCAAACCTTTCTATTATGTTCCGTTGGTGAGCAGTTCCTCTGTTTTGCTTTTTTTTTGGTGTCAGGAGTGACTTGAGAAACTACAAGTCTCTTCTGGTGTGAGAGAATTGGCAGTCTGTAAGGACATTGCCCAGGGGACGCCCGGATGTTTGATGTTTTACCATCCTTGTGGGAGGCTTCTCTCATGTCCCCGCATGGAAGCTAGAGCTGACAGAGGGAGCTTAATCCGCTTTCCTTAGATTGGAACCGTTGACCGATCTTTCCAGCACAAGGGTTTAAACCACTGTGCCACTGGGATCTCCTCTCTGTTTGCTGTGTGCCAGAGAAAATAATAGGAAAGGGTTGAGGGAGGAGGCAGTGGGCAGGGTCATGCAAATTCCTCACCAATTGAGAGAGTAAGGAACACTGGGATACCTGTGGTGGAGGAAACACATAAAATCTAGGATGAAATTGTTCCTGTATGAAAGCCTTCACTTGGGTGGTGAGCAGTATTATGTTTGTGGAAGAAATTGGCAGGGTTATGTACCTGTTCATGGTGCTCACTATAACCTACAAGGTCATTGGAAGGAGAGCCATTGTTGTCTCCTGAGGAGTGGGAGCTATAGCTGTTTGTGGAGGTAGGAGGCTGTCTGTGTAAATGGACACCCCAGCCACACACACGCACACACATACATACAGATTTTCACTTTTATGAGTATAGATATATTTATATTATATTATGTTACACTATGTAGCACAATTTTTGTTCCTGGATTATCAATGTCCTTTCCTAATTGGTCCCATCATAAGAATATGGGGAAAGTTTATTAAACTGCAAACACTTTGTTTTTGTTTGGACATCCTGCAGCACATTTTGCTCTAGTTTTTGAGTGAATAAAATTTGAAATAAAATTTATGTTCCTGCTTTGAAAGTGTTATTTCCTGTTTAATTGTGTGGTCTTTACTATGAAAGTTGTTGTTATACTCCAGAAACTTCGTTTTTGTGGGTCAAACTATGTTGAATAGGTCGAGACTCCATGAGATGCTCATTGAAAAATTATAGCAAAATGTGCTATAGCAGGACATCCGAACAAAATTTGGCAGTTTAATACACTTTCCTAATTTTTTAATGATAGAACCAAGTAGGATAGGACATTGATAACCCAGGAACAAAAATCATGTTGTATAGTGTTATAATATATGTGTGCATATATATTCTAATTATATTTATATATATTATAACGTTATAATAAATATAATTATAAATATATTATAATATTTATTATTACTTTTAGTTTATGTTATAATTGATTTATTATATCTTATGTCATTATTTTATATTATTTTATTATCTATATAAATAAAAATATAATGTTCGTTTGTGGGATTAACAGAACTCAAAACCCACTGGACGAATTGACACCAAATTTGGACACAAGACTCCTAACAATCCAATGTATGTCCTTCACTCAAATTGATTTTGTCATTTGGGAGTTGTAGTTGCTGGAATTTATAGTTCACCTACAATCAAAGAGCATTCTGAACCCCACCAACAATGGAATTCAATCAAACTTGGCGCACAGTTCTCCCATGACCAACAGAAAATACTGGAAGGGTTTGGTGGGCATTGACCTTGAGTTTTGGAATTGTAGTTCACCTACATCCAGAGATCACTGTGCACTCAAACAATGATGGATCTGGATCAAACTCAATATACTCAATATGCCCAAATGTGAACACTGGTGGAGTTTGAGGAAAATAGAATCCTGACATTTGGGAGTTGCAGTTGCTGGGATTTGTAGTTCACCTACAATCACAGAGCATTCTGAACCCAGCAACGCGTGGCAGGGGATGGCTAGTCTATATAAATAAAAATGTAATGTTTGTTTGTGGGATTAACATAACTTAAAAACCACTGGACGAATTGACACCAAATTTGGACACAATATATCAATCAGGCCAACAAGTGACCATCACTCATAAAAACACTGAGAAACATAGCAGAAGAGACTTAAAAAGCAAAAAAAAAAATACATTGCAATGTATGGGAAAAGCCAAAAAATAAAAAATACATTGCAGTGGATGCACAAAACCACATATATACACAAATATATACACACACAAAACACATATACACAAACTGGGCCACAGCAATGCGTGGCAAGGACGGCTAGTATTTTATATTATTATTAGTATTATATTTAATTATATTTATATTATTATTATTATATTATAATGTATTATTATTTAACATTGTATTTTATAACATTCATAGTATAATTTTATTTTTTATTATTTTATTATAATATTTTATAATCATAGTATTATATTTTATTATTTCGTTATATTATATTTTATTATTTATATTATTGTTATTATTTATATTATTATTATTATATTTATTATTATTCTATGATGTATCCCTATCTTGAGAATTCCACTGTGTTTCTATTATTATTATTATTATTATGTTATTATTGCTATTGTTATTATTTATATTTTTATTATTTTCCATTATCATTATTATGTTTTACTGTTCTTTTATATTATTAGATTATTAAATTATTACTACTATTATTGCTATATATACATGAATATAAATATATATTAATACATTTTTCCCAAGTTTTATGATAGAACCAATTCGGAAATGACATTGATAACCCAGGAACAAAAATCATTGTGTTACATAATATTAGTAGTAGTAGTAATAGTAGTATTTTTGTTGTTGTAATTTTCTAGAAGAATAAGTAAAACCCTATTATTCCCAGATAGGAAGACACAATCCAAACCCTCCTGACAGAGGGCCTTTTCGTGGTGTAGGAAAGGAGGCACGAGACACAGATGCTTCTCTCATTCTGCTTTCCAATATGGTTTCTATGGCGGCTCCCCAAAGACTGTGCATTCTGCTCCTTAGACAATTATGAACATACTCTTTTTTTTTCTTTTTTTTTTGCACATTAGGAAAACAGGTTTGTGGGGTCTTGCGCACACAGGTGAAGCCATGGCTTGCCAAAAAGGAGAGAGGGAAACCCAAAGGGGAGGGGTGTAATACATGGACTCAAGCCTCGTACGCCATCGCCCTTCCATTTGCAAAGCCCTGAAAGCAAAACAAGCATTTATGCTGAACATGATGTGCAAAAAGCAGCCAAGACTCTGGCTTCGTGCCGGCCGTTTTGCTCCTGAGCTGCAGCTACTTTTCCCCTTCGAGGATTCTGCCCTTTTCTTTGTTGTGTCTTTCTCTTTCGACCAGCTTTTTGGGGAGTGGGAATGACATGGCTTTTGATGGGGGCTTTCAAAACACCACTTGGCCGAAGGGAAGTGGGTGCTTGGATGTCAACACCCTTTGGTTGCACAAGGGGTCTCTTGTGCGGGTGCCGTGCAAGGTCTCAGTCCCCAGGCCATTGCAAAGGAAGGCCTGCATCCCGTGACTGGTGGCCGTGCTTTTGGGTGCGTTCCTGCCCTCCCCTGGAATCCCCTTCTTTGTGTCCCCCCAAGCCATGTTGATGAGCGTTGGGTGTTTGCTTTCGCAGAGGTCTTCTAAGGCCAGCCGCTGCCGCCTTCTCCGATGGGCCTCAGAGGGAAGGAAGTGGGCTTGGGGAGGGAAGGGAGGAAGCAGCCTGGCTTACCTGATGTGGGCCCCTTTGGGGAAGTTCCTTTTGGAACTACGGGTCCTAGACTCCCCTTCCAGTGGGGGTCTGAGAACTTGGAGGGGATATGTGTTTAGGGTATCTAGTACTGCTACTTTCCCTTTTATCCTCCTTCTCTGCTTCCTCTTCCTGCTCCTCCTATCCTTCTCCTTCCCCTTCTCCTGTTCTTCGTTCTTTTCTTCCTTCTCCCCTTTCCCCTTACTCTTCCTTCTCTCCGCCTTCTCCTATTCCTTCTTTTCTCCTCCTACTCTCCTTCTCTTCCTTAGTCTTATTGAATGTTTCTTCCTCCTCTTCTTCCTCCTCTCCTCCTCCTTAGTCTTATTGTGCGAGCAGATCATTAGCTGATTGTTTTCCTTCTCTCCTCTTCTTCTCCTTTCTTCTCTCCTCCTCAGTCATATTGTACTGGCTGACCATTAGCTGACCATCTTCTCTCCTCCTCTTCTTCTCTCCACCACCACCACCTCCTCCTCCTCCATACTCTGTTGTATGGGCTAACCCCGAGCTGACTGTTCCTCTCTTATCTCCTCTTCCTCCAGCCCACTGGTTCCGGCATGGAGGGCGGTGTGGATGGCCCCATCGGGATCCCCTTCCCAGACCATAGCAGCGACATCCTGAGCAGCCTAAATGAACAGCGCAACCATGGCCTGCTGTGCGACGTCGTCATCCTGGTGGATGGGCAGGAGTTCCCCACCCACCGCTCGGTGCTGGCAGCCTGCAGCGAGTACTTCAAGAAGCTCTTCACCTCAGGCCTGGTGGTCGACCAGCAGAACGTGTACGAGATCGACTTTGTGACGGCCGAGGCCCTGTCGGCGCTGCTGGAGTTCGCCTACACTGCCACGCTGACTGTCAGCACCTCCAATGTGGGCGAGATCCTGGACGCCGCTACACTGCTTGAGATCCAGGCCGTCCGGGAGGTCTGCACTGACCTCCTGGAGAGGAAGATTCTGGCCAAAAATCATGACCAGATGGACACAGTAGATCAAATTGATCAACGCAACCACCTCCGAGCGAAAGAGTACCTTGAGTTCTTCCAAAGCAACCCCATCAACGGCCAGCCAGCGGGTGCTTTCTCGTGGACCAACCAAGACCTGCGCGACCTGCAGCGGCTCGGCTTCCGGGGGCCTGACGGGACGGCGACAGAGGACGAGCCGGACTCCAATGGCATGGACTTCTACTCCCAGGCCTCCGCTGCAGCCCTCAGCGACAGACCAAAGCCCAGTGAGTGCAACCCCGACAGCAACCATGGCCTGTGGCTGGACCGGGAGGAGGAGAAGCCATCCCTGTTCCCGCCCTCCCAAAACGGACAGGACGAGGGGCCCCCACCACCTGTCCCGCCAGACGCGCCAGACACAGGCGACTCCCCGGCCTTTGGCCTCAAGGAGGAGGAGGCTGACCTGGCCCGCGAGGTGGATGGCCTGGCTGCCAGCGCCCTCCTCCAGCAGATGATGAACTCTGTGGGGCGCCAGCAGCAGCAACAAGGCGGCGAGGAGGAGCGCAAGGAGGACGTCGATGGGGTCATGGATTATTACTTGAAATACTTTAGCACTTCCCAGGAGGGCCGGGAGTACTCCCCGTGGTCGCAGAAGGGGGAGAAGAAGATCCGGGCAAAAGCATTCCAGAAGTGCCCCATCTGCGAGAAGGTGATCCAGGGGGCTGGGAAGCTGCCCCGCCACATCCGGACCCACACCGGCGAGAAGCCCTACGAATGTAACATTTGCAAGGTCCGGTTCACCAGGTGAGGGGTTGACCCGCGGGTGGGAGGGGCAGAAGGAGGGACATGCACAATGGGGCACGTTCCCACTCACCTAAGAATAGAATAAGTTTATTGTCGTCGTACATTGTACAATTAAATTAAGTGCCTTCCCCAGCACTTCCTTAGCTTTAGGATAAAAGCTATCTCCCAGTCTTTTTGTCCTTGCCTTTGTCATCCTATACCGCCTGCTAGGTGGCAATAATAAGACATTGTAAGGAAGGTCTTCATTCTCAAAGCTAGAGAAGAGAGAAAGTAGGCAGGCAGTGGTCCCAATGACACTCAAGCAACACCGAGTATATACACGAATAAATAGAATAGAAAAGAATAGAATAGAATAGAATAGAATAGAGTAGAATAGAATAGCTTTACTGTTATTGTGCATTGTACAACGAAATGCAATGCCTTCCTCAGCACACACCACAAAACAACACACCCATCCTTCCACACTCCCACCACCACGACACAGCTGCCAATGCCACTTCAGTGCAAAATCATGGAGTTCAACAACAACAATAATAATTTTATGTGATTGATGTGAACTTGGCTTGGACTTTTAGGCAGCCATTAATCAATGATGATGATGATGATGATGTTGATGTGTGATTGATATGAACTTGCTCAAATTTTTAGGTGAACATTAAGCACATACTAATGATGACGATGATGATAATTTTGTGTGATTGATGTGAACTTGGCTCAGACTTTTAGGTGGACATTAATCACATAAAATAATAATATGGTCATGTTCCAGTAGCATTGTCTCTTGACGTTTCACCTGCAACTGACAGATTACTGACAGGAGCAGGGTACAGGGAGCACACAACTCCTTTGTTGCGTCAGCTCCATTGGCTGCCAATTAGCTTCCGAGCATAATTCAGAGTGCTGGTGTTAACCTACAAAACCCTAAACTGTTCCAGCCCACTTTACCTGTCCAAACGGATTCTCCCCTATGAACCATCAAGGCTGTTAAGATCTTCTGGAGGGGCCCTGCTCTCGGTCCCACCACATTCGCAATCGCGTCTGGTGGGGATGAGAGACAGGGCCTTCTCGGTGGTGGCCCCTCGGCTGTGGAACTCTCTCCTGATGGAGATCAGATCTGCCCCTTCCCTCCTGACGTTCAGAAAGCTAGTGAAATCCTGGCTCTGGGGCATAGCATTCCCAGAATAATTGGTTGAGTTCAGCTATAACCTAATAACTACTGACCACACTGGCAGATTGAGATGAACTTGATTCTATCCTGGCGTTTTGGCTTATATGTATTTATTCTGTTTGTATTTTAACTTATTACGATTTTATGATGTTTTAGTTGTATTTGTGTATTGAACTTCTGTTGTTAGCCGGTCTGAGTCCCTCTAAGGAGGTAGAGAAGATCGGGGTACAAAAGTTTTAAATAAATAAATAAATAATAACTGTGGCTAATGGCATCTTCAGAGGTCTGTCCAGAGTGGGGAAAAGAACTCTTATCTGTTTAAAGCAAATGTGAATGTTGCAATGAGTAATCTTGAATTAGCATTTGAGTAGCCACGAAGTTTGCAAAGTCAATCAGTGAGGCTCTCTGCATAGAGTTAGTGTGGTTGTTGTTGCTTGGAGTCATCCTCTGTGAGGTGTTAATTGGCACTTGATTGTTTGCTGTCTGGAATTCCCCGGTTTACAGAATCAAGACAGTAAATAAGGAACACCAATCAGGAAAACTCCAGACAGCAAACCATCAAGTGCCAGTTAACTCCTCTCAAACAGAGGGTGCCTCTAGGCAACAGAGGCCAGGTTACCTCTATGCAGATATCCTCACTGATTGACTTCATAGCTATTCAAGCTTGCCAGTTGCAACAGACAGAGGTTCTATCTTCCCCCCTGGACATCATTCCACAGGGATATATACACTCCACTTGCTTCACCACCTCTAAGCAGAGACCCTCACTGATTGATTTTGCATCTTCATGGCAATTCAATGCTATTCAAACTTGCTCATTGCAACATTTGTACTTGCTTGAAACAGACAAGGGTTCTTTCTCCCACCCTGGACATCATTCCACAGGTGATATATACACTCCACTTCCCTCACTGCCAACAGACTCTCTTAAGATGCCAGCCACAGATGCAAGTGAAACATCAGGAGAGAATGCTACTGGAACATGGCCATACAGCCTAAAAAACTCACAGCAACTTATAATAATAATAATAATAATAATAATAATAATACGGTAATTGGCCCATGCCTGACTTATGGCGATGACATGCTTCTTTTTTCCCTCTCTTCTCGCTGTTTTGTTCCCACAGGCAGGACAAGCTGAAGGTCCACATGCGGAAGCACACGGGCGAGAAGCCGTACCTGTGCCAGCAGTGCGGGGCGGCCTTTGCCCACAACTATGACCTGAAGAACCACATGCGCGTCCACACCGGCCTGCGCCCCTACCAGTGCGAGAGCTGCTTCAAGACGTTCGTCCGCTCCGACCACTTGCACCGGCACCTTAAGAAAGACGGCTGCAACGGCATCCCCTCCCGCAGGGGCCGGAAACCCCGGGCGCGGGAGGCGGCCCTCGTCACGCCTGGAGCGGCTTCGAATCCCGATGGAAATGACGACAACGAGGAGGCCGAGGAGGAGTATCCAGAGGCCGCCTTGCCGCCGCAGGACGGCCTCGAACAGCACTTTGTCGACGACGACAATGGCGGCGACGGCTCCGGAAGCCTGAATGTAGCGGGGGGTTCGTCTGAGGGGAACGCACCGGGACTCTCCTAAACCAAAAAGTCAAAACAAAACAAATAGAGTGTCACAAAATCTAGTTATTCACTTTCCTCCAGAGAAAGAGAGAGAAACAACAAAAATTTACATACACACACGTATATATAAATATATATGGTTTCCTTTTTGCCCTATTGGTGGGGGGAAAGAGGAAAAGGAACGTACAGAATTAGCCTTATAGGTCTATCATATATCTAGCTATCTATCTCTTGGTGTGGCCCTTCTTCCCCGCATTGCCCTCCCACCCCATATGTTTCTGCTATATAAGGGCCTCTGGTCGAAAAGAGTTCGAGAAAGCGGGTCAAGAAAAAATAGTGATAGAACATGATACGAAGCATCCAGAATTGTTGTTTGTTCAGAGTTTAAAAGCTATATTATGTATATGTATATATATATATATATATATATATATATTTACACACATATAAATGTTATAACGGAGATTTTTTATCTATTTTGGTACTTAAGACAGTTCCAAAGGGATACCAGACAGGAGAGGGCAGTGTGCTTTAAATTGTAAAGAAGCTTAGGGAAGATATTTTTCTCTTTCTTTCTTTCTTTCCTCCTTCCTTCCTTCCTTCCTGTCTTCCTCCCTCTCTTCTTTCCTCTTTTCCTGTCTGCCTTTCTTTCTTTCTTTCTTTCTTTCTTTCTTTCTTTCTTTCTTTCTTTCTTCCTTCCTTCCTTCCTTCCTTCCTTCCTTCCTTCCTTCCTTCCTTCCTTCCTTCTTCCTGCCTGCCTGCCTGCCTGCCTGCCTGCCTGCCTGCCTGCCTGCCTGCTTGCTTTCTTTCTTTCTTTCTTTCTTTCTTTCTTTCTTTCTTTCTTTCTTTCTTTCTTTCTTTCTCTTCGTTTCTTTCTTTTTCCTTCCTTCATTCTTTTCTGCCTCCTTTCTTCCATCCTTCCTTCCTTGTTTCCTGTTTTTCATTCCCATCTTCTTTCCTTCCTTCCTGTCTTCCTCCCTTTCTTCTTTCCTTCCTGTCTTCCTTCCATCATTTTTTCTTCATTTCTTGTTTCCTTCACCACCAGCCTAAGGTGTTTATTTTCCAATCCCACTTCTCCCTTTCCTTGATTTGTAATTTAAATACTTTCCATAAAGATATGAAGTTCAGAAAGGGTTTCTTGCATTTGCTACCTGTGTGCAAACCCTTCTCAAAATAATAATAGTAATAATAGTAGTAATAGTTGTTGTTGTTGTTGTTGTTATTATTATTATTATTATTATTAGTAGTAGTAGTAGTAGTAGTAGTAGTAGTAGTAGTAAAACCCCTTATTTTCAAGGTAGTTGTGAAGAGAGCCATTTGGTCCTCTTCCATCCCTATTTTAGGACCCTGGGAACTCTGTAGAAAAAGGGGAAATAACTTGATCACCAAAATTGACACAAAGAAAAACTTATATTATTATTTACACACGCTCATACTCACCTTTCCCTTACAAACCTTTTAAATGCATAAATTGTGTTGGGAAAGCATTGTAAACCTTCCTAGACCTTCTTTTTGGAAATGAAAACGGTTTACGGTTTCATTCCCATGAAAGCAAAATGGTTCCACATTCAATACATTTTATGATTTGTTCTATGGTCCTTTTGGGAGAAATTAGAAGGAGAAAGGAAATGTGCTGGACCCATAACCTTTATTAGATTGTCCGTATTTCTGCTGGACCCATAAACCTATTAGGGTCTCCGTATTTATCTGCTAGGCCCATAACCCTATTCAACTCTCTGTATTTTTTCTAATTTCCCAAGTTTGGTGAAATATAAACATCTCAATATCCCCATGTTTTATGACCATTGTATCTGTAAGAAAACCTGTTCTATCTTTCCTTTCGCTGAGTTCTTTTCTTTTCTTAATCCTTGAGATTTTTCCCACATCAAATGGTGATCTTTTGGGATTCTGACGCTCCTTTTCCCACATTTCTAAACAGATTAAATAGAGTGAAAGTTAGCAGGATATATCAGGTTTCAACGCTTAAAAAACCCAAGGACACATTTTTAGACAGCATTTTTAAAATATAAAAATAAGAGAGAGAGAGAAAGATTTTAGTATTTTTCTGTTTTTTTCCCAAGCACTTTTTAGATTTTTTTTTTTTGCATAATTTGAAGATTTTGCAAAAGATGAACCTCTTGGTGGAATGTAATGGAGGCAGGGAGTCGTGTGTTTGCGGACAAAGTTTGTCAGGGATGTTTTGGGTGTTTTTATTTAATACAGAAGAAGAAAAAGCAATAAAAAACACAAAAAATAAGATCAGAAACAAACAAACAAGTCTTAGCACTTTGAAACGGAACGGGTACTTTGAAATCACTTTATCTTAATTTAAAAGATATATATATATATATATTAAAAAAAGAAAGACAGAAAGCGCCTATTGTTTACACGTTGGAAACCCTCTTCTGCTACTGGAAAGAAATGTGTATTATTGTTTATGGTTTTTATTATTCAAAAATAATAATGATAATTCCTAGAATTTGAATTTATTTTTGTAAGAGAGAAGAAGACAAAAAAAAAGCCCCCACAAATATGTTTGTCAATCTCTCAATATATATTTGGAACAAAGAGAGAGTGAAAGAGACAAAAATGGGAGGATCTGAGTTAATTAGATTCTGTGACACAGTGAAATTTAGAAATATCTATCTACATTAAAAGACAAAAAAAGCAACCCTCGGAAGTGATTCGCACTTCGGGGGGAGAAAAAATGTACACAATGGAAGCTTGAATTTTTAAGCAGGAATCATGGGGTTTTGTTTTTGTGTATGGTTTATTTTCCCTCTTTTTATGTTCTTTTAAAAGAGAAAATATGTCTTATATATAGCCAGTGCTGACCTGTGTGCGTTCTCATTGGTTTTCCCGTCATCCTCGGCTGCTAAGTCTTGGGACCTCCTTCCGTTGTTGTTTTGGACTTCTTGGGCTTCCTGCAAGTTTTTGGATAAACGGGGAATCCATCCGTTTGCATTGGCACTCCTCCCGTAAAATATGGTTTTCAGCATAGTTTCCGTCTGCTTTTGCGATCATATGCATTATCCTCATTCCCCCTCCCTCTAATTCGGACGCTGTTCAGTCAGTTTGCTTCCACTGCAGACAACTGCAAAGAGTCTTTTATGAACTCAAATATAGTAATCCCGGTGTTGATCCTATGAGGACAGTTGCGAAGAGTCTTTTATGAATTTGAATATAGTAATTCCGGTGCTGATGCTCTGTGGACAATTGTGAAGAGTCTTATATTTGAGGAGGTAAAAGAAGGTGTGAAATCTTGCAATTGCAGAAAACATAGCCAAAGACGAGCATTTTCTCCCTAATTTGGAGCCTGGCCAAGCTCTGAGCAATTTCCACACCTTTTTCAAAGCTCCATTTTGGTTAGTAAAAGGAATAAGCTGTTTTGCCTAAGCAAATCCAAAATGATAGCACCCTGCCTTCAATGGAGAAACAAACTTTTTGTCCCAATTTCTCTATGGTTGCAGTTTTGCAGTTCTGTGATATATTTTTTTTAAAATCTCTAATCGTTTGGAGGAAATAAAAAAAAGACATTTTTTTAAAATCCAAAACAATCAGATAAATTCAATGGAGAAATTTATCTTTCCATCCCACTTTCCCAGCCAAGATCTATAACCACAATTTCTGTATTTTTCTTCAGTTTTGGTCAATGAAAGGGATAAAGGGCGTTTCTTTATCCAAAGCAATTGGACGCATTCAAAGGAGAAACAATCTTTCCCAGCTAAGATCTACTTTTGCAATTTTGCAGTTTTCTTACCTTTTAAAAAATCTGTTTTTAGACGTTTGGAGGAAATAAATAAACAGGATAAAGGCAGACATTTCTTTATCCAGAACAATAGGATAAATTCAAGGGAAAAACGACATTTCCCAGCAATTTCCGTATTTTTCTAAAAGCCTTCCATTTTGGTCAACAAAAGGGATAAAGATCAATGTTTCCCTGACGAAATACAGAATGATAAGATGGAGAAATATTATTTTGTCCCGCTTCCCCAGATTGCCCCTTTTTCTCACCCGGAGGAATTGCGAAGGAGGTCCCAGCACTTACTTCCATGTGGATGCGGCGCAGTTTCCCTCCTTCTTCCTGCAAAGATCCTCAGCTTAGCACTGACTTTAAAACAAACCGATTGCATATGCAAAACAACACCATTAGACTTCGATGTAAATAGGGTAGTGACATGAGGTTCTTTTTTCGTGATCTGAAGAGTTGTGGTATCTCTCCCCTCCGTTCATGTTTTGTGTGCATTCCTCTCCTTTTTCTTTCTTTCTTTCTTTATCTTGCTCTTTCCTTCTTTCTCCCCATCTCGCTCGCTTCCAGATAACATACGTATGGCACAAGAAATATTCCTCTCCCTTTTTTGGATCATTTTTATCCCCTTCTAGAGTTCAGGGATTTCGATTTTAAACTTTTCCCTAGGTGACTTCTTGACATCCTTTTAATACAGAAGGAATCCCTTCTCACACACACACACACACACACACACATATATATCCCAGCAAAAGATGATATGGCCGGGATTACACCATTTTCTAGTGATCCTCTCCAGACCCCGTAGGAGTTGCCCCCTCCACTTTCTCAGCTCTTTTTGCAGATGTAAAAGGATCGGAGACAGAGGTGAGGCAGACTGTTTTATAGAATGTATCCCTTTTTCCCCATTTTGTTTTCCCACTACTTGGGTTTGTCTTAGGATCTGCTTGTTTCCCATTTGTCCCATTTGAGAAGCCTTCCCCCAATTTCTCACTCTCTGCAGGAACCAAGGTTTTATTTTCGGGGCAACCTTATTAGAATTTATTAAAGGAGGGAAACACAAGGCCCGCCTCAAACTCCCAACATCTGGGGTTTGTTCAGGGAAGCCAAAACTGGTCCGAAAGTGGAATATTTCGCAGTGCAGATCTCTTCTTCCGCTGTCCTTCCATTCCTCCCTCCACTGCCATTGTGTTCCTTCCTTTTCCCCCCTTTGAGCAGGGATAGCAGTGCACCTTATTGCAATGCGGATGTATGTATGTTTCTACGGGGAATCTGTGGGGTGATGGCAACACTTTTAACACAAGCCTTGGATGCGTTTGCACTAAAAAAAATGAAACCAGAGATTTTATGTGTATTTGTGATGCCTTAACCTCCGTGATTTCCGCACTTTTGTCCGAGCGATGGCCGCTGAATGAAAGAGACCCGGTTCTCTTTGCACGCAGGTTTTTTCCCATTCGCAAATCAGCTAATTATATATGTTTATAGATATATATATGACATTTGATTTTTTTTAAAGAAAATTATTTTATTTTTCAAAAACAAATTATGCAGGTTGTGATAAAGTGTTGCCAAAGAAATTGTCGACTTCTACTGCATTTCAGGAAAAAGAAGAGGCTCAACTCCTCAAAAGACATCTCTTGTTTTTGTTTTTTGTTTAAAATGATGATCGTTCTCAATGTAATTTCAAGTCCAGTAGTTGAACCTGTATTTTTCAGGGTTTGTGTGTCTTCTCTTTCTTCTAAATATAATAATTTTTTTGGAAGGGGAAAAAGGTTGGGCCGGTTTCATTCTCGTTCCACCATTGCTCATTCCGCCATTGACGTCCACCGATAGTTTGGGAAACATTCAGGGTTTTGCTCAAAATAATATCTCTGAAATTGCTGGAGTGAAGGATAACGATAATAATCATGGTAATAAAACCCAAGAATGTCCATCTAAAATCTTTGGGATTAATCAGGGAAGGAGAATGTTTTGATGTAAGAATGTGGAGATTTAGAAGGACACACAAACCCTGCTGCGTTGTCTTTGAACCTGTGGCGGAAACGCCATCTCTGTCCCGCTCACTTTTTGTACTCATTCCTTTTCCCTTCCTTGTGTTTGCGATTCCATCTTGGCCTCATTTTGAATGTTGAAAAAGGGCAGAAGATGTCAGGTTATAAGGGTCGATTTGGATTAATTCTGTAGATCTTAATAGAACGAATTTCGTGCCGAACAGAAAACAATACAATACAATAGAAAACTTTATTACTGTCACTGACCAGCACAGACAGAAAACAACGGCAGACAATTGTGTCATTTTTGCATTTCCCCTTCATCTCGTTCCTTTTTAAATTAAATATCCCCCCTTTTGGGGGATCTCTGTTCTCCTCAAATATTTAGGATGAATTCCGTTGTTTTGGGGAAGTATATTTCTGAAAAATCTAGGACAAATTCCATTGGGTAAAGGAAAGTATATTTCTGAAAAATCTAGGATGAATTCCGTTATTTTTGAGGAAGTATATTTCTGAAAAATCTAGGACAAATTCCATTGTTTTGGGGGAAGTATATGTCTGAAAAATCTCTTAATGTATTGTCGAAGGCTTTCATGGCCGGAATCACTCAGTTCTTGTGGGTTTTTTCGGGCTATATGGCCATGTTCTAGAGGCATTTCTCCTGACGTTTCGCCTGCATCTATGGCAAGCTTCCTCAGAGGTCTCTGAGGAAGCTTGCCATAGATGCAGGCGAAACGTCAGGAGAAATGCCTCTAGAACATGGCCATATAGCCCGAAAAAACCCACAAGAACTGAATCTCTTAATGGTTAGGAAAAGGATGGGGAAGACGTGGGTGTTTGTCACACAGAGTAGTGTTAGCCCTCTAATAGCACAACCCAAATCAGTAAAGAAATCAACATTATCTATATTTCCGCATTGACCCATATATATATATATATATACATATATACCATGTTCTTATATATATAATTAGCCATTTCCCCTGCTTCTCACAGAAGCAAAATGGCCTTGCTTTAACTATTACAAATCAGGACCATTTATCACCCCCAAAAATGCCTTAAGCATTTTCTTTTAATAGAGAAAATCTCAAAACCGCTAAGGATTTTTTTCCTTCTTTGCACTAATGCTGAGATTGTGTTGCACTTTGTTAAAAGAGAGAAAGCTTTCGAGGAGAAGAAGAGACCCTTATATAGTAATAAGGGGCGGCTTTTCAGGGACCTTTATTATGGGGTTTTTTTGTGGGGGGGAAGAGACCGTTCTGTGCGGAATAATAATGGAAGTGATTGGCTTTTGTTTGCATGCAGCCTTGGTGCGGAAGGAAGGGCCCCGATTCAGGCCGAGCTCGAGCGAAGCGTTAGGTTCTCCGTATCTTTTCCCGGATGGGAATTTCCCAAGAAAACCAGGTGCGCCACGGCTCAAATTTATGTTAACCCCAAATGCGATTTTTAACCCTTTCTTCTTCGTTCGTTCTGATTTCTATCTTGCGACCCGTACACGGTCAGCCTTCTTTCCTCCTCGGTCCGACTTTCCTATTTAAAGACAAAAGAAACTATAGATCTATTTATATATATATTTTTCAGCGGGAATTTTATTTAAGTTCAGAGAAACACTTTAAAAGCGATTGTCGTTGGGATTTTATTTTTGAAACAAAAAAAAAGAATATAAATATATATCTCTCTTCTCGCTATATATATTTTTTAAAAAGGAGCGTTCTGTTCTAGTTTTGTCCCATGTGAGATGAGGTCCTTCTAGTTCGGTCTCCCCTTTTTAATCCTATGGAGAATATATTAATTAAGATGCCGTATTGATGCTGTTTTTCTAAGATATAGGTATAGATATATATATATAGATAGATATAATACTTTATTCTTGTCCCAGAAACCAAATCGGTCAAGGAAGAATAAGAGATTTTTTTATCAGATGGGGGCCATTTTTTCTTCTTACATGATGATAATGACTATTATTGCTACTCTTAGTGTTGTTCTTTATTTTATTAATAATAAAAAAATAAAACAAGGATATAACCTTATCCAGAGCACTCTAAAAAGAAATCCATTCTTCTTTGAAAACGAGCAAAAACCTTAAATGGCTGATTTACTGTTTATTCAGGTGACGAGGAAAGCACAGATGAGACATTCCATAGATTGTATGTTTGATAATAATTCTTTATTGTGGGGGATTCATTAAATAAAAGAAGTTGGGAGATAAGTACAGACGATATTAGAATATATATATATATAAATATATAAAATGCACTTTTTTGCGGGGAGGGGGCTTAAAATGAATATATATATATATTAAAACAATAGAATGATGGAATTCCTCTCTCATTCTTGTATATAAGACCCTCTTTTTTAAAAAAAATCCTAATGTTTGATAGCATCGTTTATTTTTTCCTTTTTTCTTAAATCTTGTTTGGTTTGGTTGGTTTTTCTTTTCTTTCCTTTTTCTTTTGTTTTTTTTTTTTTTTGAAAGAGAGGACACAATGCAAAACGGCTAGGATCCAAAGCACTATTTCGGAGGAGAATGGGATTTTATTTTTTGAATCGTTATCGATTGATTTTTCCAGACCCGAATCTTGTTGTTAATCCCAACTAGAATAAGTGTACAGTGATGTGTTGACTCGCCTATTCGCTGACGTTTCTATGAGGTTGACTCTTCTTTCAGGATCCCATATTCTCCTTCTAGACTGAGGTTGTTTTCCCCTCCTTTTCCCAACATCATCTCTTTAAGGCAGGTCCATTCTGTCGTTTCATTTCAAAATGACCCAGGAAAAGGGGTCGCTAACCACTCGTAATACGTGATTCGGCCCTTCTTTAGACTCGTTGCTTTTTGGTTCAACCCTCCCATTTGGTGCTAAATGCGATCCTTCCTGACCCAAAAAGAGATATATATTTATTTATAGTATTTATACCCCACCCCTCTCATCCTGAAGGGGATTCAGAGCAGCTTTAAGAACACACATACGACAAACATTCAATGCTGATTATATAATTAACAAGGACAGACAACACAAACAGAGGTGAATGCAATTTTTCCACTCTTATTTCTAGCATCTTGAAGGCTGTACTTGATTCCAACCACCGGGCTGGGGGTGGGGTGTGTGTGCTGTCGCTCCATCTTCCATGCCGAAGAGCTTTCCTCCGATCGATGTCCTTAAGGGCGCCTTTATTATCTACCCCCTAAAAGCAGTACCTTATTTTATCTACTCGCATTTCTGTTTTCGACCTGCTAGGTGGGCAAGTGAGCTGGGGCTAATGGTGGGTGCTCACCCCAACCCGGGCTTGAACTGCTGATCTTCCGATCGGCAGGATGTTTCTGCAGCATAGCGGTTTAGCCTGCTGTGATAAGCCCGCCCCCTCGGGAAGTATTGTGTGCTACTTCCCCTTCTTTACAAAATAATCCATCCAAAGGAACCTGTCATTATTCACATTGACCCCTCTTTTAGAAATAGTCTTTTCCAAGGGACCGGTCACCGTTCATATTGATTTTTCTTTGAAAAATAACTCTATCTGAAGGACCAGTCATCAGTCATACTGATTCCTTTCAAAATAATGTATCCAAAGGTACTGATCATTATTCATATTGACCCCGCTTTAAGGAATAAATCTATCCAAAGGACCAGTCACCATTCATACCGATTTCTCTTTACAAATAATGTATTCAAAGGGACTGGTCACCATTCATAGTGATTTCTCGTGTCAGCCATCTCTCTCTTCTTTCGGTCTTCCAAAAAGGATGAAAACGAGCCGCCCTTATATCGGACATTATTGTTTCTGAAACCTGAACCAAGCCATGAGGTTTTTCCTGTCCCCGCTCCAGGGAGCGCAAACAGGAAGAAGGAAGCCATGTTTTCCCCCTTTAAAAAAACCCACTGTGCCTCGTCACTCTGACTCGCTCCCTTTTGATGATTTGTTTATACGGGAACTGAATGAGTTCCCATCTGGAAACCCCAAACTTCCTGCACCTTCACACCTCCCCCCCCCCCAAAAAAAAGCTACAAATATATATCTTCAGGGTGTTTTGATAAAAAAAAATTGCAGAAACGACAACGGCTCTCCTTGTCTGTATGTGTTTCTTTCCCGAGAGAGAACCGATTCTCAATGGTGCCTTTGCGTCGGAGAAGATCGGATGGTACAGATCAATACAGGACAATTCCCTCCTGCAATTCTGAATTAATCTGGGATTTAATAGGAGAATTCCCTTATTTACTAAAATACAACAATTTTATTTCTCCCTTTAATAGGAGAATCTCCCTTCTTACCAAACGCATCCTGACCTCCGAACCAGAAACGAATGAGTCTCACTGTCTCCCAAAAGGAGAAATAGACTTTGTATTTTTTTGTCCAAAAAGAGCCTTAGGACTTTCTCTTATTATTGTTGCCCCAAATTGAATGGGTTTCTTGGCCAAACTCAGCAGGAACTTCTTTCGAAACCGAATTCACCCTTTTCAGACATTTAATCCCACTGTTTTCTGTATTCCTTCAATAATAATAGTAATAATAATAATAATATACTTTATATTCCACTCTATCTCCCCAAGGGGACGCAGGACGGATTACAGAACACATAAACGGCAGACATTGAATGCCATTATACAATTAACAAGGACAGGCGATACATAAACAGGTATAGGCTTTCCCGTTTTTTTTTTTTTTCCATCTCTGGCATCTGGAGGCTGTGCTCAACTCCGGCCACAGGGAGGTGCTATTGCTCCATCTTCCATGCAGAGGAGCTTTCTTGTCCGTCTTCCCGATTGAATTGCCGGTATGTCCTTATGGGCGCCTTTTATTACCTCCCCGCTTAATGCGGTGCCTATTTATCGACTCACATTGCAGTTTTCAATCTGCTAGGTGGGTAGAAGCTGGGCTGATGGCGGGAACTCACCCCGACCCGAGCTTTAACTGCCAACCTTTCAATCAGCAAGATTTTCTACAGCTGGCAGTTAACCCACTGTGCTAAAGCCCAGCCCGATGCTCACTTCTTCCCAAATACTTTTATTTTTCTCTTTATCTCTCTCTCGAAAAAGCCATTTTATCCCAAGATGGTGATGGATAGGATGGATCAGGTTCTCTCTTTGCGGCTGGGAAATAAATTTCCACGTCTCTTTCGTTCGTTCGTTTGTTCTTTCTTCGTAGCGATGAATAATTTCCCGGCCATTTCTTAACATCCTGTTTCCTTTGAACAAAGTTTAATTCAGGGTTAGGATTTTGGGGGCTTTTGGGGGATGCTTTTTGGGATTCTCTTTATGGGGAAAACAATAACTTTCTGGGTTTTGTTCGTAGGCAAACTTTTCAGACTCTGGGGCGAGAGGAAAGAGGCCAACACGCTTCTCCTTTCTCTCTTCCCTGGGATATTCTTGCATTTGTTGAAACAGAAGAATTGTTCTTTTTTAAAACACAACAATATGATTATTCTTAAAGCAGCAAAAGCTACTTCGATTTCCTTCTGTTGTTCAGGATTGGTTGTGGACTAAAATTGAATCAGTTGTATGTTCTTTTATTTTCTTTTTTTCTTCCTTCCTTCCTTCCATATATTGTACTGTAATAGAGAACTGTTAATTTTTTGCACTAATAGATTTCTTTTTCTCTCTGCCTCGTCTCCATTTACTTCTCTGTGTTTTATTGTGTGTGGGGGGAAAAAAAGGGGTGAAGCATGGGTTCCCATAGCATTGATCCAGGATAGCTCAAGTGGCACCAAACTGGGTTAAGTCGACAATGTAGACGCACTCATAGAGTTGGGAAATCATTAAGTAGCCCAAAGGTGGATGTATTCCACATGTATTCCTTCCATTGTAAGATGCCATCGATCCTAATGCTCCCAAGGGTTGCCTATCATTTGATGGCAGTTGGAAGTGGGACCAAACTGGGTTAATTCAACAGTGTAGATGCATCAGCACTACAAAGGTGGATGATTTTATTATTTTTGAACAGAGATATACTGTATTCCTTCCACTGATTCTAATACTCCCTATGATTGCTTACCATTGAGCCAGGTGGGACCAAACTGGGTTAATTCGACAGTGTAGATGCATCAGCAACCCAAAGGTATATTTGTGTTATTTGAATGGAGATACGTATACTGTACTCCTTCCATTGATTCTAATACTCCTAAGGATTGAGCCAGGGCAGTTGGAAGTGGGACCAAACTGGGTTAATTCGGCAGTGTAGACGCACCAGTACCCCAAAGGTGGATGATTGTTATTTGAGTGGAGATATACTGTATTCCTTCCATTCTAAGGTGCCATTGATTCTAATACCCTCAAGGGTTACCTATCATTGAACGGGAGAAGTTCAAGTGGGACCAAACTGGGTTAATTTTACAGTGTAGAAGCACTTAAAGAGAAATCATTCAGCGCTCCAAAGGTGGATGATTGCGTTATTTGAGTGGAGATACAATGTACTCCTTCCATCAATTCTAATACTCCCATAACATTGAGGCATGGCAGTAGGAAGTGGGACCCAACTGGGTTAATTCGACAGTGTAGACACAGCAGCACCCCCCCCCCCCAAGGTGGATTATTGTGTTATTTGAATGGATATATACTGTATTCCTTTCCTTTTTTCTAATACTCCCAAGGATCCCCATAGCATTGATCCAGGACAGTTGGAAGTGGGACTAAACTGAGTTAATTCGACAATGTAGATGCCTGTGTCCCTGCCATGTGCCTGTTGTGTGTGTGTGTGGGGGGGCTTAGAGGAGGATCTTTCCCCGTCCACCCACCCGTAGGTCATCCCGGCCCTAATCCGCTCTCCTGCCCCTTGATGCCGGATTGGAGGCCTATCCGCCTAATCGGCCTCTTTCTCCCCATTGATTACAGACCAGGCATCTCAGCTAATGCGGGCCTCCAAGGCGGCTCAGGAGGCGGCTATTAGCCCCTGGCCAAGCTGTCAAGGGGCAGATGGCCAGTGGGGGGGGGGGGTGAAGGGACCCCCAAGGGACATCCGGACCAGCCCCCTTCTGCCATAAAGGATGGCACCACCCAATCCCCCCCAACAGGTAGCCATCCAGCCATAGAAATGACAGAACAGTAGATCTGTCATTTCTATGGCTGGATGGCCACCTGTTGGGGGGGATTGGGTGGTGCCATCCTATATATGATAGGTATATTGTAGAATCCTAGAGTTGGAAGGGACCCTCAAGAGCCATCCAGACCACTTCTGCCATAAAAGAAGGCACCATTCGATCCCTCCTAACAGATTGACATCCAGCTATAGATACGATTGAGATCGATAGATGGATGGATGGATGATAGGTATATCATAGAATCTTAGAGTTGGAAGGGACCCCCAAGGGCCATCCAGACCAGGAAGGCACCATCCGATCCCTGATTGTAGAGTCCTAGAGTTGGAAAGGACCCCCAAGGGCCATCTTGTCCAACCCCCTTCTGCCAGACAAAAGGGCATCATCCAAACCCTCCCAACAGATAGCCATCTATTCATAGATATTAAAAATATGTGTGTGTGTGTGAGTGAATGACAGATAAATTGTAGAATCATATAGTTGGAAGGGACCCCCAATGGCCATCCAGTCCACCCTCTTCTGCCAGGCAGGAGAGCACCATCCAATCACACCTAACAGATGGCCGCCCAACCTCAGAGACATTAGTGGGTTCATTTAGAAATAGGGATAGATAGATATTTCATGTGTGTGTGTGTGTGTGTGTGTGTAGAGAGAGGGGTGGAGGAAGGGAACCCCAAAGGTCATTAGTCCAGCTCCTTTCTGCCAGGAAGGATACCATCAAAGCCCTCCTCATGGATGGCCATCCAGCCATGGACATCATTTAAATAGATAGAATATATATAGAGAGAGGGGGGTGGGGACCCCATAGGCCATCCAGTTCAGTCCTTTTCTGCCAGAAAGGACACCATCAAAGCCCTCCTGATGGATGGTCATAATTGAGATAGATAGATAGATAGATAGATAGATAGATAGATAGATAGATAGATATGATACTTATATCATAGGATCCTAGGGTTGGAAGGGACCCCCAAGGGCCATCCAGTCCAACCCGCTTCTGTCTGACAGGGAGTCACATCCAACACTATGATTGTCTCAGCCATAGCTATCTCTCTCTCTATCCTGCCCTGCTGCTGGTGTGGGTTGCATTTGCTTGGCACCTTCCTCAGGACGCAGCAGAGCGCAGCCACACACTGAGCAGCTTAGCTTTGTGTCATAAGCCTCCTATTTTTCAAGGCCGCGATGGGCTTTCGGGGGGCTTATCTCCTGGGATTAACAGCACAGGTTATCTCTCTTCCCCCCCCCCCCCTTTAATGCCACTTAGTGGCCTGGATTGGCGGTGGTCATTAAGGGCATCATCGGGAACAATTAGCAGGCAAACAATTAGGCCAAGCAAGTTTAAACACAAAAGGCAGGATTAGCTCATGGAGCACATCGATTTTGGAACGGTGCATAATAACAATGTATGCAGTAATATTAGACTGAACACCGCAAGTCCCATCGAGATGGGGAAAGACCTTTCAAGGCTTCCAATAATAATAATAATAATAACAACAACAGCAACAGCAATAAGCAACTGGAAAAGCTTACATGATATGAGGATTTAAAGATAGAACTGCAAAGACTCTGGCACAAGCCAGTAAAGATGGTCCCAGTGGTGATCGGCACACTGGGTGCAGTGCCTAAAGTCCTTGGCCTATATTTAAAAACAATTGGCGCTGACAATATTGCCATCTGTCAGCTGCAAAAGGCCACCCTACTTGGATCTGCATGTATTATTTCGCCGATACATCACACAGTCCTAGACATTTGGGAAGTGTCTGACTTGTGATCAAATACAAAAGCCAGCACAGTGATCTTGTTTGCGGTATACTAATCTTGTGTATCTAATAATAATAATAATAATAATAATAATAATAATAATTTATAGCAATATTAGAACAATCAAACAGGACAACATTTATTACATAGCTAAGAGGAAATAGGAACTTTTTTTTCAGAAACTGGGTCTAGGTTTGGCCCTGGACAGACCCCACCCACTTGGGAGCTGCTTTGCATAACCCCACCCTCATTGGGTCCTGGTCCCACCCACTTCCCATTGATGAAGTTGAGATGCTTACAGGGATGGATCAAAATAGAGTGTCCCAAGAAAACGTAGACACTCTCTGATGTCTTCTAATTCCGGAATGACTCCGAAGTCTGGCCTGGCACAGCAGCAGGCATAGAGCCATGGAGTCTGGTGAGAATGGAGGTGGTCCAGACTTTGAATCCCTGGGAAATGGTGGTCCAGAAACGGCTCGCAAACCTGCAAAGCAGTCTTTCGTCTCTGTCTGTGCCAGGCTTCGGCCTTCATTGGTGTGGCCTCCTGTTGACCCCAGAGGTGGTCAGAGGGTGGCATGGGGCTGCGGCCAGGAGGGCAGGAGCAGTGGAGGGAGGGCTGGCGGGCAGCAAGGGGGACGTAGGGCTGTAGCAGCCATGGGGGGGCCATAAGGTGGGCAGCACAGGCCCAGCCGCACTGGGGGGCAGCAGCCCAGGCCCAGCAGGGCACACGGAGGAAAGTAGCCCAAGTTGACCGCCATCCTGCAAGGGAAGGAAGCAGAATGGCCCATTAGAACGGCAAGTGGAATCAGAGCATTGGAAGCGAGAGACCCCAAAGGCCATCCAGCCCGGCCCCCGAGACAGAGCTAGATGGAGATTATAGAGATGTTAGGAATTGTGGGAGTTGAAATCCAAAACACCTGGAGGTAGGGCCGAAGTTTTCCCATGCCTGATATAGATAGATAGAATAGAATCCTAGCATTGGAAGAGACCCGAAAGGCCATCCAGTCCAATCCCCTGAGATAGAGATGGATAGCAATTAGAGACTGGAGATAGAGATAGGTAGGTAGGTAGGTAGGTATAGGTAGGTAGACAGACACTGATAGACAGATAGATCATAGATTCTTTAGAGTTGGAAGAGACCCGAAAGGCCATCCAGTCCAACCCCCTAGATATAATTAGATATAGATTCCAGATTTGAAATAGAGATAGATAGATAGATGATAGATAGATGGATAGACAGATAGACAGACAAATAATAAAATCATAAAATCCTGGAAGAGACCCCAATGGCCACCCAGTCCAATCACCTATGATAAATCAATATAGATATAGATAGATGGTTGAATCATATAACCTTAGAGTTGGGAGAGACCCCAAATGGTTGATATATGATAGATAGGTGAGAGAGAGAGAGAGAGCAAGAGAAAGAGGTAGGTAGGTAGATGATAGATAGATAGATAGATAGATAGGTAGGTAGGTAGGTAGGTAGGTAGGTAGGTAGATAGATAGATAGATAGATAGATAGATAGATAGATAGATAGATAGATGGATGCTAGAATCCTAGTTGGGAGAGACTCCAAATGCCATCCAGTCCAATCCCCTAACATAGAGACAGAGACAGATTGATAGGTGATAGATAGATAGATAGATAGATTGATTGATTGATGACAAAATTCTAAATAGAGAGAGATAGCTGGATAGATATATATAGAGATAGAGATAAATAGAGATAGATAGATACATATATGTATAGAAAGAGAGAATATATATATAGTGAGAGAGAGAGGATAGAAATAGAGAGATAGAAAGAGATATAAATATAGATAATGAAAGAGAGAGATAAATAGTGAAACAGAGATAGAAAATAGACCTATATATATATATAGAGAGAGAGAGACATATATATATATATATAGAGAGAGAGAGATAAACAGATAGATTGTGATAGTGAGACAGAGAGACATAGAGTGAGAGAGAAGTGTGTGTGGGGGGGAGAAAGTGTAGGGAGGGAGAGAAAGAGATCAATAAATAGATGGAAGAAGAGAGAGAGAGAGAGATGACAGAATCCTAAAGAGAAAGAGAGACAGAGATAGCTGGATAGATAGATAGATAGAGATAGATAGATAGAGATAGATAGATACATATATGTATAGAGAAAAAGAGAGAGATATATAAACAGAAATATATATATAAATAGAAATCGAGATAGTGAGATAGAGAGGGAGGATAAAGACAGAAAGATATAAATATAGATAGATAAGGAGAGAGAGAGAGAGAGAGAGAGAGAGAGATAAATAGCGATAGATAGCGAGACAGAGGGAGATAGAAAAATAGACCTATATAGAGAGATAGATAGGGAGAGAAATAGATAGACACATATATAGAGAGAGAGATAAACAGATAGATAGGGATAGTGAGACAGAGTGAGTGAGTGAGAGAGAGAAAGAGATCAATAAACAGATGGAAGAATAGATGGATGGATGGGTAGTTAGGTAGTTAGGTAGATAGGTAGATAGGTAGATAGATAGATAGATAGATAGATAGATAGATAGATAGATAGATAGATAGATAGATAGAATATAGGAATGGAACAATGGACGACGAACCTGGACTACGCTTGGATGATGAGAAGATTGGGTACAGTTGTTTTTCATAATAATTGTGCATTGTAATTGCTTATTGGTAATTTATGGATAATATGTTAAGTCAATTGTTATATGTTGTATGGAACCACTGCTGTTTCTACTGTTTTTACTGTTTGTGAACCGCTGTGAGTCGCCTTCGGGCTTGAGATACAGTGGTATATAAGCAAAGTAAATAAATAGATAGATAGATAGATAGATAGATAGATAGATGCTAGAATCCTAGAGTTGGGAGAGACCCGAAATACCATCTGATCTTACTCCCTTAGATGCTAGAATCCTAGCACTGAGAGAGACCTCATTAAGTTCAACCTCCCTGTAATACAGGATGACACAGTGTGATCCCTCCCGACAGATGGTCACCCAGTCTGTGCTTCAAAATCTCCAGAGAATACAGGAGGAAACAAAGGTATTAGGGTGCCCTCCATGGCCACCGAGACCCAGAGAGTGAAAGCAGAAATGGGGGGGGGGACACACTCATTCCGGTCCAGAGAGATCAAACAGGTCAGTTCTTGACCGAGAAGGAGCCTTTTCTTTCTCCTCCTCCTCTTTACTTGGGCTAATAGAGCCCATTAAAGGATAGGAGGAGGCCAGGTGGAGGCCGCATATGGCACAACTGTGAGATAAGCAGTTGCGGGGGAGAGATTCTCCCTATTGACTCGAGTCAAAGGCTCACCTTTTGGGGCTAAATGGACTTGCCAAAATTTGAGGGTGCATTAGATTTCAGGCAACAAAGGCCAGGCTACCTTGGTGCAAAGACCCTCAGTGATGGACTTTGCAGCTGCAAGGCTACTCAATGCTATTCAAACTTGCTTATTGCAACATCCACACTTGCTTCAAACAGACCAGGGTTCTTTCTCCCACCCTGGACATTATTCCACGGGTAGGTAGATAGACACACACACACACACATTCCACTTGCTTCACTACCTGTATGCAGACAGCCTCGCTGATTGACTTTGCAGCTTCATTGTTACTCCAATACTATTCAAGTTTGCTAATAGCAATATTCACACTTTCTTCAAACAGACAAGCATTCTTTCTCCCACCCGGGACATCATTCCACAGGGATATATACCCTCCACTTGCTTCACTACCTCTATGCAGATACCCTCACTGATTGACTTTGCAGCTTCATGGTTACTCCAATGCTATTGAAGCTGGCTCATTGTAACATTCACACTTGCTTCAAACAGACATGGGTTCTTTCTCCCACCTTGGGCATCATTCCACAGATATATAATGTACACTTTACTTGCTTGACTCATGTCAGATCCCATGAAGATGCCATTAGCCACAGATGCAGGGGAAACATCAGGAGAGAACGCTTCTGGAACATGGCCATACGGCTCGGAAAACTCACAGCCACCCAGTGATTCTGGCCAGGAAAGCCTTCCTTTGACAACACATGGAAGTGGCTTCATTTGCCCGCATCCTGCTTCCTTACCTGCGTATTCGGCGCCTGGCCCTGCGCCGGTGGTAGTCACCCTTGGAGAAGTCCTCCAGGTTGGCCGGGTGGATGGCCCAGAAGTGGCCCTTGCCATTCTCGCTGCGCCCAGCCTTGACAAAGCACTCGTTTAGGGAGAGGTTGTGGCGGACACTGTTGCGCCAGCTCTTCTCCTGCAACCAAAAGCCATGGGAGGAAAATGATCTCAGTATGGCAGCAGGGCTCTGGGAGATCTGGGTTCCCATCCCAATGGAAGCCCCTAGGCCAGTCCTAACTCAATACCAATAATCTATATAAATAAAAATGTAATGTTCGTTTGTGGGATTAACAGAACTCAAAAACCACTGGGGGAATTGACACCAAATTTGGACACAATACACCTAACAACCCAATGTATGTCCTTCACTCATGAAAACACAGCAAAACGCAGCAGAAGGGACTTAAAAAGCCCCAAAGCTAAATGACGGAAAGCTAAATGACAATACAGAAAAAAAGGAAGAAAGAGGGAGGGAAGGGGAGAAAAGAAAGGGAAAAAAGAAAGAAAAGAAAGAGGGAGGGAAAGAAAGAAGGAAAGGGAGAAGGAAGCATGGAAGCAAAGAGAGAAGGAAGGAAGGAAAGAGGTAGAGAAGGAAGAAAGGAGAGAAAGAGCGAGGGAAAGAAAAAGGGGAAGGAAGCAAAGTTACAGAGGAAGGAAGGAAGGAGAGAAGGAAAGAAAAAAGGAAAAGAAGGAAGGAAAGGGAGGGAAGATGTAGAGAAAGAGGGAGCGAAGGAAAGAGAGAAGGAAGAAAAGAGCAGAAGAGAAAGAAAAAGGGGGAAGGAAGGAAAGAGATAGAGAAGGAAGGAAGAAGAGAAGAAAAGATGGCAAGGAAGGAAGGAAAGAGGGAGTGAAGGAAGGAGGGAAAGAAAGAGAGAAAGAGGGAAGGTTGGTCACAGCAATGCATGGCGGGTACAGCTAGTAATAATAATAATCATCATCATCATCCTTCTCCTCATCATCATCATCCCTAGGCCAGTCTTAGTCCAATTGCAATAATAATAATAATAATAATAATAATAATAATAACCCCCTGTGCCAGTCCTAGCTCAATTCCAATAATACCAATAATACCAATAATACCAATAATAATAATAATAATAATAATAATAATAATAATAATAATAGTTTTAGCCCAATTGAAACAATAATAATAGTAATAATAATAATATAATCCCCTGGGACAATCCTAGCCCAATACCAATAATAATAATAATTAAAAGACAAAGTATGGATCGTCCATGTTGCAATCCCCGGTGAGAGCAGAATTAAAGAGAAACAATTGGAAAAGCTGACATGATATGAGGATTTAAAGACTGAACTGCAAAGACTCTGGCACAAGCCAGTAAAGGTGGTCCCAGTAGTGATCGGCACACTGGGTGCAGCGCCTAAAGACCTTGGCCTGCACTTAAACACAATCAGCGCTGCCAAAATTGCCATCTGCCAACTGTAGAAGGCCACCTTACTGGGATCTGCATGCATTATTCGCCAATACATCACACAGTCCTAGACACTTGGGAAGTGCTGACGCGTGATCCAATACAACATCCAGCAGAGTGAACTTGTCTGTTGTGGACTCATCTTGTTGTGTTTCAAATAATAATAATAATAATAATAATAATAATAATAATGCAATAAACAATAAACATTGATAAAATTACGATCTGTCAACTGCAAAAGGCCACCTTGTTTGGATCTGTTTGCATCATTCGAAAATACATTGCACAGTCCGAAATACTTGGGAAGTATTCAACTTGTTATTTTGTGAAACGAAATCCAGCATATACAGTATATCTCGTTTGCTGTGTCATACTGTGTTTTTGTGTCAATAATAATAATATAATCCCCTGGGCCAGTTCTAGCACAATACCAATAATACTAACAACAACAACAACAACAAATAAACAAACTTAGGTCAATCTTAGCCCAATTGCAATAAGAATAAGATCATCCCCTGGGCCAGTCTTAGCTCAATAGCAATAATAAAAATCATGTTACATCATGATATTGATATAGATAATAACATAGATAATGTTAAAAGAGATAGATTATAGACCAGGCGTCCTCAAACTAAGGCCTGGGGGCCGGATACGGCCCTCCAAGGTCATTTACCTGGGCCTTGCTCAGGGTCAACCAAAGTCTGAAATGATTTGAAAGCACACAACAACAACAACAACAGCAACAACAACAACAACAACAACAATCCTATCTCAACAGCCAAAAGCAGGCCCGTGCTTCCCATTGAAATACTAATAAGTTTATATTTGTTAAAATTGTTCTTCATTTTAATTATCGTATTGTTTTTAAGTGCTTTTTGCACTACAAATAAGATGTGTGCAGTATGCATAGGAATTCATTCATGTTTTGTTTTTTTCAAATTATATTCCGGCCCTCCAAAAGTTTGAAGGACCTGGCCCTCTGTTTAAAAAGTTTGAGGACCCCTGTTATAGACTTATTGGTGTGTTGCAATAGACATACTCACATTATCATCATCATCATCTGGTGATAAAGATTATACAACGAGCATTGGGCTAGGGTTTATTGTCCAATTAGGTTTTATTTTGTGGGGAAATTTACACAGAGTGAATGAAGACCTGCTCAGAAAAGGTATATTGTTGTTGTTGTTATCTCACATTATTGTTGTTGTTGTTGTTGTTGTTGTTATTATTATTATTATTATTATTATTATTATTATTATTATTATTATTATTAGGTATATTGTTATCCAACATTATTGTTATCATCATCATCATCATCATCATTTGAGGTATACAATGAGCATTGGGCTAGGACTTATTTTCTGATTAGATCTTATTTTGCGGGGGGGGGGGGATTTGCACAGAGTGGGTAAAGACTTGCTCAGAAAAGGTATATTATTATTATCTCACATTATAGTTATCATCATCATCATCATCATCGCCATCATCATCATTTGGGGTATACGATGAGCTAGGGCTTATTCTCCAGTTAGGTCTTATTTGGGGGAGGGGGGATTTGCACAGATTGGATGAAGACCCGCTCAGAAAAAAATATAATACAATTTGGGCTCAGGCGTGTCCAACGAGCATTGGGCTAGGACCTGCTCAAGATCTAGAGTATATTATTATTGTGATCTCAACCGATACTACTAATGTGGTTCAGGCTTGTCCGACGAGCATTGGGACACAACCTGCTTTAGACCTAGAGTATGTTATTATTGCGATCTCAATCGATAATATAATTGGAGCTCAGGCTTGTCTGATGAGCATTAGGCCAGGATCTGCTCAAGACCTAGAGTATATTATTATTATGATCTCAACCAATAATACTAATGTGGCTAAGGCTTGTCCGACGAGCACTGGGCCAGGAACTGTTCAAGACCAAGAGTATATTATTGTTATCTCAACCGATAATACTAACGTGGCTCAGGATTGTCCAACAAGCACTGAGCCAGGACCTGCTCAAGACCTAGAGTATATGATTATTGTGATCACAACCAATGATATTGAGAGTTTTTGAGTATAAAAAAACAATGAAGATCCTAGCAGAACAAATTAGTGTTTTAGACAAAGAGGCCTCAATGTGACTCTGGTGCGTTCCATATGCTCCCCATTGAGTTTAGGTCCAGCTTTTAACTCTCTGGGAGCTGCTAAATATCTAGAAAACTTAAATAACTTAAAATTTCACCTAGCTTTTCACTGGGCTAGATTTAATGCAATCAAATCAGCCATGCTAGAGGGTAGATTCAAAAGGACGGAATGTAAACACAGAGGATGCCCTTGCTGGGAGAGAAAAGTTGAGATGATAATGCATGTGCTTTTTACCTGCACAATCGATGACTGAGGTTAATATCCCCTTTACTCACCAGGAGGCCAGGAAGGACTTTAAACTGGTACCTTTATTATCTACTGCCTGATCTTGACAGAAGGGTGACAGAGCAAGGGGCCAAAAGCCACAAGTGCATCACAAACAATTGGTAATTTGCAATTGTCGAGAGTGAAACAGAGAGCGCCTAGGTGACTTATTACCAAACTAAACCTAAAATATAAAAAGTCATAAAACCAGTAGAGAATGGAGATATTTATTATCATTAAACTGTGAGCCAGATTCAATGTTATACAAGATTCAAATGCTGTATTTTACTATTCTATCCTTATTTGACTTCAGTCGAAGGTTTGTTTGTTGACCAAAATAAAGACTACTGACTGGCATTGAGCTAGGGCTTATTTTGGGGGGAAATTTGCATGGAGCGGATGCAGACTCACCTTGTTCTTGAAGTAGGGGTACTTGTCCATGATCCACTGGTAGATGTCCGAAAGCAAGAGCTTCTTCTCGGGTGAGGAGAGGATGGCGGTGGAGATGAGGGCGATGTAGGACTGGTTGGGCTTGTCCGAAAGGTCCGGCACTGTCCGATCCGTATCCGGCCCGGTCTCCTTTTGGGGCGCCTTCTTCCCTTGGTCAAAAAGCAGATAGTCAATGGTGAAGGAGGCTCCTCCACTGGGACGCTTGGGACCGTCCATCGCTGAATCCCCGGACGGACGGACATCCATCCAGACGGGATGCAGCCGCCGCCCGTCTCCTCCTCATTAGCAGGGATTATCAGGCTTCCCCCCCTTAATTGTGTTTTCACAAACGGGCCGCCTTCACAAAGCGGCCTGTTTATCTGGCAAAGTCGCGGCTTTGGCGGGATTTGGGCCCCTAAGCCTCACAAATACGTTGATTAATCCACTCTTCGGGGTGGAGGAATGCTCAGCCGGGTTCGGCAACAGGTTGCCAGCCACAGCGGGAGGCGCGGGATTTGCAATTATATATACAGGTCGTCCCCGAGTTACAGACATCCAACTTCCAAATGACTCACAGGGACTGGGTTGGGCTGGATGGCCTTTGGGGACTTCTTCCAAACCTATGATTATCTATCTATCTATCTATCTATCTATCTATCTATCTATCTATCTATCTATCTATATCAGGCATGAGCTAACTTCAGCCCTCCAGGTGTTTTGGACTCCAACTCCCACAATTCCTAACAGCCAGTTGACCAACGCCTGACCTATATACAGCAATGGTTACCAACCTGCGGTCCATGGATCACCAGTGGTCCGCAAGAACTAAAATATGGTCAGTGGCCTCCCTGTTATTTCACTGTTGCAACGAGAGCAAATCATCTCATTAAACCCTCTTATAGTGCTGAGGCTTATTAAATTTGGTTTTCTGTGGGTGAGCAGATGGGGACTACTGGATGGCATATGTTGTTCTGTATCAGAAATAGAGCTGATGTGGTCTACTCATTTCAGTTTTCTGAATCAGCACCCCAAATAACCAAACCGAATCTAAAGTTGACCAAGTGGTCTCTGGTTAAGTGGTCCTTGGTCAAAGTGATGCCTGGTCAAAGTGGTCCCAGGTCAATTGGTCCCTGGTCAAAACACTGGTTGGGAGCCACTGATATACAAGTTATCTCCGAGATACAGACATCCAACTTACAGACGACTCACATTTAAGGATGAGGTTAGACTGAATGGCCTTTGGGGGCCTCTTCCAAACCTAGGATACTATATCTGTCTCTCATATATATATATATACTCACCTTCTATACACATAATAAATGTGAAAATATGTATGTGTGTATGTGGCTTGGGTGTCTGCTTCCACAGACAGGCTCCTACTTCCACAAACAGCTGTAACTTCCACCACTCAGGAGACCCCAGTGGACCTCCTTTCAATGACATTGCAGGTTATAGTGAGCGACATTAACATGTCCAAGGGCCCTGCCAATGTCCTCCACAAACACCATACTGCCCACCACCCAAGTGAAGGCTTTCATTCAGGGACCATTACACCCTAGATTTCATGTTTTTCCTCCACCACAGACATCCCAGTGTTTCTGACTCTTTCAATTTGGTGTGGAATTTGCATGACTTTGCCCACTGGCCCTTCCTTAACCCTTTCCAATTCTTTTCTATGGCACACAGCAAACAGAGCATCAGCCACTAAACATACTAGAGATGTTTGGGGAGAATTCATCATGATTTATCGGAGTTGTATGTCCTGTGGTACAGATATCCAATGTATAAATGACTCCTAGTTAAGAACAGGGCTGGGCTGGATGGCCTTTGGGAGTCCCTTCCAAATCTACGATACTATATCTATCTCTCATACACACACACACACACACACACAAACTGTTCCTGAATTACAGACATTCGACCTGTAAATGACTCCTAGTTAAGAACAGGGCTGGACTGGATGGCCTTTGGGTGCCCCTTTCGATCTATACAAACATGATTGGTGAGGACGAGAGACAGAGCCTTCTCAGTGGTGGGCCCCTGCCTATGGAACTCCCTCCACCGCGACATTAGATCCTAGTCTTAAGAAGGAAAGTTAAAACTTGGCTTTTGGAGGATAGTGCAGTGCAATAACAGATTTAGAATTTGTGCAATGACTATGAAACATCTTTGGACTATGATTATGGATGGCATGATTTATATTGAATATAATGTTTTTGAACATTTTAAAATCTTAATATGTATTAATTTAATTTTAATGTTACTGGAATTATATGTGTTTTAAGGCATTGCATAATTACCTATATGTAAGCCGCCTTGAGTCCCTTTTGGGGTAGAGAAAGGCGGGGGTAAATAGGGTAAATAAATAAATAAAATAAACCTAGGGTACTGTACCTATCTCTCATATATACACACACACATACACAAGCTGTCCCTGAATTACAGACATCCGACTTACAATCGACTCACAGTTAAGAACAGGGCTGGACTAGATGGCCTTTGGGGACCCTTCCAATGCTATGATACTATATCTGAATTGACCTTGGATTCTGGGAGTTGTAGTTCACCTGCATCCAGAGAGCACTGTGAACCCAAACAATGATGGATCTGGACCAACTAGACACAGACCCAACAAGGCCATCTTTGAATATTGATGGGGTTTGGAAGGAATTGACATTGTGTTTTGGGAATTATAGTTTACCAGACATCAAAGAACACTGCAAACCCAAATGACAATGGATCTGGCCTAACCTTGGCACACAGACCCAATATGCCCAACTTTTAATGCTGGTTGGGTTTGGGAACAATGAGAGGCGATGATGGGAGTTGTAGTTCACCCACATCCCTATGTATTTCCTAACATGTTCATTCTGACACTCCAAAAACTAGCAATGTTCCTGAGACAAAATGTAAAGGTATGTTGTTTAAAATTTACATGAAGCCACTGCGAGAGATTATCCTGAGTTTTGGAGTGAAATGTCATTTGTACGCAGATGATGTTCAACTCTATCACTCCTTCCTACCGGTTACGAAGAAGGCTGTCCAGGTCCTGAACCAGTGCTTGGCAGCTGTGACGGTCTGGATGAGGGTGGACAAATTAAATTGAATCCAGACAAGACAGAGATCCTCCTGGTCAGTCGCAAGGCTGAACAGGGTATAGAGTTATAGCCTGTGCTGGACAGGGTCACACTCCCTCTGAAGACACAGATTCGCAGCGTGAGGGTGATCCTGGATTCATTGCTGAGCCTGGAACCCCAGGTCTCAGTGCTGGCCAGGGAAGCTTTTGCACAATTAAAACTTGTGCGCCAGTTGCGCCCGTACCTTGGGAAGTCAGACTTAGCCACGGTGGTCCACGCTCTTGTTACATTCTGAATAGATTACTGAAACACTCGATGTGGGATTGCCTTTGAAAACTGTTTGGAAGCTCGAATTAGTCCAACAGACAGCACCCAGGTTGCTCACTGGAGTGGCATACAGATAGCATACAACCCCTCTGCTACGCCAGCTCTACTGGTTGCCAATCTGCAACCAAGGATAATTCAAAGTTTTGGCTTTAGCCTATAAAGCCCTGAATGGTTCTGGCCTGTCTTAATGTGTCTCCTGCTATGAACCATCGTGAGGTCTAAGATGGACGGGAGAGGCCCTGCTCTCGGTCCCACCATCCTTGCAAGCGTGACTGGTGGAGATGAAAGACAGGGCCTTCTCAGTGGTGGGCCCTCCCCCATGGGAACTCTCTACCCAGTGACATTGGATTGGACCCCTCCCTCTTGTCCTTTAGAATGAAACTAAAAACCTGGTTATGGGACCAAGTGTTCGAACAATAGAGGCAGCAATTTAGAATGAGACCCAATTTGCCTGATTTAAACAATGTTTTAATTGATTTTATCATTTAATACTGTTGTTGCCATTGAATGGATGCCTATTGTGAAGCCGGCCTGAGTCCCCCCAGAGGGAAGAAGGACGGGATACAAATATGCGAAATAAATAAATAAATAAATAACGACCCTGGTTTCTACTGATAATAATAATAAATAATGTTATTTATTTATGATCTGCCTCTCCAATGATCATGATAATAATGTTATTTGATGAGATTTTCCCCAAATCCCTGCTTCCTATGAACCAAAGGTTGCTGTCCCTTTAAGAGTCGAGAGGGAGGAGGGAAGGCAAAAGGAGGTGGGCGTGGCCACAGAAGAAGGCAAAAGCAGCCCCTCGTTGTTTTTATCGCACCTGCGCGTTGAGCTTCGCGCTTCTTTGCGCATGCGTTCTAACCCTCAGGGCTCGCGGGGGGGGGGCGTGGGTTGAGAACGACTTGCCGGGCCGAGCATGCGCCGTCGAGACACAGGAGCGGAGGGAGAGAGAAAAACCCCTAACGAGCGCTCGCTCTGGATTGATCAGCCTTCCCCGTCACGTGGCGGCGGCGCGAGATCCGATTGGCTGGCGCCGGCTTTGGCCTTCCCACCTGTCCCTAGCGCGTTGGATGCTGGAAGCCAAGATGGCGGCGGAGCTGGTGGAGGCGAAAGTGAGTGAGTGAAAGAAGCGGCGGCGGAGGAGGAGGAGGAGGAGGAGGAGGGGGGAGGGCTTTTTGCCCGGCTTCCGCGAATAAGCCCATTCACACACCTATAAATATAGATATAGATATTAGGCATGAAGGTATTTCTGTGGGGAGGGGGGAGTTAGTGTCTGAGGGAAAGAGGCGTGGCCTGGGAAGGGGCGTGGCTAGGCAAGGGGCGTGGCCTCCTGCAGCCACAAGCCCGCCCACTGCTCCAAAGGGAGGGACTCCTCCAATGCCCCTCTCATTGGGATTAGAAATCATGTAAGCATTACAAGAGAATTATATAGACCTTGTTACATCCTCAGAACCAATACTAATAATACTACTAATAATTACATTAGTGTTATTACTACTAATAATAATTTTATTAGTAGTAGTATACTGCAATATTACTAATAATGTGTATTGGTATAGTTGTAATAATAATAATAAACTTTATATCCCGCCGCCATCTCCCAAAAGGGACTCGGGGCGGCTTACAAGGCAGTCCAACGTGCAGCATAACATAAATGGTATAAATAAAACAATATCACATAAAAAGTGTAAAAAAACAGCTATCAGGACACATAAAATAAGATAATACAGTTTTAAAAATGCAGACCATCTGTAGTTAAAACTAGCTGTCACAGCTAAAGTGCCAGAGTGTCAACCTCATGTGGGCCAAAAGCCTGCTTAAAAATCCATGTTTATAGGCTGGATCGAAAGGATTCAAGAGTGGGGGCTAACCTAATCTCTTGGGAGGGTATTCCAGTACCAGGGAGCCACCAAAGAGAAGGCCCTCTCTCTCGTCCCCACCAACCACGCTTCAGATGGTGGTGGGACCGAGATAAGGGCCTCCCCTGCCAGTCTCAAAGCCCACACCTGTTCATAGAAGGAAAGGCAGTCTCGAAGATAGGATGGATCGAAGCGTATAGTGCTTTATAGGTAATAACCTGGACCTTGAATTGAGACTGGAAACTTGCTGGAAGCCAGTGGAGCTGTTTTAGTAGGGGCATGGTATGTTCCCTCTAGCTAGCCCCAGTTAGTAATCTGGCAGTTGACCTTTGCACTAACTGCAGTTTCCGAACTGCCTTCAAAGGTAGCCCCATGTAGAGCACATTGCAATAGTCCATTCTAGATGTAACTAAGGCATGGACCACTGTGGCCAAGTCAGGCCTCTTGAGGTTCGGTCGCAGCTGGTGCACAAGTTTTAACGGTGCAAAGGCCCTTCCAGCCACTGCTGACACCTCAGCATCAAGTGTCAGCGCTGAGTCCAGGAGGACCCCCAGACTGCAGATCTGTGTCCTCAAGGGGATTGTAACCCTGTCAAGCACCGGTTGCCATCCTATACCCCAATCAGCCTTGCGACTGACCAGGAGGACCTCTGTCTTGTTTGGATTAAGCTTCAGCTTGTTAGCCCTCATCCAGTCCATCACAGCTGCCACGTACTTGTTCAGGATCCATGGAGCTTAATTAGAATTCAGTGGAAAGGCGTAATAGAGTTGTGTGTCATCTGTGTAGAAATGACACTCAACTTCAAAACTCCGGATGACCTCACCCAGTGGTTTCATGTAGATATTGAAAAGCACGAGGGAGAGAATGGAATCTTGCAGGACCCCGCAGATCAATGGCCAGGGGTCTGAGCAGGTGTCCCCCAGCATCACCATGTGGGAATGATCCCCCAGGAAGGAGTGGAGCCACAGCAAAGCAGTGCCTCAAGACTAATTCCAGAGAGCCAACCAAGAAGGATACCATGGTCAATTGTATCGAAAGCCACTGAGATGACCAGGAGAACCAGCAGGGGCATACTCCCCCTCTCTGCGGAGGTCATCCACCAAGGTGACCAAAGCTGTCTCAGTTCTGTGACCAGGCCTAAAGCCAAACTGTGATGAATCAAGATAATCGGTTTCATCCAAGAATCCCTGGAGTTGAGAGGCCACCACCTGCTCTAGAACCTTGGCCAAAAAAGGGAAATTAGAAATAGGCCGGTAGTTATTTAGTATAGAGGAGTCCAGGAACGACTTTTTAGAATTGGTTTTACAATTGCTTTTTTAAAGCTAGATGGTATTTTCACTGCTCCAACGAGGCGTTGATGATCCACGAGAACCACTCAGCCAATCCCTCACCAGCAAGTTTGATAAGCCAGGAAGGGCAAGGATCTAAAGCACACAGGTGGTCGCTCTCACCACTCCAAGAATCTTGTCCGCGTCATCAGGCCAAACAAGCTGAAACAAACAGGTGAAGGTTTGTTTTTGTTTATTCATTCAATCACTTCTGACTCTTCGTGACCTAATGGACCAGCCCACGCCAGAGCTCCCTGTCGGCCGTCACCACTCCCAGCTCCTTCAGAGTCAACCTAGTCACTTCAAGGATTCCATCCATCCGTCTTGCCCTTGGTCGGCCCTCTCTCTTTTTCCTTCCATTTTCCCCAGCATCATTGTCTTCTTTAATCTTTTCTGCTTTCTTATGATGTGGCCAAAGTACATCATAAGGGAGGGCTTTTGCACAATTGAGACTTGTGCGCCAACTGTGACTGTACCTCGCGAAGGCTGATCTGGCCGGGGTGGTGCATGCCTTGGGCACCTCTAGATTGGACTATTGTAATGCGCTCTACGTGGGGCTGCCCTTGAAAATGGCTCGGAAATTTCAACTGGTCCAAAGGGCAGCAGCCAGGATGTTAACTGGGGCCCCTTACAGAGAGAGGTCAACCCTCCTGTTCAAGGAGCTCCACTGGCTGCCGTTTATTTTCCGAGCCCAATTCAAGGTGCAGGTGCTTACCTACAAAGCCCTAAACGGTTTGGGACCATCCTACCTGCGTGACCGCATCTCCGTCTACGAACCCACACGGTCCCTTCGGTCATCCGGAGAGGCCCTGCTCGTGATTCCACCTGTGTTGCAGGCGCGTTTGGTGGGGATGCGTGACAGGGCCTTTTCTGTGGTGGCCCCCCGACTCTGGAATACCCTCCCCAAAGATCTTGGACAGGCCCCTACATTGGCAGTCTTTAGAAAGAACTTGAAGACCTGGCTGTTCCGATGTGCCTTTCCAGAATAGGAATCTCCAATAACAAGTCCCAGAAGCACTTTATTAGAACTGAGATTGCTTCACACTGCACTTACCCTAGAATCTGTACATATCACCTTTCACATCAGCACTTTTAACCCTGTACCCATTACTCTGGCCCGGCCCAGTTTTATAGTGTCTTGATGTATTGTTTATTGTAATATTGCTTTAACTGTTTTTAATTTGCTTTGGTGTTGTATTGTTGTGCTGTTTTGAGGCCTTGGCCTTTGTAAGCCGCATCAAGTCCTTTGGGAGATGCTAGCGGGGTACAAATAAAGTTTAATAATAATAATAATAATAATAATAATAATCTTTGCCTTTAATATCCTTCCCTCCAATGAGCAGTCGGCTTTATTTCCTGAAGTATGGACTGGTTAGATCTTCTCGGGGTCCAAGGCACTCTCAGAATTTTCCTCCAGCACCACAGTTCAAAAGCGTCTATCTTCCTTCGCTATTTTATCAAGACAGGTTTACAATATAGTAATATATAATGCTAACATTGTGCTATTCTAATATACTATATTGCATGAACATATCATATTGATAATAATCATGTAGCACGATGTAATACTAATAATATAATACTATATCATAATATAATAATTTTATATTATATATTACATGTAATATTACTAATAATATTGCAGTATAGTGGCATAGTACAATATAGTAACATATAATACTAATATTGTGCTATGCAAATAATATAAATAAATAAATATCCTACTTCCTGTTCCCCCCTACAATTTACCCCAATCAGTCCCACATATGTGGACCCAGGCGTATTGCTTTGCTAATAATATATTGTATATAATATAACATTGATAATATTATAATGTAACAATACAGTCATTAGTATTTTATTATTATTATTATTATTATTAAAGCACCGAGCTGCTGAACTTGCTGATCAAAAGGTCGGTGGTTCGAATCTGGGGAGCTGGCTCAGCTTCTACCAACCTAACAGTTCAAAAACATGCAAGTATGAGTAGATCAATAGGTACCACTTCTGCGGAAAGGTAATGGCGCTCCATTCAGTCATGGTGGTTCTTCAGCTCAGAAATGGAGATGAGCACCACCCCCCAGAGTCTCACATGACTAGATTTAATGTCAGTGGAAACCTTTACCTTTGAGGTACTGGGATGTATAGTTCACCTGTAATCTAAGAGCACTCTGAACTCCACCAACGATGGACCTGGAACTCACTTGGCACACAGAACCCCCATGACCAACAAAAAGTACTGAGTCTTTGGAGGGATTTATAGGAGTTGTAATATGCCTACATCCAGAGAGCAGTGTGAACCCAAAGACCGATGGATCTGGACCAAACTTGGCACGCATACCTGATATGCCCAAATTTGAATACTGTAAAGGGAAACCTTACCTTTACTAATAATGCAATTATTATTATGCCGAAGAGTGCATAGGATTACAGCCGGTGTTGGACGGGGTTACACTCTCCTTGAAGACACAGCTTCGCAGCTTGGGAGTTCTCCTGGATTCTTTGCTGAGCCTGGAACCTCCAGGTCTTAGCTGTGGTCGGGGAGCTTTTGCACAATTAAGGCCAGTTGCTACCGTACCTTGGGAAGCCAGACTTGGCCATGGTAATAAATGCTCTTATTACATTCTGTATAGACTACTGCAATGCATTCTACGTGAGGTTGCCTTTGAAAACTGTTTGGAATATTCGATTGTTCCAACAGGCAGCAGTCAGGTTGCTCACCAGAGTTGCGTACAGAGATAGGACGTCCCTTCTGTTGTGCCTGCTCTACTGGCTGCCAGTCTGATACCAGTACCAAGCACAATTCAGAGTGCTGGCTTTAGCCTTTAAAGCCCTAAATGATTCTGGCCCAGCTTACCTGTCCAAATGTATCTCTCCCTATGAACCAGTTAGAACATTGAGATCTGCAAGGGAGTCCCTGCTCTGGGTCCTGCCGCCTTTGCAGGTGCGATTGGAGGGGATGAGAGACAGGGCCTTCTCATTGGTGGCCCCTCGGCTGTGGAACTCCCTCCCCAGTGACATTAGATCTACCTCCTCCCTCCTGGCTTTCAGAAGGAACGTGAAAACATGGCTTTGGGATCAAGCCTTCGGAGAATAGTGCAGTGCAATAACAGATATGGAATATGTGCAATTACTATTGGGACAGCCCTGGACTACAATATTTATTTATTTATTTATTTACTTTACTTCTATACCGCTGTTCTCAGCCCAGAGGCGACTCACAGCGGTTCACAAGACACATGACACAGCAAAATTCAATGCACCAATATAAAACAGTTAATATCCTAATCTATTACACAGTTAGTACACACAGTTAGTAATGATGGTGTGGTTTTGATATTGAATGTAATGTTTTTAAATATTTAATATATATTAATTGTAATGTTTATTGGAATTTTGTGTTGCTGTAAGGCATTGAATAATTGCCTATATGTAAGCCACCATGAGTCCCCTTCGGGGTTGAAAAAGGTGGGATATAAATAGAGTAAATAAATAAATATAAAATATAATAATAATATTGTAATATAGTAATACTAATATTTTAAATATAATACTACAGATAATATATAATAATATAGAATGATATACTATTTTATTGTATATTTGTGTATTTTAAGTTGTAATGTTTTTGATTGGGAGCTGCTTTGAGTCTCTCTAGGGAGAAATAAAGTGGGAAATAAATAAATAAAGTAAAATTTTAAAAAGTTACTTTTTGGAGGAGATATCAATAGCCCTGACAGCAAAACAATATGTATCTATGTATGTATATATGTATGTATATATGTATGTATTATTATTATTATTATTATGTATACTGTATGTATTCGAGTATAAGCCTAGTTTTTTTACGCTGAAAAAGCCCCCCTCAACTTATACTTGGGTGAGTATAAGCCCCACGCCTTCCTACCAGAATGCTTACCTCTCCACACAACAACCCAGCTCTCCTCTCTCATGCAGCACCCACCTTCCTCTCCTCTCTGTGCCAGTCTTTCCCACTTTTCCTTATTCAAAATGTATAGTTAAAATAAACTATGGTGATTATTGGAAGGATACGTCAGCACATTTACATTGAAGAAAGTTAGACTAATGATTTAATCACAGTTGGACAGTCTTATCTTAAAATACATTTTATGTAAATATTCAAAAACATTTAACCTACCGATGCCTCAATTAATGTAATTTTATTGGTATCTATTTCTATTTTGAAATTTACCAGTAGCTGCTCCATTTCCCACCCTCGGCTTATACTCAAGTCAATAAGTTTTCCCAGCTTTTTGTGGTAAAATTAGGTGCCTCAGCTTATTTTTGGGTTGGCTTATACTCAAGTATATATGGGTATTTATATCCTGCTTTCCTAAAGGAGACTCAAAGCAGTGAACACTCAGAATCATACAATACACATTATTATTATTATTATTATTATTATTATTATTATTATTATTATTATTATCATCATCATCATCATCATCATCATCATCACACCATTTCTCTCTCAAAAGCTACTCAAAATGGCTAACTCTAAAAAAATCATACAATTTGTATTATTATTATTATTATTATTATTATTATTATTATTATCAGTTGTAGTAGTATATCTCATGTTTTTCTTTTCCAGAGGAGACATATATAAATTATATCCTTATTATTATGTGTATTTATATCCTGCTTTTTCTCTCCCAAAGGAAACTCAAAGCGGCTAACACTCAGAATTATACAATACATGTTCTTTTTCTTCTTCATTATAATTATAATAATAATAATAATAATAATAATTAGTAGTAGTAGTAGTATTGATGCCCTGCCTTTCCTCTTTCTCCAGAACATGGTGATGAGCTTCCGGGTCTCGGACCTGCAGATGTTGCTGGGCTTTGTGGGGAGGAGCAAGAGCGGCCTGAAGCATGAGCTGGTCACGCGGGCCTTGCAGCTGGTCCAGTTCGACTGCAGCCCAGAGCTCTTCAAGAAGATCAAGGAGATCTACGAGACGCGCTATGCCAAGCTCTCAGAGCCCCCGGGGGGCCCCAAGCCGCAAGTCTCCCCGACAGCCCCCACGCAGCCCCCGACGGCCCCAGACGGAATGCCCCTCCACGCCTCCTTTGACCGCAGCGGAAACAACAACACTGCTGTACCCCGGACTGCCCTCTCCTCCACCAACATTGACTATCCCTCCCTCTATGGGAAGTATCTCAACGGACTGGGGCGCTTGCCTGTCAAGCCGGTCAAGCCAGAGGTGCGTCTGGTGAAGCTGCCTTTCTACACCGTCTTGGATGAGCTGCTGAAGCCCACTGAACTTGGTGAGTTTACCTTTCTGTGTCTCCCAAAGGGGCTACTTCTAGATTCCTTTGCAACCTGATGCAAATTCACAGGACTCCACAAAATAAGCCATCCGCTTCAAAACTCCCTTTCCACAAAGCCTCCTCAAACCCGCTGTTTGGGCCTCCATTTCCCAGGAATCCTGACCATTGAACAAGCTAGCAATTAGGGCCTCTGGGAATTGGAGGCCCAAACAGCTGGGAGGCTGCAGGTTTAAGCATAGCATTTTATTTATCGTGTCAGGAGTGAATTGAGAATACAGTTGTAATGTAGAAAAAACCACAAGCAAAGTTAGAAACTTGGCATTATACTAAATTTCCTTTGATCAGAAGCTGGCCACTTGGAGTGCCTCTGGTGTCGCTTTGAGAAGGTCCTCCATTGTGCATGTGACAGGGCTCAAGCTGCATTGTAGTAAGTGGACTGTGGTTTGCTTTTCTCCACACTCGCATGTCGTGGACTCCACTTTGAGACTCCATTTCTTAAGGTGCATCTCATTGTGCCAGAGCGCAGTCTGTTCAGCGCCTTCCAAGCCTCTCAATCTTCTGTGTGCCCGGGAGGGAGTCTCTCGTCTGGTATCAGACGCTGATTGAGGTTCCGGGTTTTAGCCTGCTACTTTTGGGCTCTCACTTTCTGAGGTGTTCCTGAAAGTATCTCTGTAGATCTTAGAAAGCTGTTTGTTGATTTATGGCGATGGCATGGTGGCTGATATCCAAACAGGGGATGGGCCAGAGATGTCACTGTCTTGGTCTTTTCTTTACTGGGTGCTATTTCCTTGTGGAAGTCAGGTGGTGCGATACCGGCTAAACAGTGTAATTTCTTCAGCGGTGTAGGTTGTAGACATCCAGTGATAATGCGGCATGCCTCATTAAGAGCCACATCCACTGTTTTAACATGGTGAGATCTATTCTACACTGGGCATGCAAATTCAGCAGCAGAGTACCAAAGTGCAAGGGCAAATGTCTTCACTGTCTCTGGTTGTGATCCCCAGGTTGTGCTAGTCAGCTTTCGTATGATACTATTTGTAGCATATTTTAAGCATAGTGCATAAGATAGAAGTACAGTGCCATTCTCTGACGCACATATATACACAAATTGGAGCTGAGATCCAGACTGTCTCAAGGACCGTGTTTTCCCATTTTAATTTTTGTATTGTTTTTAAATTCTGTTGGGTTGTGTCCTGTTATTGTTAGCCACCTTGAATCTCTATGGGGAGAAATGCGGGATAAAAATAAACTAAATTATCAAAATGATAATGTAAGCTTCCTTGAATCCCTGTGGGAGAAAGATGGGATAAAAATAAAGATAAAAGATAATAATAATAATAATGTAAACTGTCTTGAGTTTCTATGGGGGAAAGGCAGAATAAAAATAAAGATGATAATAGTAGTAGTAATAATAATAATAATAATAATAATAATATTGTAAGCTGTTTTGAGTTTCTTTGGGGGGAAAGGCAGAATAACAACAACAACAATTGTTGCCATGGACCGACCACTTCCTGGTCAGATTTAGGCTCACTGCGCCCCCTAACCTCTGCAGAGGTGGAGGACCCATTAAGTTGGTCCGCCCCAGGAGGCTTATGGATCCGGATGGATTCCTGATGGCTCTTGGGGAGTTTCCCGCTGCCTCGGTAGGTGATCCTGTCGAGGCCCTGGTCACTCTCTGGAATGGGGAGATGACTAGGGCAATTGACACGATCGCTCCGGAACGTCCCCTCTCAAGTAGCCGAGCTAAACCAGCTCCCTGGTTCACCGAGGAGTTGACAGCGATGAAGCGAAGGAAGAGGGAACTAGAGAGTGTGTGGCGTTCGGATCCGTGTGAGCCAAATCGAACACGGTTTGTGTCCTTTTTAAGGGCATATGCCGCGGCAATAAAAGCCGCAAAGAAGGCCTTCTTTGCGGCCACTATTGCGTCTGCAAAGAACCGTCCGGCTGAGCTGTTCCGAATTGTCAGAGGCCTTTTAAATCCCACCACTCAAGGTGGGAACCCTGACGATTCGACTTCTCGCTGTGAAGCTTTTGCTCAGTTCTTTGCAGACAAAGTCGCTTTGATCCGTTCTGGTCTGGATACCATGTTAATGGCAGTCTCTGAGGATGTAACACGAGCACCTGCTTGTCCAGTTTTGATGGATTCATTTCAATTGGTGAAACCCGAGGATGTGGACAAGATACTTGGAGGAATGAGGCCAACCACATGCATCCTGGACCCCTGCCCATCCTGGCTTCTAAAGGAGGCCAGAGGGGGATTGGCTGAGTGGGTTAAGGTGGTGGTTAATGCTTCCCTTCGGGAAGGCAAGATTCCAGCGAGCTTAAAACAAGCTATAATAAAACCGCTGTTGAAGAAACCATCACTGGACCCCACTAAATTCGACAACTATCGGCCAGTTTCCAATCTCCCCTTCTTGGGCAAAGTCTTGGAACGTGTGGTGGCCTCACAACTCCAGGTATTCTTGGTAGACACGGATTATCTAGACCCGGCACAGTCTGGCTTTAGGCCGGGACATGGTACCGAGACAGCCTTGGTCGCCTTAGTGGATGATCTGCGCCGGGAGCTCGACAGGGGGAGTGTGTCCCTGTTGGTGCTGCTGGACCTCTCAGCGGCCTTCGATACCGTCGACCACGGTATCCTTCTGGGACGCATCGCGGGGATGGGTCTTGGAGGTACTGTTTTGCAGTGGCTCCGGTCATTCCTGGAGGGTCGATCTCAGAAGGTGTTGTTGGGGGACACCTGTTCAACCCCACAACCATTGTCTTGTGGGGTTCCTCAGGGCTCAATATTGTCTCCCATGTTGTTCAACATCTACATGAAGCCGCTGGGGGAGATCATCCGGAGTTTCGGGGTACGGTGTCATCTGTACGCGGATGATGTCCAACTCTATCACTCCTTTCCACCTGCTACTAAGGAGGCTGTCCAGGTCCTGAACCGGTGCTTGGCCGCTGTGACGGTCTGGATGAGGGCGAACAAATTGAAATTGAATCCAGACAAGACAGAGGTACTCCTGGTCAAGTCGCAAGGCCGAACAGGGCATAGGGTTACAGCCTGTGTTGGATGGGGCCGCACTCCCCCTGAAGACGCAGGTTCGCAGCTTGGGTGTGACCCTGGACTCATCGCTGAGCCTGGAACCCCAGGTTTCGGCGGTGACCAGGGGAGCATTTGCACAGCTAAAGCTTGTGCGCCAGCTGCGCCCGTACCTTGGGAAGTCTGACTTGGCCACGGTAGTCCACGCTCTGGTTACATCCCGTTTAGACTACTGCAACGCTCTCTACGTGGGGTTGTCTTTGAAGACAGCTCGGAAGCTCCAACTAGTCCAACGCTCGGCAGCCATGATTTTAACAGGAGCGGAGCGCAGGGAGCATACAACCCCCCTGTTGCGCCAACTCCACTGGCTACCGATCTGCTACCGGGCTGAATTCAAAGTGCTGGCATTGGACTTTAAAGCCCTAAACGGTTCCGGCCCAAGCTACCTATCTGACCGCATCTCTGCCTATGAACCCACCAGGACTTTGAGATCTTCCGGGGAGACCCTGCTCTCGATCCCGCCTGCTTCTCAAGCTCGGCTGGCGGGGACGAGAGATAGGGCCTTCTCGGTGGTGGCTCCTCGGCTGTGGAACGCCCTTCCTACGGACATTAGACTAGCACCATCTCTAATGGTATTCCGCAAAAAGGTGAAGACCTGGATGTTTGTGCAGGCGTTTGAGTAATTTAGTGCAATCTGGTAATGGAACATAGGAATGGAACAATGGACGACGAACCTGGACTACGCTTGGATGATGAGAAGATTGGGTACGGTTGTCTTTTGTAATAATTGTGCATTGTAACTGCTTATTGGTAATTTATGGATAATGTGTTAAGTCAATTGTTATATGTTGTATGGAACCACTGCTGTTTCTACTGTTTTTACTGTTTGTGAACCGCTGTGAGTCGCCTTCGGGCTTGAGATACAGCGGTATATAAGCAAAGTAAATAAATAAATAAATAAATAAATAAACAATGACAGTAACATCAAAAATATTGTAAGCCTCCTTAAGTCCATATGGGGAGAATGGCTAATAGAAATAACGTAAATTATAATGATGATAAGGTTATTGTATGTTTCCTTGAATCCCTATGGGGAGAAAGGTGGGATAGAAATAAAGATAATATCAATGATGATGATGATGATGTTGATGTTATTATTGTAAGCTGTCTTGAGTTTCTTTGGGGGAAAAGACAGAATAAAAACAACAACAACAATAATATTGTAAGCCTTCTTAACTCCCTATGGAGGGAAATGCAGAATAAAAATAAACTAAATTATAAAAATGATAATGTAAACTTCCTTGAATTCCTATGGGAGAAAGATGAGATAGAAATAAAGATATTATCAATCATAGTTATTATTATTATTATTATTATTATTATTATTATGTTATTGTAAGCTGTCTTGAGTTTCTTGGAGGGAAAAGGCAGAATAATAATAACAATAATAATATTGTAAACCTGCTTAAGTCCCTATGGGGAGAAAGGTGGATAGAAATAACGATTTCATCATCATCATCATCATAATTAATAATAATAATAATAATAATAATAATAATAATGTTATTGTGAGCTGCCTTGAGTTTCTTTGGGTGAAAATAACAACAACAACAATATTGTAAGCCTCCTTAAGCCCCTATGGGGAGAAAGGTGGATAGAAATAAAGTAAATTATAATGATGATAAGGTTATTGTAAGCTTCCTTGAATCCCTATGCCAGGGGTCCTCAAACTAAGGCCCGGGGGCCGGATGCGGCCCTCCAAGGTCATTTACCCGGCCCTCGCTCAGGGTCAACTTAAGTCTGAAATGACTTGAAAGCACACAAAAACAACAATCCTATCTCATCAGCCAAAAGTAGGCCCACACTTCCCATTGAAATACTAATAAGTTTATATTTGTTAAAATGGTTCTTCATTTTAATCATTGTATTGTTTTTAAGTGTCTTTTGCACTATAAATAAGATATGTGCCGTGTACAGAGGAATTCATTCATGTTTTTTTCAAATTATAATCCGGCCCTCCCAACAGTTTGAGGGACCGTGACTTGGCCCTCTGTTTAAAAAGTTTGAGGACCCCTGCCCTATGCAGAGAAAGGTGGGATAGAAATAAAGATATTATTATTTATTAATAATTATGTTATCGTAAGCTGTCTTGAGTTTCTTTGGAGGAAAAGGCAGAATAAAAATAAAGATAAAACTCATATATACTAGAGTATAAGCTGACCCAAATGTAAGCCAAAGCACCTAATTTTACCAAAAAATTCCTGGGAAAATATACTGTCTTGAGTATAAGTTGAGGGTGGGAAATGCAGCAGCTACTGGTAAATTTCAAAATAAAAATAGATATCAATAAAATTAAATTAACTGAGGCATCAGTAGGTTAAATGTTTTTGATTATTTACCGTATTTCAAAGAAAAACAGTAAACTAGCTCTGTTAAGTGGAAAAGTAGGGTAAACAAAAACAATATGGTATCAATAACTTTATAACAATAACAACAGGCAAACATTCAATGCCTATATAAACAGTGCAGAGCTAGATATAGATCTGTAATTATATATACTAATTTCACATATGCATTTTCCCCTGAAACGTTTGCAAATCCTCTCTGTATGTTCATTTCCCTCCTACAATATTTGCAAGCCCTATATCTCTATGTTTATATCTATCTAGACATCTCTCTCTACGTTTCCTCTGCAATATTTGCAAGCTGTATATACCTTTATTCATAACTATCTCGACATATCAATATATATTTGTGTGTGCATTTCCCCCCTCTAGTATTTGCAAGCCCTATATATCTATATTCATATATATCTATCTAGCCACCTCTATATAGATAATTATATCTATATAGGATTTGCAAAGACTTGCAAACATGTGAGGGGAAAATTCCTATATGAAAATAATGTATACATATAGATACAGCTACAGATACACAGGAACATGGAAATCTCTAGATATCTGTATACATACAGGATTTGAAACAACCTGAAAAAATATGAGGGGAACATTCATTTATAAAATTAATGTGTGTGTATGTGTGTATGTATATGTATGTATGTATGTATGTATATATATATATATATATATATAGATAGAGAGAGAGAGAGAGAGAGAGAGAGAGAGAGAGAAAGATACAGAAATAACGGTACATAGGGATGGCAAAGGCTTACGGGGGGAAATGCCTATATATCTGTAGCAGAGATTTCAGGGGAAAATGCTTTCATGCTTTTATAAGATTAATGGATATTCCTGACTTGCAAGGGCTTCTCTCCTTCTTGAGCGAGTGAGGGAGGTTTTGGAAAAGAAAACACACTGTTAAGGGAGGAGAGAGAACTATATCATATATTGCAAGCAATGGCCTCCAGGCTTTGCCGGCTTGATCCCATTATAAGCTGTGAAAGGCTTTTTCAGCCAAAAAAAAAAGGACTGAAAAACTCAATTTATCTTCGAGTATATATGGCCCCCTGGTGGCACAGTGGGTTAAACTGCTGAGCTGCTGAACTTGCTGACCAAAAGCTTCTGCCAGCCTAGCAGTTTGAAAACATGCAAATGTGAGTAGATCAATAGGTAGAACTTCTGCAGTCATGCTGGCCACATGACCTTGGAGGTGTCCATGGACAACGCTGGCTCTTCGGCTTAGAAATTGAGTTGAGCACCACCCCCCAGAGTCAACACGTCTAGACTTAATGTCAGGGGAAACCTTTACCTTATATAGTAATAATAGTAGTAGTAATATTGTAAGCTGCCTTAAGTCCCTGTGGGGAGAAAGGTGGATAGAAGTAATAATAATAATAATAATAACAACAACAACAATAATAACGATGATGATGTTATTGTAAGCTGCCCTGAGTCCCAATGGGGAGAATGGTGGGATAGAAATAAAGATGATGCTACTGATGATGATTTAACAATGTATTATAAGTGCCTTAAGTTCCTGTGGGGGGATAGAAATAAAATAATAACAACAACAATAGTAAAAGTGCTGGCTTTAGCCTATAAAGTTCTAAGCGGTTCTGGCCCAGCTTACCTGTCCGAACGTATCTCTCCCTATGAACCATCTAAGAGTTTAAGATCATCTGGGGAGGCCCTGCTCTCAGTCCCTCCTTCTTCGCAGGTGCGACTGGCGGGGACAAGAGACAGGGCCTTCTCAGTGATGGCCCCTTGGTTGTGGAACGCCCTCCCCCGGAATATTAGATCAGCCCTCTCCCTTCGACCTTCAGGAAAAAAGTGAAAACATGGCTATTTGAACAAGCCTTCAGAATCTAATGCAACATTCAAACACGGTACTAGACGAAAGTGAACATTGGAACAGCTCAGATGACGATTTATGTACAATGGGACTAACAATGAAGGCATTGGTTTTATATGTTTTGTTGAATGTATTTCGATAAGCACTGATAAGATTGGACTGGCCATGCCTCACACACAGCCATGCAGTTGGGAGATGCATTTGCTCGGAATGCTCCATAGTGTGAACAATTGTCTCAGCCTCCCTTTGGGGCCTTTTTTTATGTTGGAGGCAGAAGGGCCTAAACAGCTGGGGAAAGAAGCAGGGTGATGTTTCCTATTTACCAACCTGTCTTTGAAAAGCCTTCTCTCCTTTTTTTACACCTCCCTACCCAGTCCCACAGAACAGCGAGAAGCTGCAGGAGAGCCCTTGTGTCTTTGCCCTGACGCCGCGGCAAGTGGACCTGATCCGGAGTTCGAGGTATCCGCCTGTGTGTCAATTCAGATTTGCGTACAGCAGCAGCTGTATTATCATGTCACGCGCGTATGCCTCCCAAACCACGTTTCGACTGTAGCTCCCAACACTTATTATTATGCCATCTGGGAGTTTCTGGAAGTTGCTGCCTAAGGAGTTCTGTGTGATCCCAAACTCTGCAATTAGCCACGGTTTGTTGCTCTAGTCCTGAAGTCAAACAAACCGCCATTTCATTTGCAGCCAAAATGATATTAGTGGGCCAACCTTGTCCATTGTTTTTAAAATACTACTACTACTACGAATAATAATAATAATAAATACTATTATTAATATTGCTACTTTTACTAAAGAGTTTTTTGAAATCAAAAGAGAGTGTTTTCTTGTCCTCTCTTTAAAGTGGATGCTTAATCCTGCATTTTGGTCTTTCCTTTCTCCTTCCATTTGGCAGGGAGTTGCAGCCAGGTGTGCGGTCGGTGCAGGTCGTCCTCAGGTAAGCCTCCTTCTTGATAGATGGTTTGCTGGCAAGGGCGGGTTCGGCTGCAGGCTCTCAAGCCAGTTTGAGTGACTCTGAATCCTGCCTTGGTTTCCAGAATCTGCTACACCGACACCAGTTGCCCTCAGGAAGACCAGTATCCCCCCCACATCGCTGTCAAAGTCAACCACAACTACTGTTCCGTCCCCGTAAGTTGATGCCGGCATCTATTTTTGAGCTAAACCCACTGGCAGAGGGGATTTTTGCTGGCTAGTAGAGCCAAAAGCACCTCTCTGAGTCTTGGAGCGTGGTCTCCTAATCAGAATTAACCTTTTCCTCTCTTTCCCTCTCTCTTTCTCTCTCTCTCTTTTTTCCCCCTCTCACTCTCTTTCCCTCTCTCTCATTCTCTTTCTCTCCTTTTTCTTTCTCATTCTCTTTTTGCCTTTCTTACTCACCTCCTTCTTTCTCCCCCTCTCTCTCACTCTCTTGTTCTTCCTTATTCTTTCTCTTTACCACTTTCTTTTCCTTTCTCTTCCTCTTTCTCCCCCTCTCTTATTCTCTCCTTTTCTCTCTTTCTCTTTCCCTTTTTCTTTCTCTTTCTTCTGCCCTCTCTTTCCCTTTCTCCATCTCTCTCATTCTCTTTTTCTCACTCTCTTCTTTCTCTCTCCCTTCCCCTCTTTCTTCCTTTCTCTCATTCTCTCTCTATTCTCTTGTTTTCTTCCTCTCTCTTCTTTCTCTCCCCTCCCTCTCTTTCTTCCTCTCTCTCCGATTCTCTTTCTCTACTTTTCTTTTTCTTTCTCCCTCTTTTTCTGACACTCTATTTCTTTCACTTCCCCCCTCTCTCATTCTCTTCCTTTCTCCCTCTTTCTTCTTTCTCTCTCCTTCCCCTTTCTTCCTCTCTCTCATTCTCTCCTGTTCTCTTTCTCTCCTTTTCTTTCTCTCTTTCGCTTTCCCTTTCTTTCTCCCTCTCTCTTCTTCCTCCCTTCCTCCCTCTCTTTCTGTCTCTCCCTCATTCTCTCTCCATCTCTCCGTCTCTGTTCCTTTGTCTCTTTTTCTCTCTCTCCCTAGGGCTATTACCCTTCCAACAAACCTGGGGTGGAGCCCAAGAGGCCGTGCCGCCCCATCAACCTCACGCACCTGATGTTCATGACTTCCGCGACCAACCGCATCACAGTCATTTGGGGCAACTACGGAAAGGTGCGCAGCCAATGGGGTACACGCCAAGCGATCCCTTCTTACGCTCTAAATAAAAACCCTTTGACCTTACTTGCTCTGTACTTAAATGGGAGCAGACCCACACTCTTCCCTCCCTTGCGCCCCTACCTCCTTCCTGCTCTGGCAGAGGTCAAGAGCGAGTCACACTCAAATAGGGATGATCTTTCCTGTTCATTCCTTACATTTGTCAGGGTGGCTGCATTGGAGTAGTTATCATTTGGGGGGTTTCTGCCTGAATTAATTATAATAATAAACAATCCTCTGGAAGCCTGGTTGTATAGGTAGAGGGGACGATGGGATCATGTGGCTGTGTAGATGTGGTCTCCCCATCATTGCCATGATCAACTTCTTGTTTTCTCCCTCTCCCTGCATCCCAACATCAGAGTTATTCTGTGGGCCTCTTCCTCGTGCGGCAAATGACGTCAGCAGAGTTGCTGCAGAGGTTGAAAAACATCGGGATCAAACACCCGGAGCTATGCAAGGCACTTGGTGAGCCCCATTTTTCTCTTTTGCTGCTTGTTTATGGTTTAGATGGGAGGAAGCTGCTTATCGACATCTACCCATCTTTTCTTTCTTTGTCCTTCTTGAAATCACAGTGAAAGAGAAGCTGCGCCTGGATCCAGAAAGTGAAATTGCCACCACCGGGGTCCGGGTCTCTTTAATATGTCCGGTAAGTTTTCCATATTTTGCACGAGGTGGGCTGCTGGCTATTTATTTATCACGTCAGAAGCAAATTGAGGGTACAGTTGTAATGTATTTAAAAACACAAACACATTTTAAAAACTTGGCATTATACTAAATGTCCTTTGACCAGAAGCTGGCCACTTTGGAGTGCCTCTGGTGTCGCTGTGAGAAGGTACGCCATGTGGCAGGGCTCAGACCACATTGTAATCAGTGGTCTGTGGTTTGTTCTTCTCCACACTCACATGTCACGAATTCCACTTTGTGGCCCCTTTTCTTAAGTTGGCTCTGCATCTCATGGTGCCAGAGCACAGCCTGTTAAGTGCCTTTCAAGTTGCCCAGTCTTTTGTGTGACCTGGAGGGAGTTTCTTATCCGGTCTCAGCCACTGACTGAGGTTCTGGGTTTTCGCCTGCCACTTTTGGGCTCTCGCTTGCTTAGGTACTCTGGGAGCATCTCTGTAGATTTTAGGAAGCTATTTCTTGATTTAAAGTGTTGGTGTGCTGGCTGATATTCAAACAGAGGATGGACCGGAGAGTATACTTCCCAACAGATGTCAGATGCTGTGACACCAGCTAAACAGTATAATTTCTCCAGCGGTCTAGGGTGTAGAGATTCTGTGATAATGTGGCAAGTATCACTAAGAGTCACATTCACTGTTTTAACATGGTCAGATGTATTCCACACTGGGCACGCACATTCAGCAGCAGAATAGCAAAGCGCAAGGACACTGTGTCTGGTTGTGATCCCCAGGTTGTGCCAGTCAGCTTTCGTATGATATTTTTAGCAACCACTTTTTGCTTGATAGTCAAGCAGTGTTTCATATAAGTCAGAACACGGTCCAGGGGGACTCCCAGGTATTTTGGTGTACTGCAATTCTCCAGGGGATTTCTTCCCATATAATCCTCAGAGCTCAAGATGCTTACCTGTTCTTAAGGTGAAAAGCACATGTCTGTGTTTTAGATGGATTAGGAATAAATTGGTTTCTCCTGTAATAGGCAGTAAGAGCACCGAAAGCTTTGGAGAGCTGTTCAAGCATTTCAAAGCTCCCTGGTTGAGCAGTGCTAGCACAATCATCAGCATAGATGAAAGTCTTTGTCCCCTCTGGCAGTGGCTGATCATTTCTGTAAATATTGAACATGGATGGATTGAGCACACTCCCCATTCTTCTGTTTTCATTATCTGCTTCTTTGACCCTGGAACCCAACAAAAAAGCTTCTGTGTTGTAGCAGATTTCCTGTGAAGCAGGTGAGGTGGTAGTCTTTCGTGATATTATAAGCTTTTCTCAGGAGAAGGCGATGATTTACAGTATCATAAGCTGCTGACAGATCTATGAAGACAGCTTCTGTGATCTGTCGCCTTTCAAAACCATCTTCTATGTTCTGAGTCAGGTTCAGCCCTTGTGATGTGCAACTTTTCCCTTTCCTGAAACCAGCTTGCTGTGGAATCATATATCTAACTATCTAATAAATCCACAGCAGACATCTTGTCACTCTCCATGCTCACAAGAAAAAAAGGAGGACTCAGGCTTGCCTTGTGCTCAGAAAAAGAGGCATGTCCCTGAGAAATATGTCTAGCAAACCAATAGGAGGAGATAATAGATTGACAGGCAGACCTAGAGGCCAATTGGGGAAGGGCTTTTCTCTGCCTATCTTAAGTCCTTGATGAGGAATACAAGCTTGTGCAAAATGTGGTGTGAGTTCCAACATGTGTTCTGCACAAAACCTGTACAAAGAAGCCTTTTCTGCGCAGAAAACAATCTTTTCATGTGTTCTGCGTCATCAGACGTCTTAACCATGGACTTCTTTGTCCTTTGTTTTATATTTCCCCCCTGAAAAGCTGGTGAAGATGCGCTTGTCTGTCCCGTGTCGGGCCGAAACCTGCGCCCACCTCCAGTGCTTCGATGCCGTGTTCTACTTGCAGATGAACGAGAAGAAGCCCACGTGGATGTGCCCTGTCTGCGACAAGCCAGCCACGTATGACCAGCTCATGATTGATGGGTAAGTGAGAAGGCCGCCTCCATTCTTCTGCTCACTTCCAGAAGCTTCCCGAGGAGGTGGGAATGCAAAGCCTGGAATCCTAGGAACTTTCAATCATATTTCAGAGGAAGGAGATGAATGGAGTGCTGGAGACCTCTATTTTGTAGTTTTCAAACGGCCTTAAGGCAGTTGAAGCAGGAAGGAAGGGAAAATAGCCTTAAACGGGGGTGTGACTATTATGTGAGGAAAACAAAAATACCATTTTTTGGCATGCTATTATGTGGTGCTGACCTCTGAGTGCCTTAAAAAAACCCTCTGAAATTCATGGGGTCACCATAAAGTTGGCAGGCAACTTGAAATCAGATATCCCTATTCTTACTCTCAGAACTCACCACTTTAAAGGCCATTATTAAAAAAACAGTTGGAAGTGGACTTTTCCGGGCCTGGTGCATCCCATTTCAAGGGTCCAAAATTGGACTGTGGGCTGCTTCAGGTTGCCCATTGATTTTATGGGCAGTCTGATTTTACTTGCTGCATGCCTTCAGGTGTTTTTCAACCTGGGAGAAAGCTGTCATGGGCAGGATTTATTCACAGATGGTTTGCCTCCCTCTGAGGCTGAGAATGCCTGACTCATTCGGAGCAGAGATTCAAACCCTGATCTCCCTGACTCGTAATCCAGCATTCGGGTGGCTGTTAGCGCTCATCATCCCCCGTTTGAAGTCAGGATATTGCCTTGGTTCTGTAGCTTGAATGGACACCCATGTTTTCATCTTGTCCCTCTCATCTAGGCTCCTTTCAAAAATCCTGACGGAATGCGAGGACGCTGACGAGATCGAGTACTTAGTGGATGGCTCCTGGTGCCCCATCAAAGCCGAGAAGGAAAGGAGCTACAGCCCGCAGTGCCCCATCCTGGTCGTGGGAGGCTCAGCAGGTGGGTCCATTCCCTTGGGACCTGGGTCTAGGCCTTTGGGCCTCGCTTCTCCAAGGATCTTGTCCACATCCTCGAGCTGAACCAATTGAAAAGAATCCATTAAAACTGGAAAAGCAGGTGCTCGTGTTACATCCTCAGATACTGCTGTTAACGTGGCATCAAAGTCGGAACGGATCAGTGCAACTTTGTCTGCAAAGAACCGAGCAAATGCTTCACAGCGATCTGCTGAGTTGTCAGGGATCTCGCTCTGAGGTGGATTTAAAAGTCCTCTGACAACTTGGAATAGCTCAGCCGGACGGTTCTTAGCAGACGTAATATTGGCTGCAAAGAATGTTTTTTGTGCAGCCTTTATTGCCACGTCATAGCTCCTTAAAAAAGAAACTAGATGTGCTTGGACTGACCCACTACGCTTCCGCTGCCACACACACTCTAGCCACCTCTTCTTTCGCTTCATCGCTGCCAGCTCCTCAGTGAACCAAGGAGCCGGTTTAGCTTGGTTACTCGAGAGGGGGCGTTCTGGAGTGATCGTGTCTATAGCCGTGGTCATCTCCCTATCCCAGAAAGAGACCAGAGCCTTGACAGGGTCACTTACCGAGGAGGCGGGAAAATCCCCAAGAGCCGTCAGAAAACCATTTGGATCCATAAGTCTCCTGGGGCAGACCATTTTAATGGGTCCACCACCCCTGCAGAGGTAGGAAGGCGCAATAACTCTAAACCTGATCAGGTGGTGGTCGGTCCATGGCAACGGAGCAATGGTTAGCTCCTCCACCCTGCCGCCTTCTTCCCATCCCTGACAGAAAACCAGATCCAGCGTGCGGGTAGGACCTGATACTAATTGGGATAGGTGCATGGTTGCCATGGTGGCCATGAAGTCCTGAGCCGCTCCTGACAGAGTGGTCTCGGCATGAACATTGAAGTCCCCCAGCACAATGAGCCGTTGAGACTCCAATGCCTGGCCTGAGACCACTCCAGCTAACTCAGGTAGGGAGACTGTAGTGCAGCGGGGTGGTCGGTACACTAACAGAATCCCTATCCTGTCCCTGTCACCTATCCTAGATTCTAACAGAATCCCTATCCAGGCCAACACACTCAAACGTGGCAGACTGCAAGATGGGGCACCTGGTCAGGGGGATGGAATCCTTATAGACAATTGCGACTCCCCCTCCCCGCCCTCCAGATCTCGCTTGGTGCTGCATGGAGTAACCTGGTGGACAAAGCTGGGAGAGATTAACCCCCCAGCCTCATCCAACCAGGTCTCTGTTATACAAGCCAGGTCAGCCTGTTCTTAGAGGATTAGGTCCTGGATAATTGATGTTTTTCCATTAACTGACCTGGCATTGAGCAGCACCACTCTCAACCTGGAGGGACCGCCATCCTGGGTACTCAGCTTAACTTTGTTGGGAGCCCGGTTTAAATTTGTAAGAGTTCTTTCACAAATTTTTGGCCGAATTGGTAATTTAGATCTATCACTAATATTAGGCCGCATTGATAAATTGGGTCTCCCTTTCCCGCATCTTCCCCTACCAGTCATCACCTCAATGGGCCCCCCCCACCCAGGACCCACCCCCTCCCCGCTTTGGTCATTTCCCCCATCTCCGGTCCATGTTCTAAAGGACAATCTAAGCTTTTGGGACTTGAGAGTAGGCCCTTGGGTCTCAAGTCTAGGCACTTGGGACTCATCAAAGCCTTGGGAACTCAGGTCTCAGCCTTTGGGAAATGGGTCCAAGAATTTGGGACACATATCTAGGTGTTTGGTACTCAAGTCTAAGCCTTTGGAACTCAGGTCTAGGTCAGAGACCAAAAGTTTTTAGTTTTTAAACAGCCTTAAGGCCTTTGAAGCAGGAAGGAAGGCATAATCAGCTTCAAATGGGAGTGCGACTATTATGTGAGAAAAGCAAAAATAGCATTTTTGGCATCCAAAAAGGGGGTTGCAACTTTGATGCAGTGGCGACTTATGTGCTGAAATATAGTAGTTGTAAGCTTGCCCTTAAAGACTCTCTGTTACCTTTGCCTTCCCTCATCCCCTCCTCCTTCTTCTTCCTCCTGGTGTTTCCAGAGGCCACTTCAGACATCAATGGGGGGCCTCCCCAGGCCCCCAGCGTGGAAAATGGCAAGGCCCCAGCCGACGTGGTGGACTTGACGCTGGACAGCTCATCATCGGAGGGTGAGGAGGAAGAAGACGAGGAGGAGGATGAAGACGGGGAGCCTAAACAGAAGGTGCGGCGCGCCTACAAGAATGGCCTGGCCTCTGCTTGCTGACCCGAGGGGGAAAGGCCCTTTTAGAAACATCCGCATTGGAATAAAACAAGCTTGAATACCTTGGTGCTTAACTCCGATACTGGAAGAGGGGTCTTCCCACCCCTCGCTTCCCCTCTGCCTTTTGCCACTCTTCTATCTGATCCCGATTCCTCCCTGGTTCTAAGCCAAGACTAAGGAAGCTGCTGCATGTCTGGAACATCCTGCTCTGGAGAGGATGGGAGTCGGATCGCGTTATTTCCCGCTCAGCTCCGTTGCCTTTGGAACTGTGCTCCGAAACAGTTGCAGGGGTCGTTTCCCTTCTCCACCCCGTTTCCTTGCTTGTCTTGACCCCAACTTGCTTATATTTGGGAGGGGGTGAAAGAGTGGGGGAAACAACTTGACGCTGGCTGGTCAGAGCTCAGCCAAACCCTGCAAACTTTCCAACGGTCTTGTGCGTCATTTTAATTTTTTTGGGGGGGGGGGGGGGAACATTTACCTCGTTCGGCAACCATTCCTTGACTCTTCCTCCTTTCTTCCCATCCTTTCTTACTTGCTGAAGAACCGTTGCTCTTTTTGTGGTCGCTTTGGGGATGGAGGCAGGAACGAAGCAAGCCTCACTTGTTTTTCAAGGCTGCCCTTTACGGCCTCCAACCACATGTGAAAAAAGGACAAGGAATACACACAAGAGAAGAAACAAAGATTGAAACTCACTCTTCTTTTTTGTTGCCTCTTCTCAAAGATAATGCAGATGATAGTCTCGTGACTCCCCGCGTCACGATCTTTATCGGAAGTTGAACAGAAGCCATTGCAGGGCGAAGGGTGGGAGATTTATTATTATTATTTGGGTGGGATGTCAGGAAAAGGGGAAGGGCTCTAACCATCGATCTGTCATTATTATTTTTTTCCTTTTCTTTCCTTTGAAGTGCAATAACTTTGTTGTGTGTTTTGAGGAAGACAGGAACAGGAGCCTGTGTGCTCTTTGTTGGGGTTGGGGCTTATTTTGGGGGATGATGGGCCTTCCGAAGCAAGAAATGGAGGAACTTTTTGTGTCGTTTTCCCTTCTCGGTTTCTAGCCAACTACCTCGGTTTCAAAGGAACGAATATATAAGAATTCAGGTCCGTCAACGAGAGCAGCGCGGAGGCGGCAAGCGAATGGCTGTCTTCCCCCCCCCCCCCCACTTTGGGCCTTCAAACTGCTTCGGTGTCTCCATATCCTTGTATGTTTCTGTGGATCCTTGTAAAATACAACCCCCTTTCCTCTAAAATCGTTTTTTCTTGTCTGCTTTCTCCTTCCTTCCTTCTTTCTTTTGAACTTTGCCTCCCGAAAGGTGGCGGTGTCCCCCCTTGAGGCTTCACATTTTCCCCCCTTGAGGCTGAAAGCAGTCTGCACACATTCTCTCCCCCCCCCCCCCTTCCTTGCCAATCTTTAAAACCCTTCGTCCCCATCTATTCCTTTCTTGTGTTTTTCGTTCTTTCTTTTCCTGCCCTTTTCCTCTGCCAGTGAGGCTACGGCCAAGTTAAAATTAATACAGCAATGAATCTAAATCTGCTTATTGGTTATCAACATTAACATTGCGATGAATTTTAAAGTATCAGTGATCAAAATTAAAACAGTGATGGATTTCAAACTAAAAACCCATTTCAGGAGGATTGTATTGTCCAAAATGCCCCATTTCTCCTCCCAAAATGCCCCTTGAATCTTGTTTTTCCCCATTGCATCCCATTAACTTAACCCTTTTCTCCACCCATCAAACGTTTTGAATATATATTAAGCAATACATTTTCAATTTAAAATAAAACAAAACCACAATCTGCACACTTTTCGGAAGCATTTTAGAGCTGTTCTTTCTTTCTTTCGGGTCCCACTTCCTTTATTCCTTTTAATGTCTGTATCCTTATTTAATTGTGTGTTTCTCGCCTCAGTTTCCCATTCTGTATATAACGCTTTCCTTGAATTCCCCTCCTTTCCTTTCCTTTCCTTTCCTTTCCTTTCCTTTCCTTTCCTTTCCTTTCCTTTCCTTTCCTTTCCTTTCCTTTCCTTTCCTTTCTTTTCTTTTCCTTTCCCTTCCCTTCCCTTTCTTTCTTTCTTTCTCTTCCTCTCTTCCTCCCTCCCTCCCTCCCTCCCTCTCCTTTTTTTGTAAAGAAAACAAATTATTTTTCTTTCGTTCGATACACATTCTTCAGAAATTCGAGAACTATAGTGTTTGTTAAATGAAATAAAAAGGACATATTTCAACTTTAAGACGTTCCTTTTCTCCTTGTACCTGACATACAAATCACATTGTTGTGATTAAATCCTTGTTATAACACCTGCTCTGTACAAATTTGTTGTTGTTGTTGTTATTATTATTATTATTATTATTATTATTATTATTATTATTATGTACTAGCTTGGTACCCAGCGTCACCCGGGTTGTTTGAATTGTCCAAAATGCAAAAGGTTGTGGGTGAACTACAACTCGCATCATACCAGGTTAACTCCCTGAAACTCCATCAGTACTTAAAGTTTGCCATGTTGGGCAAGTTTGCTCTAGCTGCATTTTTGGTGGGGTTCAGTGTTCTCTCTGGCTGTGGGGTAAACTACAACTCACACTGTGGTGAGTCGGTTGTAGGTAGAGTTAGTCATGGGGGTATGTGTGCCAAGTTTGATCCACATCCATTAGTGTTTGGGTTCACAGTGCTCTCTGGATGTAAGTGAACATCTCCCCCAAATCAAGGTGAATCCGCCCCCCCCCAAAAAAATACCTTCATTATTTTTTTGCTAATCATGAGGGCTCAGTGTGCAAAGTTTGGTCCAATTCCATCTGTGGTGGAGTTCAGAGTGCTCATTGATTGCAGGTGAACTATACATCCCAGAACCTGCAACTCCAAAATGCCCAGGCCAATCGCCCTCAAAACCCACCAGTATTCAAATGTGGGCATATCAGGTATGCGTTCTAAGTTTGGTCCAGATCCATCATTGTTTGGGTTGATAGTGCGCCCTGGATGTCGGTGAACTACAACTCCTCTGAATCCCTTCAAAGACTTCCAGTATTTTTTTGTTGGTCAGGGGTGTTCTGTGTGCCAAGTTAGTTTCAGGTCCATCATTGGTGGAGTTCAGAGTGCTCTTAGATTGCAGGTCAACTATACATCCTAGAACCTACAACCCCTAGAACCTACAACCCCTTTTTTTCGTGTCAGCAGCGACTTAAGAAACTGAAGTCGCTCCTGGTGTGAGAGAATTGGCCATCTGCAAGGATGTTGCCCAGGGGACGCCCGGATGTTTTGATGTTTTATCATCCTTGTGGGAGGTTTCTCATGTTCCCGCATGGGGAGTTGGAGCTGACAGAGGGAGCTCATCTGTGCTCTCCCTGGATTCAAACCTCCGACCTGTCAGTCTTCAGTCCTGCCATCACAAGGGTTTAACCCAGGGGTCCTCAAACTAAGGCCCAGGGGCCAGATGCGGCCCTCCAAGGTCATTTACCTGGCCCTTGGTCAGGGTCAACCTAACAACTTGAAAGTACATAACAACAACAACAATCCTATCTCATCAGCCAAAAGCAGGCCCAAATTTCCTATTAAAATACTAATACGTTTATATTTGTTAACATTGTTCCTCATTTTAATTATTGTATTGTTTTTAAGTGGTTTTTACACTACAAATAAGATATGTGCAGCGTGCATAGGAATTCATGTTTTTTTTCAAATTATAATCTGGCCCTTCAACAGTTTGAGGGACTGTGACCTGGCCCTCTGTTTAAAAAATTTGTGGACCCTTGGTTTAACCCATTGCACCACTGGGAGCTCCATGTTGTACTTGCTGGAATTTATAGCTCACCCACAATCAAAGAGCACTCCGAATTCTCCCCAAACCTCTCTAGTATGTTCAGTTGAGATCAATTCCTCTTGTTTGCTGTGCACCGTAGAAATTAGTAGGAAAGGGTTAAGGGAGAGGCATTGGGCATTGGACGGGGTCATGCAAATTCCACACCAATTGAGAGAGAAAGAAATGCTGGGATGTCTGTGGTGGAGGAAACACATAAAATCTAGTATGAAATTGCCCTGGTGTGAAACCCTTCACTTGGGTGGTGGGTGGTATGGTGTTTGTGGAGGACATTGATAGGGCTCTTGGACATGTTCATAGTGCCAACTATAACCTGCAGTGTCATTGGAGGGAGGGCCGTTGGTGTCTCCTGAGTAGTAGGAGCTATAGCCGTTTGTGGAGGCAGGAGCCTGTCTATGTAAGTGGACGCCCCAGCCACACACATACATAGTTTCACTTGAATTATGTGTAAGGTAAAGGTAAAGGTAGTCTGACATTAAGTCCAGTCATGTCTGACTCTGGGGTGTGGTGCTCATCTCCATTTCTAAGCCGAAGAGCCAGCATTGTCCGTAGACACCTCCAAGGTCATGTGGCCGGCATGACTGTATGGAGCGCCGTTACCTTCCCACCGGAGTGGTACCTATTGATCTACTCACATTTGCATGTTTTCGAACTGCTAGGTTGGCAGAAGCTAGGGCTGACAGCGGAAGCTCACGCCGCTCCCCGGAATCGAACCTGCGACCTTTCGATCAACAAGCTCAGCAGCTCAGTGCTTTAACCCACTGCGCCACCGGGGGGCCCCTGAATTATGTGTATATGTATTATTTATTTATTTATTACTCTTATTCTTATTTAATTCTTATTAAATTTTTCTTGTGAGCCACCTTGATTCTCTATGGAGACAAAGGTGGGGTAGAAATAATAATGCTATTGCTGTTCTTAGCAGCCTTGAGTTCCTATGGAGAGAAAGGTGTGATAGAAATAATAATAGTTAGCTGCCTTTATGATGAATATAATTTAATAACTGAATAATAATTTTATAATCATAATGATGATAATGTTATCGTTAGTTGTCTTGAGTCCCTATGTGAAGAAAGGTGGGTAGGAGGAAGGAGGAGGAGGAGGAGACGACGACGACTGGCACAAGCCGGTAAAGGTGGTCCTAGTGGTGATCAGCACACTGGATACAGTGCCTAAAGACCTTGGCCTGCACTTAAACACAATTAGCGCTGACAAAATTGCCAGCTGCATGCATTATTCGCTGAAACATCACACAGTCGTAGACACTTGGAAAGTGTCTGATGTGTGATCCAAAACAGTTAGCAGAGTGATCTTGTCTGCTGTGGACTCATCTTGTGTTTCAAATAATAATAATAATTGTTAGCAACCTTTATGGTGATAATAACAATTTAATAACAACAATGATATTAATGGTACTGTCAGTTCCCATGGGTCCCTATGGGGAAAAGGATGAGATAAAAATAATAATGATGGTAATAATTTAATAATTTTGTAATAATTATGTTATTGTTAATCACCTTGAGTTCCCTATGGGGAAAAAGATGGGATAGAAATAAAGATGATGATAACAACAACAATGCTATTATTAGCCTCCTTGATGATGATATTAACAATTCTTTAATAAGTTGATGTTCTTCACCTTGATTCCCTATGGGAAGAGAGGCAGGTGAGAAATAATGTAAATAATAATAAGCCCTCTTGTGTCCCTATAGGGAGAAAGTTGGGATACAAATATAATACTAATAATTTACTAATATAATGTAGTAATAATAATTTAATATTTAATAATGTAATAATTTACTAATAATATAATGTAATAATATAATAATTCATCCCCAGCTATAACCATGTGATGCCTTTGTTTTCCAACCAAAAAGGGTGCAATCCATCAGGGATGCTTCATTTAATTATTATTCAACAATTCAAGGGTCACTATTTTCCCCATCACTACTTCCAATCTAGATCCCTATCTGCGCCAAAAGCTTGTCACGTGTAGTGCTCTGCTTAGCTTCCGGGTTCGGGCAAGCCACACTGCGCGTGCGCAAGCAGACTCTCGAGTTGCCCTCTCTCCGTGAGAAGAGGAAGTCGAGCCGGGAGAGGAGGCGCGCATGCGCTTTGGAGCCCGCCATCGTGGCCCTGCCCCTCGTCGGCGCCTGTGTATATAAAGGCCATCAGTTGACGTCAGCGCCCTCTTTCGCCCACTCGGCGCCTGCCAGCAAGACAGGGCCGCTGGAGCAGCCGACGACGCCATTGTTGCCGGCCTTTCTTTTCTCTGTCTTCCTTTATTCTCCCTGCGGAGAATCCGCCGCCATCCGCCGCCATGGTGAGCCATCCGGGGCTTCACGGGGTTGGAAGGAGAGCTGGCAAGGCGGGGCTCTCCCGCGGGTCGGGTATGGGCCCGGTCCTGCCCGAAGGCCAAGCGAGCCCGGCGATGGCTAGGCCTCAAAGCCCCCTGAAAGCCCTGAAGAGACACCTAGGACTCAAGAAGCCTGGCAGGCCCTTAAGAAGGGAAGGGAGGGGCGGTTGGTGGATTTAAGAGCCCATTGCTAGGCAAGGAGTGAGGAAAAGTAGAATGGTGTCCCTCCCAAGAGCTTGGAGCCTTGTTGGAAGCCAGTAGCTTCAGTACTATAACATTGTATATATTAATTTATATAATGTGAATGTTGTAATATATATATATATATACACACACAACTTATGATATAGTGCAATATATATACTACGAATAGTATAATAGACTGGTAGTGTATTATTTAGTGGTATAATATAGTACTGTTATGTATTTTATGTAATATTACTCATACTGCAGTATAGTGGTATAGTACAATATAGTAATATATAATACTTATAGTATAATAAACTGGTAGCGTATTATATATTGTGATATAATAAAAGAGTATAATCATACTATATAGTACATGTAATATTACTCATAATATTTCAGTATAGTGTAATACAATGTAATATAAAATGCTAATATTGTGCTCTGCTAATAATATATATTGTATATACATATAATGCTGATAACTAGTGTGTGTGTGTGTATATATATATATAACTCTGAATTATTGCAGGGTTAATTGGAGGAACAATGAGGTTCCATGTTATATATGTGTGTGTGTGTGTGTATAAAGTGAGTTATTGCAGGTGTTCCGTTTTAATATGTGTGTTTGTGTAGCTAGATAGATCTGCATTATTGCAGGGTGTTACCCAGGGAGAGCAAGGAGATTCTTTTTCTCTCTTGATACATATATTGCAGGATGTTACCTGGTCTTTAAACCATGGTCTTCATTTCCTTGTTTTTCTGGGTGAACCCGAGCCATTTTAAGGGAGGAAAGGGACAGCCATGACACAGGTTTTGGGTTCGAGTTTGAGACAAACCCTTCTGTGTTTTAGAGACTTGGGGGGGGGGGGGAATCATGTATCAGCGATAATATGAAAATGACGTGGCAAAGAGGGAGGGGAGCTGTGCCAGCTTTCTCTTGTCCAAAGGGAGCTGTGCCTTCTGAGAGGCGCCTTATGTAACCCTGCAGTCTTGCCGCATCGCAGCTTGGTGTGACCTTCGCTCTTGTGGTCCACCCTTTTTATGCCCAAAAAAATTGGGTTGTTTGCCAACCTGGTGGCCTAAGAACAACTCTTTATCCATAAAGGAAACAGGCTTAGGCTTCCATTCAGAGGTGAAAGAGGGGAGTATTGTTATTAGTATCTGAGTGTGGCATTTTGTGTTTTCTGATACCAAAAATCATAATCCCATATAATTCTGCATATGCCTTTTATACATATTATTTTCTTCAAGAAGAGAATTAGTTTAAAAAGAATTATAATGTTATATTATTACTAGCTTGGGTGCCTTGTGTTGCCTGGGTTATTTGAAAAAAAAACTTTTTTGTACAAAATGCATAAGGTTGTGGATTAACTTCAACTCGCATCATGCCAGGTTAACCCTGAGAAACTCCATTAGTACTTAAAGTTTGTGATGTTGGCAAGTTTTCTCTATATGCATCATGGGTGGGGTTCAATGTGCTCTCTAGCTGTGGGGTAAACTTCCACTATGGTGAGTCAGTTCCCTCAAACCCCTCCAGTAGATTGAGTTAGTCATGGGTGTTCTGTGTGCCAAGTTTGGTCCAGGTCCATCGGTGGAGGTCACTGGTTGTGGGTGAACTACAACTCCCAGAAAGGAAGGTCAGTTCCCCCGAAACCCCTCCAGTAATTAAATTTTGGCATATCAGGTATGTGTGCTTAGTTTGATCCATATCCATCGGTGTTTGTGTTCACAGTGCTCTCTGGATGTAGGTGAACTACAACTCCCCCAAATCAAGTTGAATTTTCCCCAAAGATCTCCAGTATTTTTTGCTGGTCATGGGGGCTCTATGAGCCAAGTTTGGTCCAATACCATCTTTGGTGGAGTTCAGAGGGCTCATTGATTGCAGGTGAACTATAAATCCCATTACCTACAACTCCCAAAAGTCCAGGCCAATTCCTCCCAGTTCCAGATCCATCATTGTTCAGGTTCATAGTGAATTACAACTTCCATCATGTTAAGTCAGTCCCCCAACCCCCTCCGATATTTTTAGTTGCTGATCAATTCCTCTGTTTGCTGTGCGCCATAGAAAAGAGTAGGAAAGGGTTATGAAAGATCATGCAAATTCCGCACCAATGGAAAGAGTCAGAAACACTGGGATGTCTGTGGTGGAGGAAACATATAAAAGCAAGGATGATATTGTCCCTGTATGAAAGCCTTCACTTGGGTGGTGGGCAGTCTTGTGTTTGTGAAGACATTGGCATGTGTTGTAAATGTTCACGGCGCTTGCTATAACCTGCAATGTCATTGGAGGGAAGGCCTGTAGTGGGTACTCATTGGTGGGGATCATAGTTTAGCTGTTTGTGAAAGTGGGCACCCCAGCCACACACATACATATTTTCACTTTTATTATGTATATAGAATATTATTTTGTGAGGCTTTCATGACCTGATCCCACTGGAGTGTGCGTTCCCTTTTAATCTTATGGCTGCCTCCTCCTTGCAGAATGCTGGGATTTGTAGTTTTCACAAGGCTGATCAATTTAAAGACCCCTCCCTCAACTACAAACCCCATCATTCTTTAGAAAGAAGCCCCTGGATTGAAAGTGGATAGAGACCCTCCAGTGTAATGAGGTGGAAAGTATGTCTTGGACTGCTTGCCCACATCATTGTTTGCTCCCAATGACTTCTCCATTCTTTGAAGGGAAGAGAGCCTTTCAGGCCCTCCAGGTGTTTGGGACTATAGTTCCCAGAATTCTTAGCCAGCATTTCCAACATCCCAAAGAACTGGAGAGGCCAGATTATTATTATTGAAATGCTTTTAATAATAAGCTGCTTTGAGTCTTCTTTGTGGAGAGAAAAAGGATATAAATTTAACACAAATAATATTAATTTTAAACTACTATAAATGTATTCGTATGTTAATTATGTATGTTAACTTATATAATAATTAATAATTTTATTTCTTACCTGTTTCTCGTGGCTCAAGGTGGGTGACACAATAATTTAAATGTTTTCCTAGTTTACAACAGACCTCACAACCTCTGAGGATGTCTGCCATAGATGCAGGCGAAACGTCAGGAGGGAATGCTTCTGGAATATGGCCATGCAGCCTGGAAAACACACAAGAACTCAGTGATTCTGGCCATGAAAGCCTTCGATAATACATTAAACACATAAGCATTGCAAAAAATATATATACTACAATATGCATATTAAAATGTATATCTATAAAAGTTACATATTAAAACATATTTCTATAAAATACATGTTAAAATACACAAAACAACTTAAACAAAGGACATACATTTAAAATTCATGCTTGAAGATTGGCTGGGTATCTCGCTTTTTCCTTCTAAAAAGGGGGGTAAAAGTGGTTTATATTAGAAGTGACCCAGAGGTGGATTGATCTTGACTTATTCTGAAGCTGTGAAAGTGTGACTTCCCTTACTAGAGGTCTGAGCGGGTTGTGAATCCTCCTCTCTAGAGTCATAATCCAGCACCCATTGATGAAGGAAGTGCTGGGGTTGATGGCTTTGTTGCTTTTGGTGATTAACCTTTTCTCTCTTGCGTGCTTCGTTTGGCAGGTGAACTTCACGGTTGACCAGATCCGGGCCATCATGGACAAGAAGGCCAACATCCGGAACATGTCTGTGATCGCACACGTAGACCACGGGAAGTCCACACTGACGGACTCACTGGTTTGCAAGGCTGGCATCATTGCCTCTGCGCGGGCAGGTGAAACCCGCTTCACCGACACCCGGAAAGATGAGCAGGAACGCTGCATCACCATCAAGTCCACGTAAGTCCTCCCCGGGCCTCAAGATCACCCTGTTTCTCCTCCTAAGCCCAGAAGATGGGCAGAATCCCTTAAATTGAGGGATGGTACTCATATGTTGTTATATTAGTTTAGGTGCCCTGCGTTGACCAAGCTAATGCCAGGTTAACCCTGAGGAACTCATCAGTCATAGTTTTAGAACCCATAGGCTTCCCCAAGATTGGGGTGAGAAAGGATATTTCTGCTTAAAAGTAGCCATAGGTGAGCAGTTAAGGGCCTACGCTTTGATTCCTCTTTTCCTCCTCCAGGGCAATCTCCCTCTTCTATGAGCTTTCGGAGAACGACTTGGCCTTCATCAAGCAAAGCAAAGATGGCACTGGCTTCCTCATCAATCTCATTGACTCCCCGGGCCACGTGGACTTCTCCTCGGAGGTCACGGCCGCCCTGCGCGTCACCGATGGTGCCTTGGTGGTTGTAGACTGCGTTTCGGGTGAGATGTTTACCTTATTTTGGAGCTGCATGTATGTGTGGACGTGAGAAAGAGATCTGGTAGGGTTTAGCACCTCACCCACCCTGAATCATCAGCTGAATCATCTTTTTATGACCTCTTTGTCGCTTTTGACCTCTACTTTGCTGCAGTACTTCTCTTTTCCTTGCTTTATTTTCTTAACAACTCTTCCATGATAGCAGGTGTTGAAGGTGCCTTATTGGCACAAAGGTTGGGTGTCAACCGAATACAGAAATTGGTCAGGCAAGTCTTAAACATGTGACCATCATCTCACATAGTCAGGAGGCCTGAAGGGACCGTGAGGATGCTTGCAAAGAGGCCATTGTCATTCTCACAGCTCCCATCATCCCTAGCCACTGTACTCGTGGGTGAGAGATGACAGCAATTAGGACTAGATGAGGATGATAATCATATGGTATTGACTTGAGTCTAAATTATCTTGCACATTCAATTCACATAATATGGCAATCGTAGTGGTGAGCCAAAGCCAAAAGGGGAAGCTGCTTCAGGCATACCTATGCAATCCTGGGATTTGTAGTTGAATGAGGTTTCTGCACTCTGGCAGAGAAGGCTCAAGACCTTGTGACAGTACAGCCCTCCTGATTCCATAGCATTGAACCAAGGCAGTTAAAAGTAGATTCATTAAACACCACAGCATAGATGCACCCCATGATTTTCTTTTTCATTGCTGGAAGCAAAAACGTGAGCATTAGATTGGAGTAAATACAGTAATAACAATAATAAGCCTCCCTCTTCCTCCTTTTCCTACCTCTCAGGGGTCTGTGTCCAGACAGAGACGGTCCTGCGCCAGGCCATTGCCGAGCGCATCAAGCCTGTCCTGATGATGAACAAAATGGACCGAGCCTTGCTTGAGCTGCAGCTGAAGTGCGAGGAGCTCTACCAGACCTTCCAGCGCATTGTGGAGAATGTCAACGTCATCATCTCTACTTATGGCGAGGGCGAGACGGGGCCCATGGGCAACATCATGGTAAGGCCAAGGCCCAACGGGGACCCCGAGAAGCTTGAAAGGGCTCCCATATAATTGAATGTGCCTCTCTTTATCAAGTGTTTTCATTTGTGAGGCCACAAAAATCTGGAAATATTCCCCTGAGCAGAAATAGTAACTTAATCTTTTTTTCTGGGTGAGATGTCTCCTGTAAGCCCCCCCAAATATAATAAATGATTGTAATATACTTTATATTTTGGTCTATCTCCCGAGGGGACTCAGCGGGTTACAGAATACATATATGGCAAACATTCAATGCTGTTATACCATTAACAAAGACAGACAATACGTAGACAGAGGCAAGGCTTCCCTGTTTTTCATATCCAGCATCTGGACGCTGTGCTTGACTCAGCCACAGGGAGGTTCTGTTGTTCCATTTTTCCACGCTAAGGAGCCTTTTGTCCATGGACACCTTCCTGATTGAATTGCTGGCATGTCTTCAGGGGCACCTTTATCGCCCTGCCACAGAGGTACCTATTAGGCCTGGGCAATGCATGGTTCTAAATGGTTCTAAAGTACTTACAAAACTAAAATTCTGGTGGTGAAAAAACTCTCAAAATTTCATTATAAATGGCAGTTCCTAATTGGTTCTGTCATAAAAATCGCCAATAATGAAATAATAATTAAATTTTGAAAGTTTTGCTAGAGTTCTGAAATTTTCACCACCAGAACTTTAGTTCCTCTGCATGGTCCTGTGAAATGCACACATATGGGTTTTGGCGCCTGCGCAGACAGTTTCGGAACCTTCTGGAATTTTAAAAGATACTTTTTGGCGGTAGCACTGCCCATTCTTCCCTGATAGTATAAATAGCCAGTAGGTGGGGCTGCCAGCCAGTTCCTTCTTTCCGCTGCAAGAAGCAGCAGTTAGAGAACCTCTCTATCAGTGACTAGCTCGTTCTTTCTTCTTACGTGATTTGACCTTTGACTGGACTTTAACTACTCCTGACTGGACTTTGACTATTCTTGCCTACCAATTTGGACTCTGTTTGCTCCCGCTGGCTGACTACAGATCGTTTTGACTGCTCTCAGGCCTGTACTTGCCTTCTCTCTCCTAACTAAAATGACGGCCATCTTCAAAAAGTGTTCCCAATGTGGGGGGAAATACCCAGACACGGACGCCCACCCTGTCTGCCTGCTATGCTTGGGGGAGAGCCATGCAATGCACACATGCTCCATTTGCAGCGGAAGACATGCACCAGCTGACCCCTCCTACCCCTTCCCTGGAGAGGGAAGCTTCGCTGGCAAGAGAAGATCCGATTGCTAGAAGAGCCCTCAACATCGCCCCCCCCCCCCCCCCCCCCCCGAATTGTCGGCGGGGTCAAATGCTGAAACGCAGCTTGGACCCAGAAGCCCAAAGCCCCCATCTCGGGGACACTCTCGATCCTGGAAGCCACACCACTGCCGCTTGCGTGGACGACGCCACGCAGCACGAGGCACTGTTCCTTTTCTTTGCGCTCTTGGAGCTCTTTCACGGAGCCGCTCCTGAAGCAGCACGCGTGAGGCCTTGTATTCACTGGGCTCACCACCTCCTTATTATTTCCATACAGAAGGCCGTTCCCCCAGGGGCTATTATAGCCCATACTATTACCACCACCACCCAGGCTGGGCCCCCCAATCTCCATACCGGAGTGCCCCTCCTCCTCAGGAGCCGCGAGAACAGCCACAGGCCTCCTTATCAGCGCCTCAGCTGCACCCGGTCGCCTCGGTTCCAACACAACCCCCTACCATGGCTGCTCAAGGGACGGAGCCCCTCCCAGAGACAACACCAGTTCAGCAGGGCTCAAACCATTACCCTTGGTACCGAGGCCGGCTCGGATTCAGATGGCAATGCTATGGTTGCTCCCCTCCCTGAAGGGACAGTTGAGGATGACCCTACTTCTCCTGAGGAGTTGAGTACCTTCTCCCTCATTAAGCGCTTGGCGAAGGAGCTGAAACTTCAAACTCCACAAGTGGCGACACCTGTGGATGATCCTGTTTTCTCTCACGACCAGCAACAGTCACCAGCAGCGGCCCCGCTGCCTCTTTTACCTTACCTACTTCAGCTAATTAAGGCACCTGGAGTGGCTCCCTCTTCGGTCCCACCCACCAGCAGAAAGGCCAAAAATCTCTACCGGCTGGATATGACTTCAGCAGAGTGGCTAGGTAAACACCCTAAGCCGAATTCAGTGGTTGTGGACGTCTCCCAACCACGCCCAGCACAGCGCTCTCACAACACCCCAGCAGACAAAGAGGGCAAGAAATTGGATGGCATGGGGTGCAAAATATACACTGCTGCTGGACTTTTTGCAAGGATGGCACACTATGGTGCCTACATGGGAGGTTATCACTGCTTCATCTGGGACAAAATTGCCCCACTACTCTATCACCTTCCTTCTGAGGAGCTCAGACTGGCTAAAACCTACAAGCAAAAGGCTATGCAATTGGCAGGCCTGCAGAAAGATCTGGCTAAACACACTGCCAATACATCAGGCAAGCTGTTTGCTGCTGCAGTAGCCCTCACCATCACTCATGGCTACGCTCTTCAGGCTTATCCCAGTCTACACAAGCGACAATCGAAGACCTCCCAATGCATGAGGCGGGGTTGTTTAACCCTGATACCGATACCAACCTGGAACGCACGCACAAGATGCGTCAGACGGCCCACAGGTTTGGCCTTCCGTCGTTGTTTTCTAACCAACCTAGACAACGTTGGCCAACTTTCACTCCATACTATCGGAGACGTCCTAATCCAACTTCGGCAGGACCACGTGCGAGACTGGCTACCCAACCGCCTTCTGCTAGGAGACCACCTCCACCTCCAACCAGGAACCGCCAGCAAGGTAGGGGCAGACAACCCTATGCCCCGAGGCGCCGAGTATAGCACTCTACCACGACAGCAGTTCTCCCCATCCAAGTTCTACTATCCTCCAACCTGTCCAAGTTGATTATCCTATGACTTCCCCAACCTGCGATGTTTCTCTACCACAACCTATCTTCACAGACCATCTCGGGTCCTACATCGATACCTGGTGCCAAATAGCTACGGACTAGTAGGTTTTCAACACTGTGGAGAGAGGTTTTGCAATCGAGTTTACATTTTTACCTCTGGTGAGACACCGTAGGTTAACCCCCCCCTCCCCCCCCATCGAAGAGATCCAGATTCTTCTCCAGAAAGGGGCCATAAGCCGTTTGAAACCTGGGGAAATCCATCAATGCTTTTTCTCTAGATAGTTCCTAGTCCCCAAGAGGGGTGGGGGCTTGCGGCCCATCCTAGATCTACGAGGCCTGAACCGGCACATTAAACTCCGCAAATTCCGAATGGTTACATTGATGATGATTTTGGCCCTAATTGGCAGAGGGGCTTGGTTTGCCACGGGGGATCTTAAAGATGCTTACTTCCACATCGGAATAAGACGGATCTCATCGCAGATTCCTTAGTTTTCAGGTTGGACACCAGTACTACTGTTTCAATACACTTCCGTTCGGCTTGTGTACTGCCCCCAGAGTTTTTACTAAATGCATGGCAGTTGTTGCCGCACATCTCCGCCAGGTTGGCGTTATTTACCCTTACGTTGATGATTGGCTGATTGTTTCTAGCTCTCGATGGCGACTTCTGACTGACGTCAACACTACTTTGTCTCTTCTTCAGGATCTTGGACTAGTAGTAAATTGGGACCAATCCCATTTGGAGCCTACCTAATCCATTGAGTTTATTGGTGCCATCATCGACTCTGTACAAGAAAAAGCTTTTCTCCCAGAAGACCACTTCAGGGCCTTAAGGTCCCTCATTCAAGTCGTCCGCACGCGCCAGACAAATACAGTCACTTTTGGGTCACTTTGCTTCCACCACGGCCGTGACACCATTCGTGAGACTTCGAATGTGCCCTCTGCAGATGTGGTTCCTTCAAGTGTTCGACGTACTAAGGGACCCACCGGGGAAGCTCCTGATGGTTCCTCCACATGTCCAAGCATCACTCTCCTGGTGGACGCACAGACACAATACCCAGAGAAGGGATGCCATTTCGTCAGCAGCACCCAACCAAGACACTTACCATGGATGCATCCCTGTCCAGCTGGGGAGCCCATCTCGACAACCTGACGGTGCAGGGCAAGTGGTCTCCAGAGGAATCTCAACATCGCATCAATTACCTGGAGATGCTGGCTGTTCAAAAGGCTCTCAGGTCGTTCGAACTCCCTCTATCTGGTCATGTAGACCGCCTCCTGACAGACAACACCACAACCAAATTTTACACCAACAAGCAGGGCGGGACTCAGTTCTGCTAGTTGATCCACCTTACCCTGCACATCTGGGACTGGTGCATCCCGCAGAACATCCACCTCCTCGCTCTTCATGTGCCGGACGAGAATTCTCTGACGGACACACTGATCAGATCAATGAGCGGCAAGTAAATCCAGAATACCTACGCCCCATATTCGAGCTATGGGGGACACTGGCGGTGGACTTGTTTGCAACACCAGAGAACACGCAGTGGGCCCAATTCTGCGCACGGCGCCCAAAGGACCATCCACTAGGCTGCCTGGGCGACGCGTTTCTATACTCCTTGGCCCAAGCTCTGATGTATGCCTTTCCACCTCTGCCTCTGATCCCGAGGGTTCTGTCGAAGCTGCTAGCAGACAAAGCAGACTGCATCCTTCTGACTCCATGGTGGCCTTGATAGCCATGGTTTGGCCCACTGATCCACGCCTCTCACAATGAGTCCCAGCAACTTCCATTCCAAATCAGGCTTGCCTTCTTGTTTTGAGCAACCCCTCATTAAATTGTTTTTGGGGGGGCATAACAACATGTTTCCCCCGGTGCACCCTCCGATACCTGCATGGAGCCTGGACCTGGTCTTGTCACAGCTTTCCAAACAACCATTCGAGCCTTTAGCATCAACTGATCTCCAATATCTGTCATGAAAGATGGCTTTTCTCATTGTTATAACCTCTGCAAGGAGAGCGAGTGAGATCTGTGCTCTTAGTGGACGCACCTTACTTGAGTTTTCATGCTGATAAAGCTGTTCTTCTTCCAGACATCTCCTTTTTACCTAAGGTGGTCTCGAAGTTCCACCTTTCTCAGGACATTGTTTTGCGAGCCTTCTTCCAAAACCTGTCAACCCCACTTAAAAGGACATTGCATATGTTAGATGTCAGGAGGGCACTGGCCTTCTATGTCGATCGAACCCGACCTCATAGGAAGTCTCCATGACTGTTCCTCAAGTACATGACATCCTCGGTACACCGGTTACTCCCCAGAGGCTGTCTTCGTGGATTGTAGCCACCATCCAACTGACATATCAATTGCTAGGCCGTGACCCTCCTATCCTGAAAGCTCACTCCACAAGATCCTTGGCCATGTCACAGCCGTTCCTCAAAGGAGTGCCTCTGGAGAACATCTGCCGTGCGGCTACCTGGGTGAATCCTTCCACCTTTGTGAGCTACTACAAGGTGGATGCCCTATCCAGAAGAGACGCTGCTTTTGGGAGAGCAGTGCTGTTTTCGTGTGTGGCATGACGCCCACCTCCAAGGTTAGTAGCTTGCTAGTCACCCATATGTGCGCATTTCACAGGACCACGCAGAGGAAACTTTGTTTGCTTACCTGTAATCGAGTTTCCTCTAGTGGTACCTGTGAAATCCACACAACCCGCCCATCCTCCCTGCTGGAGGTCATTCTCCGGTATCCTGGGCTGCTTTCCTGCGGCTGAGGAACTGACTGGCAACCCTGCCTACTGGCTATTTATACTATCAGGGGAGAATGGGCGATGCTACCGCCAAAAAAGTATCTTTTAAAATTCCTAAAGATTCCAAAACGCTCTGCGAAGGCACAGAAAACTCATATATGTGGATTTCACAGGTACCACTAGAGGAAACACTGTTACAGGTAAGCAACCAAAGTTTTTGTAAGTACTTTAGAATCATTTAGAGCTATGCATTGCCCAGGCCTAGTACCTATTTATCTTCGCACATTGCTGTTTTCGAACTGCTAGCTGAGCAGAAGCTGGGGCTGACTGCGGGAGATCACCTCAGCAGCTTGAACTGCCAACCTTGCAGTCGGCAAGATTTTCTGTAGCTGGTAGTTTAACCCGCTGTGCTAACTCTGGCCTAACCACTATGCTAACTTCTGTTGCCCAGGGATGTTTTAAGGCACATGGGTCAAACAAGGTTTGCATGCTATTTTATGCAACCCTTCTCCAAGGGCCAAGCTTTAGCACAGCAGGTTAACTACAAGCTGCCGTAAATCTTGCTAGTTGAAATCTTGCTAGTTGGCTGTTCAAAGCCAGGGTCAGAGTGAGCTCCTGGCCTTCAGCCCAGCTCCTGCCGACCTAGCAGATTGAAAACAGCAAGTGTGAGTAGATAAATAGGCACTGCCTTTAAAAAAGTGGGGAGATATTTAAGCACCCATCTGGAAAATGCCAGAAAATGCCGGCGATTCAATTGAATAGGAGGAAGCTTATGAACAAAAGCTCTTCAGCAGGGAAGATGGAGTGACAGCCCCCCCCCCCCCCCCCCCCCCCCGGTGACTGAAACCGAGCACAGTCTCCCAAGATGCAGACGATGGGGGGGGGGGGGAGCCTATATACGTATATATATTTCTATCTATGTACAGTTATCTGTCTTGTCAGTGTATAACAGCGTTGAATGTTTGCCATATATGTGTTCTGTGATCCTCTCTGAGTCTCCTTTGGGGTGACACGGGCAGAATATAAATATTGTAAATAAATTAAAAAAATACAACTCCTGTCTTCTTTGTGACTGGACCCGATGGAAATTGGTGTACAGTCCCATCTGGACAGCTCCAGTTTCTTCTGTTGAGGCCAGCTGGGTTGCAATCCCCATTATCCCCAATTTGCATGCTGCATAATAATAAGAGACTGGAATTGTTATTCTGTCGCATTTTAGGATCCAAATTGGATAAAAACTAACCAGGTTAAAATATATAGTTGACCTCAGGCTGTGGATTTTCTGTCCATAGAATCAATTACTCTTAGAAGGCAATCCTAAAGTGGATATGGCCCTTGATGGAAATGAGTATGATAGCCCTGTGTTAAGGGGAATCTTGGGAGTATGAATGTTATCCTTTTGTGTGGAATAAAACCTCAAGAGCACGGCATAACCCAAAGCTCCAACCCTGTGCTCCCCCTTTCTTCCCTTCAGATCGACCCAGTCCTGGGGACGGTGGGCTTTGGCTCTGGCCTCCATGGCTGGGCCTTCACCCTAAAGCAGTTTGCCGAGATGTACGTGGCCAAGTTCACGGCCAAAGGCGAGGGGCAGCTGAACGCAGCCGACCGGGCCAAGAAAGTGGAGGACATGATGAAGAAGCTGTGGGGGGACAGGTGGGTCTGGCTATCGGCCATTTGTTTAAGTTAGTGAAAGGATGTATTCAGGAAGAGGGAGCAGGCTTCCTTTCTGCAGCTCTCCATGGGCTCAAATGGAGATGACAGTAGAACTCCATGGAACCATGGGCCCAAATGGCAGGCAAGGAGATTCCACCTGATCATTAGGAAGAACTTCCTGATGGTGAGAATTGTTGTTCAGCAGTGGAACTCTCTGCCTTGGAATGTGTTGAAAACTCCTTCCTTGGAGGCTTTGAAACAGGCTGAATGGTCATCTGTCTGGGGGGCTTTGATTTTGCTTTTTCTGCAGAATGGGGTTGAACTAGATGGCTCTGACTGTAGTGGAACATGCCACTATACTTGGGAGTGTGATGGGGTCTCCTTCCTTCTCTGGAGGCTTTTGGCAATTTGTCGTGTGGCATTGGATTGTGTTTTTCTGCCTGATAGAAGGGGGTTGGACTGGGTGGCCTTTAGGGGTCCCTTCCAACTCTAGGATTCTATTATAAAGCCGAGGCTGGATGGCCATCTGCCAGGAGGGATTGGTTTCCTAGCAGAAAGGGACTGGACTGGATGACCCTTTGGGATCCCTTCCAACTCTAATATATTCTCATTACAGTAGAGTTTTGCTTATCCAACATAAACAGGCTGGCAGAGTCAAAGCAAAAATGTTGGATAATAAAGAGGAATTAAGGAAAAGCCTATTAAATGTTAAATTATGTTATGATTTTACAAATTAACCACCAAAACATCATATTTTACAACTAATCGGCAGAAAAAGCAGTTCAGTACACAGTAACGTTATGTAGTAATTACTGTATTTATGAATTTAGCACCAAAACATTGCAATGTATTGAAACAGCTGTGGATCCAGGCGGGAGGCAGACTGTGTTGGAACCCCAATCTGATGAGAGCCTTCACAGTCCAGTACTTAACAACATGTGAAACAAGAGTTGTTTTCCATGCAATATATATATATACACACACACGTATACTGAACATTAGGAAGAACTTCCTGACTGTTCAGCAGTGGAGTTATCTGCCTTGGAGTCTGGTGGAGGCTTTGAAACAGGCTGGATGGCCATCTGTGGGGAGGGGGACTTTGATTGTGCTTGTTCTGCATGGCAGATTGGGGTTGGAGCGGATGGCTTTTGGGATCTCACCCAACTCTGTGCAAACTCCATGCTTCTCTCTTCTTCCAGGTATTTTGACCCCGCCACTGGCAAGTTCAGCAAGTCCGCCAATAGCCCAGATGGAAAGAAGTTGCCCAGGACATTCTGCCAGCTCATCCTGGACCCCATCTTCAAGGTAAGGTGCCCGTATCTGTCTGGCATTTTTTCCTTAAAGAGTTTTGGGTGGTTTTCTGCGTATGATGATGGAAAACATTTCTTCACTTTGACCTGAATGCCTTGGTGCCTGAAGAAATTTTTTCAAAAGATCTGATGCAGAGAGTTTGGTGGCTGTATCATTCGGCATGATACGATCTATGGCATCATACTATACTCTGATACTATAGTATCATAGCATCACTCTGCTTGGGAGACAGTCTGCAATCAGTCCCTGATATAAATTTGACTATCAGGACTGTTTACTTGGAAAAGCTTTCCTTTCCAAACGTTAGGCAAGCTTTGACTGCGTGTCGTTGTCTTCATACTATGCCTACAGCTGTGATGGATAGAAGGCATGCTCTAAATAATAACAACATGGAACAAAATTGGAAAAATCTCCTGTGTTACTTCCTGTTAATTATGTGGTCCTTGCTTTGAAAGTTCTACTCCGGACACTTTGTTTTTCTGCCACAAAGTAGATTGAATCAGTTGAGACTCAAGGAGACATTGATTTGAAAAACTAGAACAGAATGTGCTGCAAGATGTCCTGCAAAAACAAAGATTTTTTGCAGTTTAATAAAGTTTTCCCATGGTTTTTTTAATGATAGAGTCAATTAGGAAATGACATTTATAACCCAGGAACAAAAATCATGATACACTAGCTTGGGTACCCAGTGTTGCCTGGGTTATTTGTCAAAGTCAGTTTTTTAATTGTACAAATGCATAAGGTTGTGGGTGAACTACAACTCACATCATGTCAGGTTAATCCTGAGAAATTCCATCAGTAGTTAAAGTTTGTCATGTTGGGCAAGTTTGCTCTGGATGCATCATTGGTGGGGTTCAGTGTGCTCTCTGGCTGCAGGGTAGACTACAGCTCCCACTGTGGTGAGTCAGTTCCCTCAAACCCTTCCAGTAGGTTGAGTTAGTCATGGGGATTCTGTGTGCTAAGTTTGGTCCAGGTCCATCATCCGTGGATTTCAGTTTCTTTGGTTATGGGTGAACGACAATTCCCAGAAAGGACAGTCAATTCTCCCCAAACTCCTCCAGTAACCAAATTTGAGCATATCCAATATGCGTGCCAAGTTTGGTCCAGTATACTGCTTTATACAGTTTAATGATAACACGCCCAGCTAGCCCCTAACAGCTGCTCTACTGAAGTAGCTGTTAGGAAAAACTACCATTACATAAGTCAGAGCATCCAAAAACAAACAGGATACAAAAGTTGAGCATCAGCTCATTAGCAAGAAGTGTGTCAAGTGCCATGTGATGTGGCTGTAAAGAATTCAGAACTTAGGAGGCAAACATGCAGGGTCTAATCTTTAAAATTACAAAAGGTTTATTTACAATAATAAAAAAAAACTTGACTGCATTTCTTCATGGCAAAGAACTGAGTCTGAGCTAACACCCATCTCTTCTAAAGTTTCAAGAAAGGGAAAAACTAAATTACTACATATCTCCTGACACACAAGCAGATAGAGATCTCAAAGCACACAGCACATATTTTCCATGCTAGAGTGTAAGAAGTCAGAGTCCAAAAGGCTTGCATTATATCAGTTTTAAACAACCAATTAGAATGAGAGCAGAAACAGAAAGGAGAGAAGAAAAAGATATATTCCCAACTGTCTTTCAGGAGAAACGGGGGAAGAGAAACCCTTAGTCTATACACTAAGCTAACGAAACTGTTCCTCATTGAGGACTTGGGCAGTGTGAGGTTGAAACCCCACAGTAAGAAACTGGTTCTGACTCTTGTTATTCCTTAGGAAAAGCCTATAGTAAACTAGCGACAACAACTACTAATAATTTTATTTCTTACCTGCCTCTGCATGGCTCAAGAGGGTCATGGTAGTCAAAAACGCACAAATACTATAAAAATTCTATAAACACATATTAAAAATGCAGTTCCATAAAATATATATATGAAAGCATTTCTACAAAGTGCACATTAATTACGTGGGACAGAGATATTCTCCTTTCCTTCTGTGTATGTATGTGTATGTGAAAGGGAGGATTTGCAATATTTGTTCATGGATGGGAATGACCAGAGGTGTCAGACATGTGGCCATCTAACTCCCAGAAGCCCGTTTCCCAGGAATGCTTGGAGCCAAATCCCAATGAGAAACACCTGCAGGGCCACAGGCTTGGTATCTGATCTAGGCGTTGATAAGCAGAACTGTAATGCACAAGATTTGGCTTCATGGCCCCACTTTTGGAGGGTGGGATTGGGCCTGCGATGGTTATTTGTGGGACCTGACCCAGCATGTATCCTTTCCCAAAAGGTGTTTGATGCCATCATGAACTTCCGGAAGGAGGAAACAGCCAAACTGATTGAGAAACTGGACATCAAGCTGGACACGGAAGACAAGGACAAGGAAGGGAAGCCTTTGCTGAAGGTGAGGAGGGGCAGCAAGCGCAAAGCTCCCCAGCGTTTTGGGGAGGCCTTATAAGAATTTTGCTGTGTTGACTAGAGCCTAATGCACCCCTGAATTTCATGCGCCCCCACTTTTCAAAATTCTGAAACCAAATGCTAGTATTTGCTGCTGAATGCAATGCTCAGTGGTGAAAAGATGCACTTTTTCTCATTTGGCCATTGCAGTTGCTGCCTGCTTAGTATTCTTACATTAAAAACAAGTGTTAGATCACCAAAGTTGGCAGCAATGGAAAAGAAAAACTTGTGGTAGAATGAATCCACTTTTAACTGCCTTGGTTCAGTCCTATGGAATTGTGGGAGTTGCAGTTGCACAAGGCCTTGAGTCTCTTCTGCCCAAGAAGGTGGATGCCTCCCGAAACTACAAATCCCAGTATCGCATAGCATTGAGACCTGGCCATTGAATTAGAGATGAGGTCTCTCAAAGAGGTGCTCCTGCCTTGGTCCATTCATTATTGGCTGTTACTTCTCGACGAATATCGAGAAGTAGCAGAGCATGGTCCAGAGTAACTCCTGGGTATTTTGGTGTGCTGCAATGCTCCAGTGGGATTCCTTCCCAGGTAATCCTCAGAGCTTGTTTCTTCTTAAGATGGAAAGCACACCTCTGCATTTTAGATGGATTAGGAATCAGCTGTTTTTCCCTGTAATAGGCAGTAAGAACACCTAAAGATTTGGAGAGCTTCTGTTCGAACATTTCAAAGTTTCTTGCTTGGGCGGTGATGGCACAATCATTGGTATAGATGAAACTCTCTGTCCCTTCTGGCAGTGGCTGATCATTTGTGTAAATGTTAAACATTGATGGAGCAAACATGCTCCCCTGAGGCAGGCCTTTCTTCTGTTTTTGCCATCTGCTTCTCTGACCATTGGACTCAACAAACAAGCTACTTAATGTAGCAGATTTCCTATGGTTGAGGTGGTAATCCTTCGTGATATTATAGATTTTTCTCAGGAGAAGGCCCCAAGAGGTGAGAAGAAGATTCACATAAATAGAGCTCTTGGATACATTTTGGTGTTTATTTGTCTATAGGCGCCTCTTAGGTCATGTGGCCAGCATGACTGCATGGAGTATAATTTACCTTCCTGTAAAGGCTCACTTGCTTTCTGGTCTCTTTTTCTGGCTGCAGGCTGTGATGCGACGCTGGCTCCCAGCTGGGGAAGCACTCCTCCAGATGATCACCATCCACCTGCCTTCCCCCGTCACCGCTCAGAAGTACCGCTGTGAGCTGCTCTACGAGGGACCCCCTGACGATGAGGCTGCCATGGGTAGGGTCCTGACGTTTATACTGGGGTGGGAAAATGTTGGAGCGCAACCCCATTCTGCACACGTTTCTAGTCCTCATCGAGAACATAGAGAGGCAGACAAGTTAGTTGGCAGGAAAAGCCCTTCCTCCATTGGCCTCTCCGCCAGTCCCTCTCTATTTTCTCCTGTTTGTAAGATTGATGTTTCTCGGGGACATGCCTTTTTCCCTGGAGTCTTCCATTTTTCTTTTCCTGTGGGCATGGAGTGAGGCAAGATGTCTCCAGAGAGATAATTATTAATTGTTTGTTTTTTGTTTTGTTTTTTTGTATTGCTCTTTTTAAACTTGTCTACTGTGGATTGTTAGCCGGCTTGAGTCCCCATGAAGAGAAACCTGGGGTAAAAATAAATACGTTATTAATAATAATTGTAATTCAAATAATAACCCATGGAGAGAAATCTGGGGTGTAAATAAATATAATAATAACAACAGTAATAACAATAATAAAGAACCTAAGCTTTAACTCTTCTCTAAGTAGTTTGTAACTTTTTTGCAACTGCTCCACTAGTTGCTGAAGCTCGTTTGCTCTAATGCTGTCCTCAGGAAGATTTTGAGCAGCTGAACTATTGCTGCAGCTTTACAATTTTTCAGTGCTTTCCTCCAACAAAATAAGAGGCAAGGTTTCAGGATGTGTGTGACTGAACCTTACAGCTGACTCCTGGCAGCACTCTCCTCCTTCCTAATCTCCTCCTTGCAGTTATTTGCACTACAGTTCCCATCAGACCCCTCTTTTTTCCTTATAAATACTTCAGAGAGAAAGGGTTGTACTATGAGACAGGTTGTCTCCTTTCTTCCTGGCTGCCTCTTTCAGTAAGAATCTCTTCTCTCTTCCCCCTTCCTCAACCCTCCTTGGCCCGCTCAGGCATCAAGAACTGCGACCCCAAGGGCCCCCTGATGATGTACATCTCCAAGATGGTGCCCACTACCGACAAAGGGCGCTTCTACGCCTTTGGCCGCGTCTTCTCCGGCGTGGTCTCCACCGGCCTCAAGTGCAGGATCATGGGGCCAAACTACACACCGGGCAAGAAAGAAGACCTCTACCTCAAGCCCATCCAGAGGTGCGTCTTTCCCTTTTTTAAAAACTAGTTTGAGTGCTCAGCGTTGCTGAGATTATTTGAAAAAGTCATTTTAAAAAATTGTACAAAATGCATAAGGTTGTGGGTGAACTACAACTCGCATATCAGGTGAACACCGAAAAACTCCATTAGTCCTTAAAATTTGTCACGTTGGGGAAGTTTGCTGTAGATGCATCATCGGTGGGGTTCAGTGTGCTCTCTGTAGGGTAAACTACAACTCCCACTATAGTGAGTCAGTCTCCTCAAACCCCTCCAGTAGGTTGAGTTAGTCATGGGGGTATGTGTGCCACGTTTGATCCAGATCCATCGGTGTTTGGGATCACAGTGCTATCTCGATGTAGGTGAATTACAACCCCTCCAAATCAAGGTGAATTTTTTCCCAACTCTATTATTTTTTGCTGGTCATAGGGGTTCTGTGTGCCAAGTTTTGTCCAATTCCAGCTTTGGTGGAGTTCAGAGTGCTCCCTGATTGCAGCTGAACTATACAGCCCAGTGCCTACAACTCCAAAATGGCCAGGCCAAATCTCCTCAAAACCCACCAGTATTGAAATTTGGGCGTATTGAGTATGCATGCCAAGTTTTGTCCAGATCCATCATTGTTTGCGTTCATAGTGCACTCTGGAGATCCAAAGATCTTCAGTGTGTTTTGTTGGGTCATGGGGTTTCTGTGTGCCATGTCACTTCCAGGCCCATGGATTGCAGGTGAACTATACATCCCAGTACCTACAACTCCTATAAATCATGGTGAATTCACTCCAAACCTCTCTAGTATGTTCAGTGCATACAAACACATTTTCACTTTTATTATACATATTATAGTGTTATATTATTTTATTGGCTGTATATACATTCATATATATATGTGTGTATAATATATACACTATATTATAATCATCCGTTCCTGTGTTGACTGTGTGCCATTAAAATAATAGGAAAGGGTTGAGGGAGAGGCAGTGGGCGGGGTCATGCAAATTCTAGTGGAGAGAGAAAAAAACACTGGGATGTCTGTGGTGGAGGAAACACATAAAATCTAGGATGAAATTGTCCCCATATTAAAGCCTTCACATGGGTGGTGGGCAGTGTGGTCTTTATGAAGGACATTGGCAGGCTCTTCAACCTATTCATGGTGCTCACTATAACCTGCAATGTCATTGGAGGGGAGGGCCTTTGGTGTCTCCTGAGTGGTGGGAGCTATCGCTGTTTGTGGAGGCTTGTCTGTGTCAGTAGAGACCTAAAACAGTATTTCCTCATGGTAAAGCAAAAAGAGAGAAAGCCCATGCGTTTGTTAATTCTCCTGACACCCATGTCTCTCCCGCAGGACCATCCTGATGATGGGCCGCTACGTAGAGCCCATTGAGGACGTGCCGTGTGGCAACATCGTTGGCCTGGTGGGTGTGGACCAGTTCCTGGTCAAGACGGGCACCATCACCACCTTTGAGCACGCCCACAACATGCGCGTGATGAAGTTCAGCGTCAGCCCCGTGGTGCGGGTGGCCGTGGAGGCCAAGAACCCGGCCGACCTGCCCAAGCTGGTGGAAGGCCTCAAGCGCCTGGCCAAGTCTGACCCCATGGTGCAGGTGAAGAAAATTTGTAAACTAAAGGGTCTTTCTATTGCCATTTCAGGGTGAGGGGATAGATCAGAGCAATGTTTACACTTTTACACAAAGAACAACATTAAACAAAACAGACTATATAACTCTATTGGATACACAAATAAATTATTGGCCTGTCTCATTAAGAGCCACATCCACTGTTCTGTCGTAGTTAGATGTGTTCCACGCTAGGCATGCATATTCAGCAGCAGAGTTGCAAAGCTCAAGGGCAGATGTCTTCACTGTGTCTGGTTTGATCCCAAGGTTGTGCCAGTCAGCTTTCATATGATGTTATTTCTAGCACCCACATTTTACATGATAATCAAGCGGTGCTTCTTGTAAGTCAGAGCATGGTCCAGAATAACTCTCAGGTATTTTGGTGTGCTGCAATGCTCCAGTGGGATTCCTTCCCAGGTAATCCTCAGAACTCGCGATACTTGTCTTTTCTTAAGGTGAAAAGCACATGTCTCCATTTTAGATGGATTAGGAATCAGCTGGTTTTCCCTGTAATAGGCAGTAAGAGCACCTAAAGCTTTGAAGACCTTCTGTTCAACCATTTCAAAGCACCCTGCTTGAGTGGTGATGGCTCGATTGTCGGCATAGATGAAGCTCTCTTCTAGCCTAAAACTTGTCGATTCCCACAGTTCCGAACAGATGTTATCTTTCCTTAACTGAGAATTGGTTTTCCTTTTCAGTCATTGTCACCGTTCTCATCAGCAACTTTTAATTACAGTTCCAGAGCATAGTTGTTTTCCATGCCTCAATAGTTTAGAATTGTGTCTTCGGCCCAATTAGGCCCCAATCATACTCCTTTCGCACAATTCCATTCAAATTATACATCATGTTTATCCATCACACACAAAGTGGGGCTGGTGCTGGGCCCGTGACCCTCGGAAAGAAGGCTTTGTGGTGGCGCTGCAGCCTCGTCCTGACCCACCTGCTCTTCTTCCCTTTCAGTGCATCATTGAGGAGTCTGGGGAGCACATCATTGCTGGTGCTGGGGAGCTGCACCTGGAGATCTGCCTCAAGGACCTCGAGGAGGACCACGCCTGCATTCCCATCAAGGTAGGGATAAAAATCATCATGACAATAATGTATTGTTGAAGGCTTTCAAGGTCAGAATCACTGGGGGTTATGTGGTTTCTGGGTTTGATACCCAGTGTGTTCTAGCAGCATTTTCGCCAGCCACAGATGCAGGCGAAACACCAGGAGGAAAATTCTACTAGAATTCTAGAATACCTTGGCCACACAGCACCCTAATGGTGATGATGATAATTTTACTACCCACCTTTAATAACGATGATGATAACATTTTAGTGTGTGTGTGCTATGCTTATGTATTTTGATTGTTTTGTAATCTGCCTCGAGTCATGAGGAGAGGCGGGTAAGAAATAAAATTATTATTATTATTATTACTATTAGTATTACTATTAGTATTACTATTACTATTAATATTTTATACACAAGATTACTACACAGCAGACAAGATCACTTTGCTGGCTTTTGTATTTGATCACACTTCCCAAGTGTCTAGGACTGTGTGAGATATCGGCGAATAATGCATGCAGATTGGAGTAGAGTGGCCTTTTGCAGCTGACAGGTGGTGATTTTGTCAGCGCCAATTGTTTTTAGGCACTGTACCCAGTGTGCTGATCACCACATGGACTCCCTTGACTGGCTTGTGCTAGAGTCTGCAGTTCGATCTTCAAATCCTCATATCGTGTAAGCATTTCTAGTTGCTTCTCATCAATACTTCTGTCGCCTGGGATTGCATCAATAATCTATATTTTTATCATTATTCTTAAGTCATGGTATCATTGTATGATGTACAATGGCAAATGATGGTTGCTTACCTGTAACCGTGTATCTTCGAGTATCTTCGAGTGGTCATCTGCGAAATTCGCACATATGGTAGTTGATTTATTTATTTATTTACTACGCTTATATACCGCAATTCTCCGCCCAAGGGCGACTCATTGCGGTGTACAACATGAAAAACAAGTGCAATTTACAAAACATAGTGCAAAACAATCTACAAAACATCATTATCAGAAACATCTTGATGCCATTTGTGCGATTTCACAGAGACTATGGCGGAGAATCAAGTTCTTCATTCTACATGGTTGCATTCCAACAGTAAGCAGCACTTGGAATCAGGCAGTCAGCTGGTCCTCAGCTGCAAATTGCCCCAAAAGGAAATCCCTTAGCGACCTTGCGTGTTGTTCTTTGTCTTTTTCAGAAATCGGACCCGGTGGTGTCCTACCGGGAGACGGTGAGCGAAGAGTCGGGTGTGCTGTGCCTCTCCAAGTCACCCAACAAGCACAACCGGCTGTACATGAAGGCCCGACCCTTCCCGGATGGGCTGGCCGAGGACATCGACAAGGGGGATGTGGCGGCCCGGCAAGAGCTGAAACAGCGGGCCCGCTACCTGGCCGAGAAGTACGAGTGGGACGTGGCAGAGGCCCGCAAGATCTGGTGTTTCGGCCCCGACGGCACTGGTCCCAACATCCTCACTGACATCACCAAGGGCGTCCAGTACCTCAACGAGATCAAGGACAGCGTGGTGGCTGGCTTCCAATGGGCCACCAAAGAGGTAGGCATTCGCAGCAGCTGCTGCCTCGAGAGAGAGAGAAGTCTACACACACACACACATAGACAGGTGGTCCCTGAGTTACAAGCACCCAACTTGCAAGCAACTCCTACTTAGGAGAGAAATCTGCCTGTCGAAAGGGAGTGAAATCGACTCCTTTGCACAAGCAGCAAAGGAAACGTCACAAGGTTGTGCACTAATGTTACGTCTTCCAGAGGTGGCTTTTCTTTGTATTAAAATAATATGGGTGCACTATTTACAAGAACAAGGTTTCTATAGCACAAATAAAGTAGTACTTTGTTGCTTCCACTCTGGGCTTCTTCCTCATGCAGATAAACAGCTCTCACAGAGCCTCTCACAACGAACATATACTGGAGGTTTACACATGACGCTTCTCAACACCAGGCCTTCTCATATCAGGCTTTCCTCATACTGTGAGACCTACCTATCTCACAGAGAAGCCTCCTCACACAGACTGAGCAGTTCCCTCACTGAGGCAAACTAACATTAACAGGCTTTGGCTTACTCACTCTCCTCAGTGCAATGCTAGCTTTGGCACGCCATCTCTTAACAGGCTTCAGCCTATTAATTCTTTCAGTGCTTGACTCGCATTTTTGTAATTAAAAATACCTAGTTAATTTTTAATCTTTCTGACAGTGTTCACCCTTCCCTAGGCCATCCAAAGATTATAGGGATTATTGCACTTCAAAAATGTACCTGTCTCAACTTATAAACACATTCAACTTAAGAACAAACCTACAAAACCTCTGTTATTCGTAACTTGAAGACTGGACATACAAACACATTTTCATTTTTATGATACATATTATAATATTATTTTATTGCCCGTATATACATTCGTATATATGTGTGTGTGTGTGTATTTGTACTATTATAATAATAATGGCAGGAGGTGGACTAGATGGCTTCTATTGTCTCTTTCAACTATGATTCTGTGTCACAAAGGACTACGTTCGGTTCTTGAGTTTGATTCTTCAGTGCAATGGAGCTTGTGATTTTGTTCAACTCATTTCTTTTGGGCTCCCTCCCCCTGCAGGGCGCCTTGTGCGAGGAGAACCTGCGTGGCGTGCGCTTCGATGTCCACGATGTGACCCTGCACGCCGACGCCATCCACCGGGGTGGTGGCCAGATCATTCCCACAGCCCGGCGCTGCCTCTATGCCTGCATGCTGACCGCCCAGCCCCGCCTCATGGAGCCCATCTATCTGGTGGAGATCCAGGTGAGTCAACAATCCCTGAGGCCCCCCTCCATCCTTCTTCTTTGCTTTCTGCTCAGTGTAACTCCTTTCCTTCTTCTGCTCTCTCTCTTCCAGTGCCCTGAACAAGTGGTGGGCGGCATCTATGGTGTGTTGAACCGGAAGCGAGGCCACGTCTTTGAGGAGTCCCAGGTGGCCGGCACCCCCATGTTCGTGGTCAAGGCCTACCTCCCGGTTAATGAGTCTTTCGGTAAGGGAGCGTGTCTATTTGAAGTTGAGCAAGTGTCTTTTTGCAAGGAGGCAAGTAGGGAAAAATAGCCACTTCCATATATTTTTGCACTTGAGAGGTTGAACTAAATACTAAATTTATTTTGACCACTTGGAGTGCCTCTGGTGTGGCTATGAGAAGGTCCTCCATTGTGCACGTGGCAGGGCTCAGACCGCATTGTAGTAAGTGGCCTGTGTCCTCCATGCGCACATGTCACAGACTCCACTTTGTGGATTCATTTCTTAAAGTTGATTCTGCATCTCATGGTGCCAGAGCTCAGCCTGTTCAGCGCCCAGTCTTGTGTGTTCCCGGAAGGGAGTCTCTCATCCAGTCTCAGCCATGAATTGAGGTTCTGGGTTTTAGCCTGCCACTTTTGGGCTCTCACTTGCTGAGGTGTTCCTGGGAGCATCTCTGTAGATTTTAGGAAGCTATTTCTTGCTTTAAGGCATTGGCATGCTGGTTGATATCTGAAGAGAGGATGGGCCGGAGATGTCAATGCCTTGGTCTTTTCATTACAGGCTGCTACTTCCTGACGGATGTCAGGTGGTGTAATACTGGCTAAATGGTATAATTTCTCCAGTAGTGTGGGGTGTAGACATCTTGTGATAATTCAGCTTGTCTCATTAAGAGTCACATCCACTGTTTTAACATGGTGAAACATATTCCACACTGGACATGTGTATTCAGCAGTAGAGTAGCAAAGTTCAAGGGCAGATGTCTTCACTGTGCCTGGTTGTGATCCCCAGGTTGAGGTTGTACCAGTCAGCTTGCGTATGATGTTATTTCTGGCACCCACTTTTTGATTGATAGACAATCAGTGCTTCTTGTAAGTCAGAGCATGGTCCAGGGTAACTCCTGGGTATTTTGGTGTGCTGCAATGCTCCAGTGGGATTCCTTCCCAGGTAATCCTCAGAGCTTGTTTCTTCTTAAGATGGAAAGCACACTTCTGCATTTTAGATGGATTAGGAATCAGCTGTTTTTCCCAGTAATAGGCAGTAAGAGCACCTAAAGCTTCGGAGAGCTTTTATTTGACCATTTCAAAGCTCCCTGCTTGGGTGGTGATGGCACGATTGTTGGTATAGATGAAACGCGCTGTCCCTTCTGACAGTGGCTGATCCTTTGTGTAAATATTAAACATGAATGGAGCAAGCACGCTCCCATGAGGCAGGCCGTTCTTCTGTTTTCGCCATCTGCTTCTGTGGCCCTGGAACTCAACAAAAAAGCTCCTGTTTTGTAGCAGATTTCCTATGAAGCGGGTGATGTGGTAGTCCTTTGTGATATTATACAATTTTCTCAGGAGGAGGTGATAATTTACAGTATCATAAGCTGCTGACAGGTCTTTGAAGACTACTCTTGTAACCTGCTGCCTTGCAAAAACATCTTCTATGTGCTGAGTCAGGTTCAACACTTGTGATGTTTAGCTTTTGCCTTTCCTGAAACGAGCTTGCTGGTTATCCTTACTAATAAAGTGTTTCCTGTCTCCTTCCCTCCCTCCCTGGCAGGCTTCACGGCTGACCTGCGCTCCAACACGGGCGGGCAAGCCTTCCCACAGTGTGTCTTCGACCACTGGCAGATTCTGCCGGGCGACCCTTACGACGCCACCAGCCGCCCCTTCCAGGTGGTGGCCGAGACCCGCAAGCGCAAGGGCCTCAAGGAGGGCATCCCCGCCTTGGACAACTTCCTGGACAAGCTGTAGGCAACGTGCAGAACCCACATAATGACAGAAGAATAATCATTGTCATCATCTTTATCAACACAAAGGTCTTGGGGAAAAATTGAAATAAATTTGGAAAAGAAACAATTCATTTGTGGGACTTCACATTCCCTTTGCGCGGGGGGTTTGCATCCTGAAATGTGTATTTCTAAGCTGACCGCAGACTGGAAAGGCTCTATCTCTCTTTCCAGCGGGATTGTCTCTTCTTCCTTTCTGAGTCCGCTTTTCATTTCATACCATTCAATCAGTTGCCTTTGCCGTTGATGAGCCGGCCAGTTTCTTGGGCGAAAAAGGGGTTTAGTTTTGCTTTAAAAACTGGAAGGGACAAGGCTGTGGAGAGTTGGGAGGAGAGTTGTGGAAACCAATTGTATTGCTTGATACCACTGGAAAAATAATAATTAATAATCATCATAATAAATGCAGTGAGAAGAGTGAGCGGGCTATTTCTATTCCCACGCCTTCGTTGGGTCTGGCGGTCTTTTCCTATCATTTTGGCCGAACTCTAAAGTTCTCTGGAATTCCACTTCCAAATCAGACCTCTTCTTATACGTTCTATGTCAGCTTTGTGTTTAATAATATTTGGGTTGCTGTGAGTTTTCTGGGCTGTCTGGCCATTCCAGAAGCATTCTCTCCTGATGTTTCACCTACATCTATGGCAGGCATCCTCAGGTTGTGAGGTCTGTTGGAAGTGAGGCAAGTGGAGAGAGGCAGCATAACTTCCTTTTTTAAAATGCGTGCCATTCTGTCGGTTGAAGACGTAGCGGAGCGCTAGTGGTCTCGTTTGAGAGCAGGAGTATAAAGTTTTGTCCTGACACAGTTCAGTTGCCATCATGCATTGGAACAGTGAGGAGCATGCTTTTGCCGTTGAGGCCTACTTTTCGAGCAGATTTGGAGTGGCTGGCCCACTCTTCAGATTTGGCCCCTTGTGATTTTTTTCTATGGGTTTTTTTTGAAATCCTGTGTTTATGTGAACCGTCCAAGGACCCTACAAGATTTGAAGACCAACATCCAGGAAGAAGTTGCCAACATAATGCCTGCTATGCTGGCAAGAGTCATGACAAACGCCAGAAATCGGTTTACTCAGTGTATGGAGAATGCATGACGTCACCTACCTAATTTGATCTTCAAAACTACGTAAAACAAAACTTTAGGTATGTGCCTACATTATAAAAAAATAATAAAAAAATCTGATTCATACAATGGGTTTTATTAAGTTTTGAAAAAAGGAAGTTATGCTGCCTCCCCGGTGTTTGTGTGTATGTATGTGTGTGTGTGTGGGATGATGTTCAGGGTGGGAGAAAGAACTGTCTGAGGCAAGTGTGAATGGTGTACCCCAGCTTTTTGAGAGATACTCCTTATTTACTGTCCTGATTTTAGAGGGTTTTAAAAAACTAATAGCCAGATGTTGTCCAACTGTGGACAAGTCTACATAGGGACCGCCAAATGCAACAGCATTGCCCAGACACAAACCAAGGAACACAAAAGGCACTGCAGACTAATACAACCAAAGAAGTCAGCCATAGCAGAGCACCTGATGACCCAAACTGGACACAACATATTATTGGAGAGCACGGAAATGCTGGACCACTCTGAAAACCATCATGTCAGACTACACAGAGTAACAATTGAAATCCACATGAAGCACGTGGGCAATTTCTACAGAAAGGAGACCATGAAAATGAGCAAAATCTGGCTGTAAGTGTTAAAGAAACTCTAAAATCAGGACAGTAAGTAAAGAACAACACTCAGCAAACAGGAATTCCAGACAAGAAAATCAGGGCCAGCTAATCACCTCTCAACAAAGGATTCCTCCAGGCAAGAAGCTGCCAGGCTTTGAAGCTGCAAGGCCATTCAGTGCTAATCAAGGTGGCCACTTGGAACATATACACCTGTATCCAAGAGTTCTTTCTCCCACCCTGGCCATTATTCCCCAGGTATATAAACCCACTTGCCTAATTTCCTACAGACCTCATAACTTCTGAGGATGCCTGCCATAGATATGGGCGAAACATCGGGAGGGAATACTTCTGGAACATGGCCATACAGCCTGGAAAACCCACAGCAGTCCAGTGATTCCAATCATGAAAGCCTTTGTCAACACATCAGTACATTTCATTTACTTCCTGCTGACTCGACGCAGGGGTACAACACATTAAAAAACCAAATGAACATAAAAATACAATAAATTGCTAAGTTATGTAGATAAAAACACATGTCTAATTATAGCTTGGGTCCCTGGCATTGCCTGGGTTATTTAAAAAAGTCAATTTTTAGTTGTCCCAAAATGCATAAGGTTAGGTGAAGTACAACTCGCACCATGCCAGATTAACCCCCTGAAACTCCCATCAGTAAAGTTTGTCATGTTGGGCAAGCTTGCTCTGGATGCATCATCGGTAGGGTTCAGTGTGCTCTCTGGCTGTAGGGAGTGACTCACACTATGGTGAGTCACTCCCCTCAAACCCCTCCAGTAGGGTGAGTTTAGTAATGAGGGCTTTGTGTGCCAAGTTTGGTCCAGGTCCATAGGTGGAAGTCACAGTTTCTCCCTTCCCTTTCCTTCCTTCCTCCTTTTTCTCCCTCCATTTTTGTCTTTCTCTTTCCCTTCATTTTCTCCCTGACTTCTCTTTTTAGTATTCTTTTTCTTTCTCCTTCCCTCTTTTTCCTCCCTCCCTCCCTCCCTTCTTCCCTTTCTTTCCTTTCCTCCCTTTCCTTCCTCCTTCCCTTTCCCCCCTTTTATCTCTCCTCTTTTTGTATATTTCTTTCTTTTCTCCCTTTCTCCTCTTTTCCTTCCACCTTTCCTTTTTTTTTCCTTTTTCTCCCTCCCTCCATCCCTTTCTTTCTCTCCTCTTTTTTGTATCTTTTCTTTCTCCCTTTCTCTCTTTTCTCCCTTCCCTCTCTTTCTCCTTCCTTTTCTTTCTTTCTCTCCTCCCTTAATTCTCTTTTCTATATCTTTTCCCTTTCTCCTTCTCTTCCTTTTCTCCCTGCCTTCCAATGTTTAGGGTCAGGGTTTTGTTTTTGTTTTATTATTTTGAAATGCAAAAAGAATTAAAACCTGTTGAAATGGGTGCAAATACCTTCGATTTCAGAGATGGGGCCCAAGTCTCAACAAACCCAAAACAAAATCATTGGATTCCTCATTGGAAGGCCACCTGAGAGTGTGCGCCTTCAAAGGAGGTATATCATTATCATTACCATTTACAAGTACATATCACGGCACACATGCACCTTAGGTCCAAGTGCATAGAGGAAAGTTCTGAGAGTGCCTTGGACTGCGAGAAGATCCAACCAGTCCATCCTCCAGGAAATAAAGCCCGACTGCTCACTGGAGGGAAGGATTTGTTGTTCATTCGTTCAGTCGTCTCCGACTCTTCGTGACCTCATGGACCAGCCCACCCCCAGAGCTCCCTGTCGGCCGTCACCACCCCCAGCTCCTTCAAGGTCAGTTCAGTCACTTCAAGGATGCCATCCATCCATCTTGCCCTTGGTCGGCCCCTCTTCCTTTTGCCTTCCACTTTCCCCAGCATCATTGTCTTCTCTAGGCTTTCCTGTCTCCTCATGATGTGGCCAAAGTACTTCAACTTTGTCTCTAGTCTCCTTCCCTCCAATGAGCAGTCGGGCTTTATTTCCGGGAGGATGGACTGGCTGGATCTTCTCGCAGTCCAAGGCACTCTCAGCACTTTCCTCCAACACCACAGCTCAAAAGCATCTCTTCCTTCGCTCAGCCTTCCCTAAGGTCCAGCTCTCACATCCGTAGGTTACTACAGGGAATACCATGGCTTTGACTAGGCGGATCTTTGTTGCCAGTCTGATGTCTCTACTCTTTACTATTTTATCGAGACTGGACATTGCTCTCCTCCCAAGAAGTAAGCGTCTTATGATTTCCTGGCCACAGTCTGCATCTGCAGTAATCTTTGCACCTAGAAATACAAAGTCTGTCACGGCCTCCACGGTTTCTCCCTCTATTTTCCAGTTGTCAATCATTCTTGTTGCCATAATCTTGGTTTTTTTGACGTTTAGCTGCAACCCGGCTTTTGCGCTTTCTTCTTTCACCTTGATTAGAAGGCTCCTCAGCTCCTCCTCGCTTTCGGCCATCAGAGTGGTGTCATCTGCATATCTGAGGTTGTTAGTGTTTCTTCCAGCAATTTTCACCCCAGCTTTGCATTCATCAAGCCCCGCACATCGCATGATGTGTTCTGCATACAAGTTAAAAAGGTTGGGTGAGAGTATGCAGCCTTGCCGTACGCCTTTCCCAATCTTGAACCAGTCTGTTGTTCCGTGGTCAGTTCTGACTGTTGCTACTTGGTCCTGATACAGATTCCTCAGGAGAGAGACAAGGTGGCTTGGGATGCCCATCCCACCAAGAACTTGCCACAATTTATTATGATCCACACAGTCAAAGGCTTTAGAATAGTCAATGAAGCAGAAGTAGATGTTTTTCTAAAACTCCCTGCCTTTCTCCATTATCCAGCGGATATTGGCAATTTGGTCTCTCGTTCCTCTGCCTTTTCTAAACCCAGCTTGAACATCTGGCAACTCTCGCTCCATGTATTGCTGGAGTCTTCCTTGCAGGATCTTGAGCATTACCTTACTGGCATGAGAAATAAGGGCCACTGTACGGAAGTTTGAGCAGTCTTTCGCATTTCCCTTTTTTGGTATGGGGATATAAGTTGATTTTTTCCAGTGATGGCCATTCTTGTGTTTTCCATATTTTCTGGCATACAGCATGCATCACTTTGACAGCATAATCTTTCAAGATTTTAAACAGTTTAGCTGGGATCTCATCATCTCCTGTTGCCTTGTTATTAGCAATGCTTCTTAAGGCCCATTCAACCTCACTCCTCAGGATGTCTGGTTCTAATTCACTCACCACACCGTCAGAACTATCCTCGATATTATTATCCTTCCTATACAGATCTTCTGTATAGTCTCGCCACCTTCTCTTGATCTCTTCAGCTTCTGTTAGGTCCCTGCCATCTTTGTTTCTTATCATACCAATTTTTGCCTGAAATTTACCTCCAATGTTTCTAATTTTCTGGAAGAGGTCTCTTGTCCTTCCTATTCTGTTGTCTTCCGCCACTTCCATGCATTGCTTATTTAAAAATAGTTCCTTCTCCAGGAAATAAAGCCCAACCGCTCATGGAGGGAAGGATACTAGAGACAAAGTTGAAGTACTTTGGCCACATCATGAGGAGACAGCAAAGCCTAGAGAAGACAATCATGCTGGGGAAAGTGGAAAGCAAAAGGAAGAGGGGCCGACCAAGGGCAAGATGGATGGATGGCATCCTTGAAGTGACTGGACTGACCTTGAAGGAGCTGGGGGTGGTGACGGCCGACAGGGAGCTCTGGCGTGGGCTGGTCCATGAGGTCACGAAGAGTCGGAGACGACTGATCGAATGAACAACAATATATATATATACACACACACATATACATACACTGATTATTTCATGACCTTAGTCTGCGGCTGAGAGTATGCCCGGCCCCCAGCTTCGCCTCGTCCACACCTTGTGGCCTTTAGGATCTTTTGGACTCCGTTTCCCAGAATTTCCGCCAGGGGCCCAAGCCAGCAAAGGCTTCTGGGAGTTGAAGTCCCAGGTTGCTTGGCTGTCGAAAGCAAACTCTCAATTCCGCCTGGAAAGCGTTGACATCATACGCTGTCGAATGGGAGTGGCTGGAACGTTCGACGTCACCGCACTTCAGCCAATGGGGAGCGGGGCAGGGGCGGGCGTGCCGGAATGCGGGAAGCGCGCATGCGTGTCTTCATTCCTTTTCGGGAAGCCGGCGGAGTGAGAAGGGCGGTACGGAGGTTGCTCAGGTGAATATTATGTCGCTTTTGAGAAGGCAGGGAGGGAAGGGGCAAGGCCTTGAAGGGGGAAAGAAAGAAAGAAAGAAAGAGAGAGAGAAAGAAAGAAAGGGGAGGCCTTTCAGTGGGGCGGGGCCGGCTTGGAAGAGAACGGAGTCCTGCCTTTGAGGCCTCGCGAATAGGCCTTCAGTTTGGGCCAGGCATGGGATAATTTGGGCCTTTCCTCCAGGACAATTCCCACAATTCCTAACAGCCGGTATGCAGAGACCCTCGCTGAGTGACTTTGCAGCTTCATGGCTACCCGGTTCTAACCAAGGTGGCCAATTGCAACATTCACACTTGCCTCCAACAGGCAAGGGTTTTGTCTCCCGCCCTGGACATCATTCCACAGATAGATAAACTCCAACAAACCTTACAATTTCTGAGGATGTATGCTATAGATGTGGGTGAAATGTTAGGAGAGAATGCTTCTGGAACATGGCCAGACGGCCCGGACAACTCACAGCAACCCCTTCGACAACACATTCCAGGGATGGTTTGCTGGCCTGACGGTCCTTCCGGTCCACGCAGAATTATGATTTGCTTCAAGTCCCTTTTTGGGATATGCAGCGGGGTATAAATAAAGGTCTTATTATGATGATTATGAATCCCCTTTTCCTGCCTTTCCTTGCAGCCACTGGGTCCCCTGCAGAGGAGGCCAGAGCCCTTTGCTTGTGGGGACGGGAAAGCTATGGCTACCTTCCGGCAGGAGAATGTGGAAGTGCATTACGACATGGAAGAGGAGCTCGGAAGGTATGCTTGGCCCCCCGGGTCTCCCTCTCTCTAACTTTATTATCCATCTCTCTCATCTATCTATCTTACCTCTCTCTATTCTCTGTCTCATATCTCTTATCTGTCTGCTATCTCTCCCTCTCCCATCTTATCTATCTCACCACTCTCTGTCATCTATCTCTGTTTTTCTCTATCTTATCCATCTCTCATCCATCTCTACTCACATTCTCTCTCTCTCTATCTATCTATCTACTCTCCATCATCTATCACATCTCTCCTATCTATGTATATTATCTATCTCTCATTGATCTCATATCTCTTATCTCTTTCTCCTATCTCTCCCTCTCCTACCTTTCTATGTCATCTATCTTTCTATCTCTCTCTCTATCTATGTCATCTCATCTATCTGATCTCTCTTATCTCTCCCTCTCCCTCTCCCTCTCCTATCATTCTACTCATCTCTCTCTATCTTTATTATCTATCAATCTTTATTTATTATCCATCTATCTGTCATTCTCTCTCATCTAGCCATTTTAAATTATCCATCTCTCTTTCTCACTTATCACATCTATCTGTCTATCTATCAATCAATCAATCAATCAATCACAGTGCAGTATGCAACCACAGAGTTAATACAAACGAATCAGCTTGGACTATAATTGCAGGATTAGGTGCAATGCTTTTAACATTTCATTTAAATGTATTTATATGGGGTTTTTTTGTTATTTTAATGCTTAATGTGTTGTGTATTTTATATGTTTCTATGTAGCAATATAGCATTGAATTATTGCCAAACTGGAAACCGCTCTGAGTCCCCTTGTGTAGAAATAAAGCGGGGTAAAATACAGTAAACAAATAAAGAAATATCTCTCTATCATCTGTTTCATGCCATCTTATCTCATCTATCTATCTGTCTATCTATCTATTTTATCCATCTCTCGTCTATCTCATCTCTCTTATTCTCTCCTATCTCTCCCTCTCCTATTTATTTACCTATCTCCTCTCTCTCTATATTATCTATTTATCTAATCTCTCATTCTCTCTAATCTCTGCTATCTTTCCCTCTTCTATATCTCTCTCTCTCATCTCTTTCTCATCTTTTTCTTTCTAATAAATTTATTGCATCTCATTCCTCCTGTCTCTCTCTCATCTATTTCATCGCTCTCTCATCTACTTACCTACCTATATTATCTATCAATCATCCATCTATCTCATTTCTCTTTCATTGTTCTTTATTATCTATCTTTATTATCCATCCATCTATCTATATGTCTCATTTCTCCAATCAATCAGTCAATCTCTGTCTCTCGTCTCATATCTCATCTATCACCATCTTTCAGCGTTTCCTGTTTGATCTGTCTTATCTATCTTTACATCTATCTAATCTCCTCTCTGTCTCTATCATCTCTCTCTCTCTCTCTCTCTCTCTCTCTCTCATCTGCTTGTCCACCTGTCTATCCATTTCTTCTCTCTCATCTATCATCTATCTATCTGTCTTCTAGGAATGCTTTAAATGTGATGTTGGGGATTCCAGTTTTTAAATATAACTTTAATTGTATTTTAATTTTTAAATGACCTTTCCACACTTTCCCTTCAGAATGGTTGTGGGAATGCAGAGCTCTTCGGGCTTCAATGAGAGAGAGAGAGAAAGCTCACATCTGTTGTGGACATGTTCCTTCACTCTTAACTGGGATGATGGGAGTTGCGGTTCTTGCAAGGCATCACCTTCCCATTTTACAAGGGAGCCTGGTGATTCATGGGGCATTTCCCCAGGAAAACGTCACCATTTCTTAGCCTTTCCTGTCTTGGGTCATCCGAGTCCATCAATGAAATGCCTGCAAGTCCTCTCTCTGGGCATATGAAGCAAACACTATATTTATTTATTTATTTATTTATCATGTCAGAAGCAATTGAAAATGCAGTTATAATGTATAGAGAAACCACAAAATAAAGTTAAGAACTTGGTATTATACTAAATGTCCTTTGACCAGACTCTGGCCACTTGAAGTGCTTCTGGTGTCGCTGTGAGAAGGCCCTCCACTGTGCATGTGGTGGGGCTCAGGTTGTATTTTAATAGGTGGCCTGTGATTTGCTCTTCTCATCACTCACATGTTGTGGACTCCACTTTGAGGCCCCATTTCTTAAAGTTGACTCTGCATCTTGTGGTGCCAGCGTGCAGTCTGTTCAGCGCCTTCCAGGTCACCCAGTCTGCCCAGGAGGGAGTCTCTCATCTGGTTTCAGCCACTGATTGAGGTTCCAGTTTTTTGTTTGAAAGTTTTGAAATCTCGTTTGCTGAGGTGTTCCTGCAAGTATCTCTGTAGATCTTAGAAAACTATTTCTTGATTTAAGACATTGGCGTGCTGGCTGATATCCGAACAGAGGATGGGCTGGAGATGTCCATGCCTTGGTCCTTTCATTATTGGCTGCTACTTTCCAGCAGATGTCAAGTGGTGCAATACTGGCTAAACAGGGGAATTTCTCCAGTGGTGTGGGACGTAGACATCCTGTAATAATGTGGCATGTCTCATTAAGAGCCACATCCACTGTTTTAACGTGGTGAGATGTATTATATACTGGGCATGTGTACTCAGCAGCAGAGTAGCCAAGCACAAGGGCAGATGTCTTCACTGTGTCTGGTTGTGATCCCCAGGTTGTGCCAGTCAACTTTTGTATGATATTATTTCTAGCACCCACTTTTTGCTTGAGAGTCAAGCAGTTCTTCCTGTAAGTCAGAGCACAGTCCCGAGTGACTCCCAGGTATTTTGGTGTGCTGCAATGCTCCAATGGTAGGTATTCTTTCCCAAGTAATCCTCAGAGCTCGAGATGCTTGTCTGTTCTTAAGATGAAAAGCACATATCTGCTTTTTAGCTGGATTAGGAATAACTGGTTTTCCCTGTAATAGGCAGTAAGAGCACCTAAAGCTTATGTTCAATCATTTCAAAGCTCCCTGCTTGAGCTGTGATGACATGGTTGTCAGCATAGATGAAATTCTATGTCCCTTCTGGCAGTACTTCAAACACCAAATATATCGGAGTGATTAACAAATAGAACTCGGAAACATCAAGGTCAAAAAACGTTTCGGCTTCCACGTTCTTCAATTTGCAGAGATGAAAATGGGCTGCGAGCTAGATTGTAATATTGTTATCACCCTTTCGACTCTTCATGACCTCATGGACCAGCCTGGGCCAGAGCTCCCTGTCTGTCATGTCCCCACCCCCAGCTCCTTTAACATCAAGCCACTCACTTCAAGGATGCCATCCATCCATCTTGCCCTTGGTTTTTCCTTCCATTTCCCCCAGCATCATTATCTTCTCCCAGCTTTCCTGTTGTCTCATTATGTGGCCAAAGTACTTCATCTTTGCCTCTAATATCTTCCCCTCCAGTGAGCAGTCACACATTATTTCCTGAAGTACGAACTGGTTTGATCTTGATCCAAGGCACTCTTAGGATTTTCCTCCAACACCACAATTCAAAAGTATCTATCTTCCTTTGCTCAGCCTTCCTTATGGTCCAACTCTTGTTTCCATAAGTTGTTATGGGGAATACCAGTACTTTAACTATGCGGACATTCGTTGCCAGTATGATACCTCTTCACTATTTTATCAAGATTGGTCATTGCTGTCTTCTGATTTCCTGGCTCCAGTCTGCATCTGCAGTCATCTGTCTGTCACTGCCTCCATGTTTTCTCCCTCTATTTGCCAGTTATCAATCTGTCTGGTTGCGATAATCTTGGGGTTTTTTTATGTTTAGCTGCAACCCAACTTTTGCACTTTTTTCTTTCAACCTTGCTTATCAGGCTCCTCAGCTCCTCCTTGCTTTCAGTCATCAAAGTGGTATAATCTGCATATCTAAGGTTGTTAATGTTTCTTCCAGCAATTTTAACTCCAACTTTAGATTCATCAAGCCCCACACGTTGCATGATGTGTTCTGCATACAAGTTGAATAGGTAGGGTGAGAGCAGACAGCCCTGCCGTACTCCTTTCCCAATCTTGAACCAGCCTGTTGTTCCGTGCTCTGTTCATATTGTTGCTACTTGGTCATTATGCAGATTAGATTCCTCAGGAGACAGGCAAAGTTACTTGATATCCCCATACTACCAAGACGGTTCCACAATTTATTATGATCCACACAGTCAAAGGCTTTAGAATCTTTTTTTAAAGTCAATAGAACAGAAATAGATGTTTTTTCTGAAACTCCCAGCCTTCCTCCATTATCCAGCGGATATTGGCAATTTGGTCTCTTTTCTCTGTCTTTTCTAAACCCAGCTTGTATATTTGGCAGCTCTCACTTCATGTATTGCTGGAGTCTACCTTGCAGGATCTTGAGCATTACCTTACTGGCATGAAAAATAAGTACAAAAATTGGAGATTCTTTAGCATTTCCCTTTTTTGGTATGGGGATATAAGCTGATTTTTAGGGAAATATTATTTAGGGAAATGTAATAATAACAACAACATATTATTATTATATATTATAATATATAATATAATAATATGATATAATAATATATAATATAATACAATTATTTTAAGGAAATATTATTTAGGGAAATATAATGTTGTGTTAGGGAAATATTATAATAGTGTTATTATTTTAGGGAGAAATAATACTTTAGGGAAAATATTTTAGGGAAATAATTATAATTAGTTCAGTAAAATATTATAATATTTTTTAAAAAATAATATTTTTGGGAAATATATTATTATTGTTATATTATTATTATTCTTTAGGTTAATATTATAATCATATAGCTAGTATTTTAAGGAATAATAATAATTTAGGAAAAAATAATATTTTCCCTGGAAGAATATGGCATTTCTTTCTTACCTACCTCCCCTTGAAGCAGGGCATAATACAGTTAAAAGCACATTGTGATTAACCTATTCCTGTGAAATAAATTTTCCTGATGACCTCCAGAATGGAAACCTGTCCGTATGCTTTCCTTCTGCTCTGGAGGCTTCTCTTTCTTCATAACCTTATATGGGAATCCAATGGCACCACCGATGTGATGTCACTTTGAAAAAATGTAAACAGCTAGTCCTTGCAAAATAACGCTGATATCCCTCCTCCTTTTGTTGGGAGAACTCTGGCATTTCTGGAATCTGTGTGCAAACTTTGAATGGTTTCGTCTTCTCTCTGTGGGAAACCCCGTGTTTTCATTGCTACAAAAGCCAGGAAATGAATTATTGTTGTTATTATCATCATCATCACCTTAGACATAGAACTGGAAGAGATCCCTAAGGTCATCCAGCCCAACCCCCTGCCATACAGGAAAAGCACAATCAAAGCACCCCTCACAGATGGCCATTCAGCCTCTGCTTGAAAACCGTTTTAAAAAAATGTATACTCCACTTTTTTTCTCTAAGCGACTTTGCCATAAAACCAACGCAATACATTAAAATCTAAAAATATACAATTACTAGCTTGGATACTCAGCGTTGCCTGAGTTATTTGAAAAAGTCAGTTTTTAATTGTTCAAAATGCATAAGTTTGTGGACGTTCTAAAATTCACATCATGCCAGGTCAACCCTGAGAAACCCCATCAGTACTTAAAGTTTGTTATGTTGGGCAAGTTTGCTCTAGATCAGTGGTTCTCAACCTGTGGCTGCAAACCTCCTTCCTCTTTATTTATTTTATTTTATATCCGCTCCTTTCCGCAGAGCGTTTAGTGCTCTCTGGCTGCAGGGTAAACTACAAATCCCACTATGGTGAGTCAGTCCCCTCAAACTCCTCCAGTAGGTTGAGTTATTCATGGGGGTTCTGTGTGCTAAGTTTGTTCCAGATCCACCATCAGTGGAGATCACAGTTTCCGAGGTTATGGGTGAACCTCCAGTATTTTTTGCTGGTCATGGGAGTTCTGTGTGCCAAGTTTGGTCCAATTCCATCTTGGGTGGAGTTTCAGAATGCTCTTTAATTGTAGTGAACTATAAATCCCAGTAACTACAAATCCCATATGTCAAGGTCTATTTCCTCCTAATTCCCCTCAAAACCCAGCAGTATTGAAATTTGGGCATATTGGATATGAATGCCAAGTTTGGTGCAGATCCATCATTCTTTTCATTCACAATGCACTCTGGATGTAAGTGAACTACAACTCCTATAAATCCCTCCCTTTTTTTGGTTGGTCATGGGGGTTCTGTGTGCCAAGTGAGGTCCAGAGCCATCGTTGGTGAGGTCCAGAGTGCTCTTTGATTGTGAACTATACATCCGAGTACCTACAATTCCTATAAATTAAGGTGAATTCCCCCCAGACCTCTCCAGTATTTTGCATTGGTTATGGGTGTTCTGTGTGGAACTCATATCTTCTCTCTTTCCTCCAAAAAGCTCCATTCTGGGTGTGGTAAACTGCCGATGCCTTGGAGGGAGGAGAGAAGAGTGGAGCTCCAAAGGCCTCCATTTTATAGTTTTTAAACTGCATTAAGGTTTTCAAGGAAGGAAGGAACAGCCTCACGTAATAGTTGCACATTTTATTCTTTGATTTTATTTTACTATTGTGCGGCGAGATACGGTCAAACAAACCTGAGACCCACTCCTTCCTGTGCTTCTTCCTCCCAGTGGCCAGTTTGCGATTGTGCGGAAGTGCCGGGAGAAGGCCACGGGCCGGGAGTATGCAGCCAAGTTCATCAAGAAGCGGCGCCTGTCCTCCAGCCGGCGGGGGGTGAGCCGTGAAGAGATTGAGCGGGAGGTGGACATCCTGCGGGAGATCCAGCACTCCAACATCATCACCCTCCACGACGTCTTTGAGGACAAGACCGACGTGGTCCTGATCCTGGAGCTGGTCTCTGGTGGGGAACTCTTCGACTTTCTGGCTGAGAAGGAGTCCCTCAGTGAGGAGGAGGCCACCCAGTTTCTCAAGCAGATCCTGGACGGCGTCTGCTACCTCCACTCCAAGCGGATCGCCCACTTTGACCTCAAGGTGGGGAGGCAGGGCTAACATTAAAAGCATTGCAATCCAATTTAAAATCTACAAATCTATACATATTAAAACAGTATTAAACATCATTAATATTAAAATAATTCAGATTAAATCCATAAAACCATATAAAACCACATTATTATTATATATTAGTTATGCTGTTATTATTTTATATTATTATATCATATTTATATTATTATTATTACCCTTCTCACCAACCTTTGTTTTAAATGTAATTCTTGTTGTATTTTTATGTATAATTTTTATTACCTTATATCCATACAGTACTATTTTATGTTTTTATTTTTAATTGTATATTATTATATACTATATTAGAATAATAATAATAATAATAATATAGCATTATATTATATTATATTATTTATTTATTTTATTTATTTGTCGTGTCATCAACAACCAGACATTTGTATTACATTTTTAACAAAAACAAACAAACAGACAGACAAAACACAGAATTTGCGAGCTTGGTAGTTGATTAAATGTCCTTTGACCAGTAGCTGGCCACTTGGAGTGCCTCTGGTATTGCCGCAAGGAGGTCCTCCATTGTGCACCTTCCCCTCCCTTTTTCTTTCTCTCCTTTCTTCCTTCTCTACCTATTCTTGGACTGTAACTCCCAGCAGTCCTCCTGATTGATCTATCTATCTCTATCTAATCTATATATCTTATCTATCTGGAGGATTGCTGGGAGTTGCAGTCCAGAAATAGGAAATATGTACAAATTGGGATGCTCTCAAAGAAATCCGAGGTGAAGCAAGCTTGCAGCTTGGAAGCAGTGCATTTGGAGCATCCCCTTCCCCTAAAGGGCCTGGTCTAGGGGATGCTGTGAGCTTTTGATTTTGCGCATGCACTGTATTGTCATTTAGCTTTTTGGGGGGTTTTAAGTCCTTTGTGAGAGCTGGACCTTAGGGAAGGCTGAGCGAAGGAAGATCGATGCTTTTGAGCTGTGGTGTTGGAGGAAAGTGCTGAGAGTGCCTTGGACTGCGAGAAGATCCAACCAGTCCATCCTCCAGGAAATAAAGCCCGACTGCTCACTGGAGGGAAAGATACTAGAGACAAAGTTGAAGTACTTTGGCCACATCATGAGGAGACAGGAAAGCCTAGAGAAGACAATTATGCTGGGGAAAGTGGAAGGCAAAAGGAAGAGGGGCCGACCAAGGGCAAGATGGATGGATGGCATCCTTGAAGTGACTGGACTGACCTTGAGGGAGCTGGGGGTGGTAACGGCCGACAGGGAGCTCTGGCGTGGGCTGGTCCATGAGGTCATGAAGAGTCGGAGACGACTGAACGAATGAACAACAACAAAGTCCTTTGTGCTGTCTTTTGGGAGGGGTTTATGAGTTATGGTCACTCGTTGGTCTGTTAGGGGTGTAGTGTCCAAATTTAGTGTCAATTCGTCCAGTAGTTTTTGAGTTATGTTAATCCCACAAACAAACATTACATTTTTATTTACATAGATAATAATATAACATGACACAATATATTATTATAGATTAATATAATATAACATACCATTATAATATATTATAATATATTATATTATACAATTATAAAATGTAACATAATATATGATTATATTATCTGATTATATTATATAAGAATGTATTTTTCCTCCATTGAAGCCGGAGAACATCATGCTGCTAGACAAGAACGTGCCCAGCCCTCGCATCAAGCTGATTGATTTTGGTATTGCGCACAAAATCGAGGCCGGGACCGAGTTCAAGAACATCTTTGGGACCCCGGAGTTTGTAGGTATGGCTATGGTGGGGAAACGCCACCAAGATATTGGGTATTTTCCATGGGAGGAGGGAAGAATAAATCCAAATGGGTGTCAAACAGAGAATAGGAAATGAGGGAATGTAAGTACTGCATGCCTTTGCAATCTGTGGCTCTCCAGGACCTTATTGGGCTGAAAGATATACTCTCCTTCTTTCTCCAAAGCTCCAGAAATAGTCAACTATGAACCTTTGGGCCTGGAAGCTGACATGTGGTGAGTCAAACAACCTTCAGGGATCTCTTGGGAACTTTCTAAGAGTCAAATATAGTGTTTACAGCAGAAATAATAATAATAATAATGACTGTGGCTCACAAATGGAACTTTGAAAAAGGAGACAGAGAGGGCCTGATTCTGGCAGCCCAAGAACTAGCCATTAGAACCAATGCCATCAAAGCCAGAATTGAAAAGTCAACGGCAGATCCCAAGTGTAGACTCTGCAAGGAAGCAGATGAAACAATAGATCACATCCTCAGCTGCTGCAAGAAGATCACGCAGACAGACTACAAGCAGAGACATAACACTGTTGCTCAGATGATTAATTGGAACTTGTGATCCTGTTGACGCCTTGGTCGATCTTTATAATAAGGAGATGTCCAGGGTGATAGATACGATCGCTCCCGAACGCCCCATCTCGTTGCGACGTGACAGGCCGTCTCCATGGTTTACCGAGGGGTTGGCTGTGATGAAGCATACGAGAATGGGGCTAGAGTGCAAGTGGAGGAAATCTCGGGACGTGTCTGATCAAGCACGGGCTAGGACCTCTCATAAGGCATACTCCGTGGCTATACGGGTGGCCAGGGAATCTTTCACGACCACCCGTATAGTGTCTGCAGCAAACAGGTCATCAGAGCTGTTTCGGGTTGTTGGGGAGCTCCTTCACCCACCTGTGGTGGAGGAGATCTCTGACGACCCAGCAGCTCGGTGTTGCGATTTCGCACACCATTTTGCAGGCAAAGTTGCCCAGATACGTCTTGAGCTCGACTCCAATTTCATCGCAGTGCCAGAGGAGGTGACTGAGGCATCTGCTTGTCCAATTTTGTGGGATTCTTTTCGGCTTGTTCTACCTGAGACCGTGGAGGAGGTCCTTGGGGCTGTGAGGGCGACCACTTCGGCCCTAGACCCTTGCCCATCCTGGCTTATCAAATCTGCCAAGTAGGATTTGGTTGATTGGTTTGTGTGGATTATTAACGCATCGTTGGAGCAAGGGATTTTTCCATCTAATTTGAAGCAGGCTGTGGTCCGCCCACTCCTTAAAAAGCCTTCCCTTGACTCTACGGTGCTGAACAATTACAGGCCGATCTCCAACCTCCCTTTTTTGGGTAAGGTGCTGGAGCGGGTGGTCGCCCTCCAGCTCCAGGGCTTCTGTCGTGGCTCCGGTCCTTCCTGGAGGGACGAACTCAGATGGTGAAGCTGGGAGATGCCTGCTCGGATCCCTGGCCCTTGACCTGTGGGGTCCCGCAAGGCTCTATTCTTTCTCCCATGCTCTTTAACATCTACATGAAACCGCTGGGAGAGGTCATCCGGAGTTTTGGAGTTGGGTGCCATCTCTATGCAGATGACACACAACTCTACTACTCTTTTCCACCCAAATCCAAGGAGGCCTCTCGGGTGCTAGACGAGTGCCTGGCCGCTGTGTCTATCTGGATGAGGACGAACAAGCTGAAGATTAATCCCGACAAGACAGAGGTCCTCCTGGTCGATCGTAAACCAGATCGGGGTATAGGGTGGCAACCTGTGCTGGACGGGGTTACAGGTCCGTAGCTTGGGAGTCCTCCTGGATTCATCGCTCACGCTTGAGGCTCAGGCTTCGGCGGTGACCGGGAGGACTTTTGCACAACTGAGACTTGTGCGCCAGCTACGTCCGTACCTCGCAAAGGCTGATCTGGCCGGGGTGGTCCATGCCTTGGTCACCTCTAGACTGGATTACTGCAATGCGCTCTACGTGGGGCTGCCCTTGAAAACGGCTCGGAAATTCCAACTGGTCCAACGGGCAGCAGCCAGGATGTTAACTGGGGCCCTTACAGAGAGAGGTCAACCCTCCTGTTTAAGGAGCTCCACTGGCTGCCGTTTATTTTCCGAGCCCAATTTAAGGTGCAGGTGCTTACCTACAAAGCCCTGAACGGTTTGGGACCACCCTACCTGCGTGACCGCATCGCTGTCTACGAACCCACACGCTCACTCCGGTCATCTGGAGAGGCCCTGCTCGTGATCCCGCCCGCGTCACAAGCGCTTGGTGGGGACGCGAGACAGGGCCTTCTCCGTGGTGGCCCCCCGCCTCTGGAACGCCCTCCCGAAAGATCTCAGACAAGCCCCTACACTGGCAGTCTTCAGAAAGAATTTGAAAACCTGGCTGTTCCAATGTGCCTTTTCAGATTAGGAATCTCCCACTACCAAATCCCAGAAGCACTTTAGTACCAAATCACCGCACACTGCACACCGCACTTATATCATAATCCCACACCCCTCCGATACATCAGCACTTTTAACCTTGTACCCCTACTCCGGCCGACTCAGTTTTTAATAATGTCGTATTGCTATTGTTATTGTTTTTCTGCTTAACTGTTTTTATTTGCTAGAAATTGTATTGTTGTATTGTGTTGGGCTTCGGCCTATTGTGAGCCGCATCGAATCCTGCGGGAGATGCTAGCGGGGTACAAATAAAGTTATAATAATAATAATAATAATAATAATAATAATAATAATAATAATTGTGCCACAAATTACATCTGCCTGCAACAAAGAACTGGTGGGATCACAAGCCCAAAAAAGTTACAGGGAAAGAACACATCAAGCTACTCTGGGACTTCCGGATTCAGACAGACAGACTTTTGGAGCACAATACTCCTGACCTAACGACCGTGTTAAAAAAACAAAGTATGGATTGTCGATGTTGCAATCCCAGGTGACAGCAGGATTGAAGAGAAACAACTGGAAAAGCTGACATGATATGAGAATTTAAAGATCGAGCTGCAAAGACTCTGGCACAAGCCAGTCAAGGTGCCTAAAGAACTTGGCCTGCACTTAAACACAATCGGCGCTGACAAGATTACCATCTGCCCGCTGCAAAAGGCCACCTTACTGGGATCTACAAGCATTATTCGCCGAAACATCACACAGTCCTAGACACTTGGGAAGTGTCCGACGTGTGATCCAATACAACAGCCAGCAGAGTGATTGTGTCTGCTGTGGACTCACCTTGTTGTGTTTCAAATAATAATGATGATGTAATATGTAATAATAATAATAGAGTAGTGAATAATAATAAAATACTAGTTAATAATAATAATAATTCTTTATTTATATCCTGCTTTTCTCCCTCATGGAACCCAAAGCAACTTACAACATATTAAATGACCTGTCTTTGAGATTGGCACCATGATTTGTGTCCACTGCCGGGAGAATTGTTTGTCAGTTTTGGACTGTACAAAATGTAAATAAAGTACAAAAGGCCATTTCTGTGTGGAACTGAAGAAAGAGGCAGTGGAGCGAGTTATTTGAATCATTGTGAAGAGGGAGATAACGAGAGGAGCACGAAAAAAGCGATTAATGGCTTTACGATCCTCTTATCTCAGTTAATATTTCCAACAAGGGTTTTGGGCCCATCAGGCTTCCGCTGTTGGAAGAGGCTTATTGGAAGATATGGATAGGTTACATGGATAGATGTATAAATTAGATTAGACAGAGAGAGATACAAATAAAGGCCTTGACCCTTTCCCCTTTTCCTTCTACAGGAGCATCGGCGTTATCACGTACATCCTGTGAGTATTTCAGGGCATTTTGGGGATCCTTTCTTGGGGAGGGGGCTTCTAGCACAGGCCTGGGGGGCCCAGTTTGCTTGTGCTGGGTGAAATTTCGCCCCTGACGCTTGGGCATATTCCTCCCGCAGCCTCAGTGGCGCGTCTCCTTTCCTGGGTGAAACAAAGCAGGAGACGCTGACCAACATCTCAGCCGTGAACTATGACTTCGACGAGGAATACTTCAGCTCCACCAGCGAACTGGCCAAGGACTTCATCCGACGCCTGCTGGTCAAGGACCCAAAGTATGCCATTAGACCTTCACAAAGGGATTGTATCTATTATTATTATTATTATTAGAGTATTGTTAGATGCTTCTTCTTCTTCTTCTTCTTCTTCTTCTTCTTCTTCTGTTGATTTATACCCTTTTCGGGGGGGGGGGGGCTTATGGGATTCCTTTCTGACTTGAGAGCTGTTCTGGGAGATGGGAAAGGTAGAAAGAGAATCAAGAAATTATCTTTTGTATCCTTTTCAGGAAACGAATGACAATTGAGCAAAGCTTGGAGCACCCTTGGATCAAGGTAAAGGATTGCAGGCCTCACAATATTAATAATGATAGTAATCATAATAGTACCATAATTTTTTGGCCTCAATGGTAATGATGATGGTGATGATGTCCATCCAGTGGAAGAAATAAGTAAATGGTTCTGCTCACGGGAACATTTTCAGCATATTTGTGGCCTCATAGGTAATAATAATAATAATGCCTATCCATTAAAAGAAACACGCACAAGATACACAAAAGTTCAAACACAAGTCCAAAGTCTACTGGCAAATGAGGATTAAAGTTTTTATTATAATATAATATTATTTGTAATGTTTTATTATTATACTATTAATTTTTATTATATTATTATTACCTGCTGTTAGAAATTGTGGGAGTTACAGTCCAAAATACCTGGAGGGGAGGGGTGAAGCTAGATAGGTCCATAAAATTATTATGATATTATTATTATATTTTAATAACAATATAATTTTATTTTTGTTTTATATCATTATATTTTGTTAGTATATTATTTCTATAACTATATATTATTTTTAATATTTTATTGTTATATTTTAATGTTTTATACTATTATTATATTTTATATTATTTTAAAAACATTTTTATTATATTAATTATGTTATATTATTATAATATTTTTAGTATCATATAATTGTGGGAATAAAGTCCAAAACACCAAAACGCCGACGTTAGATATGTCCACAATTCCTAACAGGCAGTATATTAATAGATTATATTATAATATTATTATTATTGGCTGTTAGGAATTGTGGGAGTTGATGTCCAAAACACCTGGAGGGGCAAGGTTAGATATAATAATAATAATAATAATAATAATAATAATAATAATAATAATAATAATAATCTTTATTTATACCCTGCCTTATCTCCCCAAGTGACACGGGGCAGCTCACAACATGAATAAATAACAAAATAATAAAAATAAAATAAACCATAATACCAGTAAACGTATTAATAATAGAATTATTATCCATAAATCAAGAGTTCTTAATCCAAATCTTACCTGATTGTTGCCTGGGTCATCCTGAAGACTTTGCTTAAGCTCAGTCCTTTCCTTTCAGGCGATCAAGCGTCGCAACGTGCGCAATGAGGAGCCCAACGGCCGGCGTCCAGAGCAGCAGCGCCGGCGGCTGAAGACGACTCGGCTGAAGGAGTACACACTCAAGTCACATTCCAGCATGCCGCCCAACAACAGCTATGTCAACTTCGAGCGATTCTCCAAGGTGCTGGAGGAGGTGGCAGCAGCCGAAGAGGGCCTGCGGGCCTTGCAGCGCAGCCGGCGTGGCTTCCGGGAGGACCTGGAGGCGCTGCGTGCCATTTATGAGGACAAGGAGCTCTGGTACACGGAGGAGAGTGCGGCCGTGGGGCGCCACCTGCGTCAGATCCGCCAGGAGGCCCAGAAGGCTGAGGCCCTCAAGCGTCAGGCCCAGGAGGAGGCCCGTGGGGCCACCTTGGCCGCCAACGGCCTCAAGCGACGCTACCGCAAGCTGGAGAACCGCTACGAGGCCCTGGCCAAGCAGGTGGCCTCTGAAGTGCGCTTTGTGGAGGAGCTGGTTCGTTCCCTCGAGGCTGAGAAGGCGCAAGGAGGAGGCGGCGGTGGAGGAGGAGGAGAAGGGGAATGCGGACTCCGGTAGACCTCTAGTAGTTCTGATGCAGGCACCCGCCAACTTTGGCCCTCCCTCGAGGTGTTTTGGACTCCAGCTCCCACAACGTGGGTATGCAGATGATCCCTTGATTGACTTAAAACACCTGGAGGGCCGAAGTTGGCCCATGGCTGCTATCACCATTCTGTGGACGCATTGGGGAATGGCACCCCTTCATGTTATTGCCCTGTGGCCACATTGGAACATTACAGTTCGTGATACTTGCTTCTCAATCAAACCCAATCAAGGCGGGCAAATTTTCTATTATTATTAGGATGGTCAATGTGCTAACATTGATGTTACTATTATGGTCAACGTTGATATATTATGATGGCCAATGTTGATATTATTATTGTTGACAATATGTTTATGTTATTATGGCCAATAGGCTAACCTTGATAATAATATTATCATGGCCCATGTTAATATTCTTATTGTTGCCAGTGTACCAACGTTGATATTATTAATATTATTCTTATTATGGCCAATGGGCCAATGTTGATATTAATATTATTATGGCCAATGTTGATTTTATTATTATTGTGCCCAGTGTATCATTGTTGATATTATTATTATTATTATTATTATTATTATTATTATTATTATTATTATTATTATTATGGCCAATGGGCCAACACTGATAATATTATTATGACTAATGTTGATATTATTATTATTATTATTATTATTATTTGATACATAGCAAGATTAGTACACAGCAAACAAGATAACCATGCTGAGTTTTATGTTTGATCACGTGTCGGACACTTCCCAAGTGTCTAGGACTGTATAATGTATCGGTGAATAATGCATGCAGATCCAAGTAGGGTAGCCTTTTGCAACTGACAGATGGCAATTTTGTCAGTTCCAGTTGTTTTTAAGTGCGGGCCAAGGTCTTTGGGCACTGCACCCAGTGTGCTGATCATCACTGGGACCACCTTTATTATTATGGCCCATGTATCAACGTTCATATTATTACTATTATTGCCAACATTGATATTATTATTATTATCACCAATGTTGTTATTAATATTATTTTTATATTTATACCCCACTCTATCTCTCCCAAAGGGGACTCAAAGCAGCTTGACAAAAAAGCATTAGCATACAATTAGTGACTGAAGAGGACTTGGGTATCCCAGGAATGGCAGTGGGGGTGATTTTTTTCTGAATCGCCCACCCTACATACCATAGTCTGCTCTCCCCAGACTATACGTGGTTCCTTCTGAGTCCATGCACACAATGTGATGTTGACCAGTTTAGAACTTGACCCAAGATCTGCTGGAGTTCTTGAATTCTGTCAGAATCTTTGGCAAGTAGTAAGTTTCAATCCCTTGTGAACCCAGCTGATAGTAATTGGAGAGGCCAAACTCAATAACATGCCCCTCTTGAGTGATGGCAAGGGTAGAATAGGACCCACAGAATACGTCCTGGATGTGCCCCTTGGTCTTAGAGCCTCTCTGCTTGATGGAGACGGTTTGTAGGAGCAACATCAGCTTCAATCCTCTTCTTCCCCCTCTGATGGTGAAAACTCTGGGTACTCAGTCTAGTTGGCCAATGTCTCTGCTACCACAGGTGTAAAGGTTGCCTGCCGTAGACACCAACCCCTAGTGATAGCTTCCTGAGGCAATTTTAACTATAGATAAATATTAATATTATTATTATGGCCAATGTGCTAACGTTGATATTATTAATATTATTACAAAGGCCAATGTGCCTATGTACACCCCTTGACACCTACGGTCCACCTCCCCATAGGGCCTCCTTGCCTGTATATAATAATAATTATAATAATTATAATAAATAAAGAATATTGATGTTGTCTCTTTGAATATAATAATAATAATAATAATGTTGGCACATTATAATAAGTCCATTCTTTTCATCAGTGTTAAGACAAGAGGAGAAAGGAAAAAAACGTGCATTTCCCAGCATGAGAATGAGGAATGAGAGAAATAAGGGATTCTCTCAGCTTAACTTGATTCTGTCTGCTTCCTCACTGAGGACTGCAGACTTGAGCAGTGTGAAGTTGAATTCCAACATTATTGTGTGTGGGAGGGGTGTCTCCGTCATGGCATCATGGTTCATGGGTCTATCCCCTTGGGGTGAATAACGGGATAGAAATAAATAAAATTACATAAAATTATAAATAAATATATTATTTCTTTTTAATCACCTGTAATGGCTTCTCCTGGGAACAGATGCAGACCAAACTTCAGGAGAGAATGCTACTGGAACAGATTGGCCACACAGTCCGGAAAACTCAACAACCCAGATAGGAACGCTCTTGCCGCATTTGCAAAAAGATTTTATTTAAAGGAACTGCATTACTCTATATACGAAAATTAGAGCCTAGTGATTTAATGATCTATCTTAACTCACTGAAGCAAACATCTCGCCTCCTCTCTTCATGCTCACAGAAAAAAAAAGGATTGGTGTGGACTATAAACTTGTGCAGGGTATATAATATGAATGGTATTAATAATTGTAAACCATATTTTAATGTCTATAGTGCATTAAAGAAAAGACTGGAGGGGGTGGGGTGGGGGAGATAATGTCATTTCCTATATATATATATATATATATATACATGCCATTGGTGAAACATTTATAACAAAAAAATAAAATAAATGATTTAAAAAAATTATTTGCAATTGTTATTGCAAGATTAATATTATTTATGGTCAATGTGTCAAGGTTGATATTATTATTAATAATAATAATAATACCCTGCTTTAACTCTCCTGCAGGAGATTATTACTAGAAATATCAGTGAGCCAATATTGATGTTGTTATTATTATTATTAGAAAGAGCAATTGGCCAGTTGCTATTTGCTGCCATATTATGGCCACATCGAACATTGCATTGTATATTCTGCCCCAATTAAAGCAAGGCGGTCTCTAATGGCTGGTCCTTGTCGCCATCCTGTGGACACACTGAGGAATGATACCATTCAATACCTCCAAAAGGAATCTTCCATTCGAATCAAGGGTCTTTGCTACCTTGTGTGACCAAAAAGGAACATTGCAGTCCTATCTGGTTTAATATTAATAATAATAATAATAATAATAATAATAATAATAATAATAATAATAATGGTTTGCATGGCAAGTTTCATCCAGATCCATTGCCGTTCGGATTCTCACTGTTCTGTGAACTACAACTCCCTTTTTCTATCGGCCAAGCAGGTTCAGTATGCCGCCCAAGTACAAACACTGACTTTTATTATAGACTAGCTTAGGTGCCTGGCGATGCTCTGGTTAGGTAATTTGTACTTCTTAGATGAAATCAGTCTTTTCTTTTTAACTACGCTCCCGTCAGACAATTTATAACGATGTGGGTGAACCAGGACTCCCAAAATTGTGGGTCAATCCTCCCCAGCGCTGGTCACATTGGGTCTGTGTGCCAAGTTTGGTCCAGATCTGTCCTCAGCTGAGTTCATAGAGCTCTCTGGATGCAGGTGAACTACAGCTCCTAGATGGCAAGGGTAATTCCCCCAAAACTCCACCAGTGTTCACAGTTGGTCATGTTGGGTCTGTGTACCAAGTTTGGTCCAGATCCATTTTTGGTGGGCTTCAAAATGCTCTCTGGATGCAAGGTGAACTAAAACTTACAGAAGGCAAAATCGGTTCTTCTCCCCCCCCCCCCCCCCCCCCCCCCCCCCCCCCCAACCCCTCTAGTATATTCAGTTGATCATGGGGGTTCTCAGTGCCCTTTTGGTCCAGATCCGTCACCTGCTGTGTTCAGTGTTCTCTGAATACAGGTGAACTATAACTCCCAGATGCCATGGTCAATCACCTTCAAATCCTGCTGCTATTCACAGTTGGCCATGTTGGATCTGTGTGCCAAGTTTGGTCCAGATCCGTTGTCAGTGGGCTTCAGAGTACTCTCTGGATACAAGGTGAACTACAACTGAAAAGCAAGGTCAATTTTTCCCCTAAGCCCCTCTAGTATGTTCAGTTGGTCATGGGGGTTCTCTGTGCCAAGTTTGGTCCAGGGTTGGTTGGGTTCACATTGCTCTCTGGATGTAGATGAACTACAACTCCTATAAATCAAGGTCAATTCCCCCAAAAACCTGGTCTTCTGCAGTCAGAAGAAACAAACCAAGCTGGACTAGATCACTGGAAACAAGGAACGCAAGAAAGAGTGTTTTTTAATAGGATTGGAAACAGGTCGACTAGGAATGCAAAGGATGTTTGGGAATGTGGCACAAATCTGAAAACCGTGGCCTGTGACATAATTGCTGAGAAAAGTAATTTAGGTTTTTCTTTTGGGATGTCGCCCCCATGGATCTGCACGTTCGCCTTAGAAGCTTTTCAGGGAGGAAGAAAGAGAAAATACAATTATTATTATTATTATTATTATTATTATTATTATTATTATTCCAAATTATCTCTCTCCCATTATTATTTGGGTTCTGAATTCTCTGTCCTTTACCTCAGTCATATTATTATTATTATTATTGGTCCTGAATTCTCTCCTTTCCCTCAATTATATTGTTATCATTATTATCATTATCGTTATTGTTATTATGGGCCAGCTTTAGCACATCAGGTTAATCACCAGCTGCAGCTGCAGTAAGTCTTGCCAACCAGAAGGTTGACAGTTCAAATTTGAGTCAGGGTGAGCTCCTGACCTTCAGTTCAGCTCCCTGCCCACCTAGAAGATGGAAAACAGCAGTGTGTGTAGAGGAATAGGAACCATATTAAGCAGGGAGGTATTTTAGGCATGGCGTTTCAGAGGAAAGTTCACAAACAAAGAAAGCTCTTTAGCAAGGAGATGGAGCGACAGCACCCCCCTTGTGGCCAGAACTGAGCACAGCCTCCAAAAGATGCCAGATGATGAGAAAAACCGTATATATATACCTCTATCTGTTATCTGTCTTCTCATTGTTTAATCAGCAATGAATGTTTGCCATATATGTGTTCTGTGATCTGCCCTGTGTCCCCTTCAGGGTGAGAAGGTTGGAATATAAATACTGTAAATAAATAAATTATTGGTTCTAAATTCTCTCTCTTTCCTCAATCATATTATTATTATTATTATTATTATTATTATTATTGGTTCTGAATTCTTTCCCTTCCCTCGATTTATTTATTTATTTATTTATTTATTTCATTCCCATACCACTTTTCTCACCCCTGGGGGGACTCAACAAATGGCGAAATTCAATGCCTCACATAAACGTAAAATACATCACACATCTAAAATAATATATAACTGTAAATTAAAACCATTAAAATTATAAAAAATCAGACATAGACATAAAACATAGAACATTAGACATTGCACCAGTTCTGAGGTTGTCATTTAACTGCTTCATTTCACTCCCCGAATGCTTCCTTTAAAAGCCAAGCTTTAAGTTGTCTTCTAAATGCCAGAAGGGAGGGAGCCAATCTAATCTCTCTGGGGAGAGAGTTCCACAGCCAAGGGACCACCATCGAGAAGGCCCTGTCTCTTGTCCCCAGCAGTTGTGCTTGTGAGGGCGGTGGGACCAAGAGCAGGATCTCCCCAGCCAATCTTAGCGTTCTAACTAACTCATAAAGAGAAATAAGTTTGAACAGGTAAGCTGGGCCAGAACCATTTAGGGGTTTATAGGCGAAAGCCAGCCCTTTTATGGGCAAAAGCCGGCACAATTGTGCTCAGTAGGAAACCAGTAGCCAGTGGAGCTGACACAACAGGGGGGCACTCTGGTGGGAAGCACGGCTGCTGCTCATTGGACTACTTGAAGTTTCTGAACAGTCTTCAAAGGAAACCCCACATAGAGTGTGTTGTAGTAGTCTATTTGAGATGTAACAAGAGCGTGCACCACTGTGGCCAAGTCTAGCTTCTCAAGGTACAGGTGAAACCAGTGCACAAGTTTTAATTGTGTAAAAGTTCCCCTCGCCACTGTTGAAACCTGAGGTTCCAGGCTCAGCAATGCATCCATGTAAACTCCCAACCCTGTTCGACCTTGCAACTGACCAGAAGTACCTCTGTCTTGTTTGGATTCATGACAATGGCTGTGGGGTCGGTGTCCCCCAGCAACACCTTCTGAGAATGACCCTCCAGGAAGGACCGGAGCCACTGCAAAACAATGCCTCTGAGCCCCATTCCCATGAGGTGTTTCAGAAGGATACCATGGTTGACAATATCAAAAGCCAGTGAGAGGTCCAGGAGAACCAACGCCAGTGCAAAAGCTGAGGTCCAAAGAAGGACAAGAGAACTCAAGAACATCTGGTGGACAAAGAAGGCTGAAGAAATTCAACACCTGGCAGATACCCATGATGCTCAGGGATTTTTCAAAGCCACAAAGGTCATCTATGGACCAAGAAACCATGGCATACAGCCTCTACGCTCATCAGATGGAACCAAACTTCTGAAGGACAAAAAATCAATTGCACTACGTTGGAAAGAACACTACCAAAGCCTCCTGAATCGCAGCGCCAATGTGGCTGAAGAGGTTCTCTCACAAATCCCGCAACAACAAACCAGGGATGAGCTTGCAGCACTGCCTAGTATGGAAGAAGTCAACAATGCCATCAGCCAACAAAAAAAAAAACAAAGCCAGCGGACCTGATGGGATCCTTGCTGAAATCTTTAAAGAGGGAGGACCTGAGCTGACACACCAACTCCACCAGCTCATTGAAAAAGTGAGGGTGACCGAGAAAATCCCAGCAGATTTCAAGGATGCCACCATCATCACCCTCTTCAAAAAAGGGGAAAGAACAGACTGCTGAAACTATAGAGGTATCTCCCTTCTAACCTCAGTTGGGAAAATCCTGGCAAGAATCCTTGCAAACCGCCTTCTGCCCCTCTCAGAAGACACCCTCCCAGAATCCCAGAACGGGTTCCGCGCCTCCAGAGGAACCGTGGACATGATCTTCACTGCACAACAGCTCCAAGAAAAATGCAGGGAACAAAACCAACCTCTGTACATGGCATTTATTGACCTCACAAAGGCATTCGACACAGTGAATCGCAGCACTCTCTGGACCATCCTCCAAAAAATTGGGTTCCCAAACAAATTTGTGAACATCCTGCGGCTCCTCCATGATGACACGATGGCAACAGTCCTGGACAGCAATGGTTCCCAAAGTGACCCATTTAAGGTGGAATCAGCTGTCAAACAGGGATGTGTTATTGCCCCAACTCTATTTTACATCTTCATCACTATGATACTTCACCTTGTTGACGGGAAGCTTCCCACTGGAGTGGAAGTCATCTATCAGACAGAAGGCAAGCTGTTTAACTCAGCAGACTGAAAGCCAAAACCAAAGTTACAACAACATGTGTTATAGAACTCCAGTATGCTGATGACAATGTCACCTGTGTGCATTCAGAAGAAGACCTGCAAGCTACTCTTTGCAGAAGCATACGAGAAGCTCGGCCTGTCATTAAACACTGAGAAAACCAAAGTGCTCTTCCAGCAGTCACCAGCCAATCCCTCTCCAATGCCAGAGATACAGCTTAATGGTGTAGCATTAGAAAATGTTGACCATTTCCGCTACCTTGGCAGCCACCTCTCCACCAAAGTCAACACTGACACCGAAATTCAACACCGCCTGAGCTCTGCGAGTGCAGCATTTTTCCGAATGAAGCAGAGAGTGTTTGAGGACCAGGACATCCGTAGGGATACCAAGGTGATTGTTTATAAAGCTATTATCCTCCCAACCCTGCTATATGCCTGCGAGACATGGACAGTCTACAGACGTCACATTCCGCTGCCTCCGGAAAATCCTGCAAATCTCCTGGGAAGACAAGCGGACAAATGTCAGCGTGCTGGAAGAAGCAAAGACCACCAGCACTGAAGCGATGATTCTCCGTCATCAACTCCGCTGGACTGGCCATGTTGTCCGGATGCCCGACCACCGTCTCCCAAAGCAGTTGCTCTACTCTGAACTCAAGAACGGAAAACCGAATGTTGGCGGACAGGAAAAGAGATTTAAAGATGGGCTCAAAGGCAACCTTTAAAACTCTGGCATAGACACTGAGAACTGGGAAGCCCTGGCCCTTGAGCGCTCCAGTTGGAGGTCAGCTGTGACCAGCAGTGCTGCAGAATTTGAAGAGGCACGAATGGAGGGCAAAAGAGAGAAACGTGCCAAGAGGAAGGCGCATCAAGCCAACCCCGACTGGGACCACCTTCCACCTGGAAACCGATGCCCTCACTGCGGGAGAAGATGCAGATCAAGAATAGGGCACCACAGCCACCTGCGGATCCACCCCCAGGTTACCACTCTTGGAGGACCATCATCCTCGGACTACGAGGGATTGCATAAGTAAGGAAGTAAGTAAGTAAGTAAGCACTCCCCCTGTCCACTTTTCTGCATAGATCATCCACTAGTCGATCAATTATTATTATTATTATTATTATTATTATTATTATTATTATTATTATTATTAGAAACACAACAAGATGAGTCCACAGCAGACAAGATCACGTTGCTGGCTGTTGAATTGGATCACACGTCAGACACTTCCCAAGTGTCTAGGACTGTGTGATGTATTAGTGAATAATGCTTGCAGATCCCAGTAAGGTAGCCTTTTGCAGCTGGCAGATGGTAATTTTGTCAGCGCCGATTGTGTTTAAGTGCAGGCCAAGGTCTTTAGGCACTGCACCCAGTGTGCCGATCACCACTGGGACCACTGTTACTGGCTTGTGCCAGAGTCTTTGCAGTTCGATCTTTAAATCCTCATATCGTGTCAACTTTTCCAGTTGTTTCTCTTCAATCCTGCTGTCACCTGGGATTGCAACATCGACAATCCATACTTTGTTTTTTAATATGATTGTTGTTGTTGGTGGTGGTGTTGTTGGTGTTACTGTAATTATTATTGGTTCTGAATTTTCTCTCTTCCCTCGATAATATATTATTACTGTAACACATCCCACTTCCATTGGAGAAGCAGAATCCATTCCAAGTTTTGCCCAAACTGCCAGATCCCATGAGGAATGAATGAGCTTCAGCGCCTTAGAAAACTCGGACCGGATAAATATGACTGTCTGCTCATTGCTGTTGGCTTGATGCTCCCCACTCCCGCCACCATCATCCACACAATCTACCTTGAGATCCGGCAGTCCCGCGTGTCGGCATAGGTCCCCGCGTAGGTGACATCGCAACGCACTATGTTGTTGGTGAAGTCTGACTCGTCCACCAGGAAATCCGGGTTGACCGTCACCTTTGGAGGAAAGAAACTGTTGCTCATTCCTCCTCCTCTTGGGATGATAGGTGTGTAGTCCCTCCCCAAAAGTTTTTACCTTGAGGGTGTAGTTTCCCGGAGGGACATCAGTGATATCGATCCATTGGCAATCAATGTTGGCGTGGTAGGTGTCATAGCATCCGGGGCCCAGGCCCTTCAGGGAAAGAGAAAAGTGCTATGTATGGTTGCCAACTGAAATAAGACAGAAGGCTCCTCTGCTTTTATCTACTGCAAAGCATATTTAAGTGTGAGCTTTTCGCATTGCAAGCGTCCTTAGCCCAAATGGCATGTCTTTGCTACCAAAGAGGCCCTTCGAGGAGAGTAAAAAGGGTCAGGATGGTTGCCAACTAAAGTAAAATAGAAGGCTCCTCCACCTCAATCTGTTAAACAGTACACTTTGCTTGAGAGCTTTGAGCATCTCAAATGACCCTTAGCCCAAATGTGAAAGGGTGGGTATGGTTGCCAACTAAAACAAAACAGAAGTCTCCTCCGCCTTTATCAATTCAATAGCCTACTTTTCGTGTGAGCTCTTGGCATCTTGAGCAAAACTTGACTCAATGGGAAAGCAGTAGTTACGCTTGCCAGCTAAAACAAAATAGAAGGCCCCTCTGCCTTTATCAGTTGCACAGCATATTTTGTAATCTTTCTCTCATCTATCTATCTATCTATCTATCTATCTATCTATCTATCTATATATCTATCGTCTATCTATCTATCTATCTATCTATCTATCTATCTATCTATCTATCTCTCATCTGTCTATCTCATCTATAATTATAATTATAATAAATAAATAAAATTTTATTTATACCCCAGCACCATCTCCCCAAGGGACTCGGAGCGGCTTACATGAAGCCAAGCCCAACAACACATCAATAAAACAGGAAAGCAATAAACAAAACAATACAATGCAATACAAATTACTATAAATCACATATAACAATAACACACAAGGATTTAAAAACCTATGGCCTATCTCTCATTTATCTATCTCCTTCACCTTTATCTGTTGCACTGTAGACTTTGCTTTGTGAGCTCTTGGAACTGCAAGTCCCAACAGCATGGCTTTCCTATTCAGCCATGGAATGCACAGGAGCCTCAGCTGTCCTGAGACTTGGCAAACCCCAAAGGAAAGGCTCACCTGTGTGTGTGCGGTGCAGGCGTAGCGCCGGCGGACCCTGGGGTCGCAGGTGGTGTCCTCCAAGCAAAAGCTGGCCTTGTGCCCTTGGGCCACCTTCTCTCCAGAGGAAGCGTCCAACAGGTCATAATGGCTGAAGGCCTCCATGCTGTGGAAGTGCCTACCCAAAGAGGCACCCATGGAGATCAGCAATGCATTCCAAGAGATGGCCACCAAAAGATGCAAGATCTCTAGCTACACTACTTAACACACAGACACACACACACAATATTTATGTATATCCCTTTTTCCTATCTTAAAAGAGACTCAATTCGGCTAACAATACTCTCTCTCTCTCTCTCTCTCTATATATATATATAGGACAATAATAGCTAAAAAGAATACAATATACATACACAAAGTATATAAATGTACACACATACAGACACACATGTACATACACATAAATATAAATGCACACATATGTATATATATGCAGACATATATACATGGACATCTATCGATCTATCTGTATGTCTTTGTATCTTGGTATATATAAAATGTGGGCCAGAAGTCACAAATCTATGTAGGTAGGTAGGCAGGTAGGTAGGTAGGTAGGTATGCTTCTGTCTCTGTCTATCTATCTATCTATCTATCTATCTATCTATCTATCTATCTATCTATCTATCTATCTATCTATCTATCTCAGATCTATCTATCTATCACTTACTCATTTATCTATTACTCATCTATCTGCCTAGTTCATCTCTCCCTCTCTCTCATCTATATGTTTATCTATTGCTCATCTATCTATCTCTCATCTCTCAATCACTATCTATCTATCTATTTTTGTATCTATCTCTCATCTATATCTATCATCTATCTATCTATCTATCTATCTATTTCTGTATCTATCTCTCATCTATATCTATTCATCTATCTATCTATTTCTGTATCTATCTCTCATCTATATCTATCATTCATCTATCTATCTATCTATCTATCTATCTATCTATCTATCTATCTATCTATCTATTTCTGTATCTATCTCTCATCTATATCTATCATTCATCTTTCTATCTATCTATCTATCTATCTATCTATCTATCTATCTATCTATCATCTACTGTATCTATCTGTCATGTATCTTTATCTATCTCTATTATTTACTGATCTCTCATCTATCTAACTCATCTATCTATCTAACTATCTATCGTCTCTCTTTCTATCTCTCTTTTTTCTTTCTTTCTTTCTTTCTTTCTTTCTTCTATAGCTATCTCTCGTCTATCTATGTACCTACCTACCTATCTATCTCATTTATCCTATCTATCTATCTATCTATCTATCTATCTATCTACCTATCTATCTCTGAAGGTGGCCCAGCAATAGATATGTCTGCATGTGAACCCATGGCCCGCAGGCCGTTTGCTGCCTCACTGGTGGCAGGCGTGCCACTCCCAGGCCTGGCGCGGCTTGACCGGGAGGAAGTCGGCCGTCCCTTGGTTCTTGACCCGTTGTGGGAAGCGGAGAAGGACCCGGTAGCTGAGTGGGCTCACTCCAGGACTGTAGGCCGATCTGAAGAAAGAATGAAAGGGAGAAAGAGATAAAGAAAGTACAAAAGAGAGCGAGAAAGAGGAAGAATGAAAGAAAAAACAGAAGGGAGAAAGAGCAAAAGAGAGAGAGAGTGAAAGGAGAAATCAAATAGAAAAAGAAAGAATGAAAGAAAGAAAGAAAGTGGAAGAAAAAGGAAGAAAGCAAGAGAGAGAGAGAGAGAGAGAGAGAAAGGGAGAAAGAAAGAGGAAAATAAAGAAAGAAGGAAAAATGGAGAAAGAAAGGAAAGGAAGAAAGAAAGAATGAGAGAAAGAAGGAAAGAAAGAGAAAAAGAATGAATGAATGAAAGAGAGAAAGAAAGAAAGAAAGAAAGAAAGAAAGAAAGAAAGAAAGAAAGAAAGAAAGAAAGAGCAAAAAAGAAAGAAAGGGAGAAAGTAAGAAAGATTAGAAATGTATTGCTATTGTGGACTCCTCCACCTTCTCCCTTTTTTATGCTTTTAAATTGTCCCGATTTCTTCCCACTTTCCCCCTTTGTCCTCAGCCAACTTCTATGGCGTTGTCCTCAGCCGACTTCCAAGGACTTTGAGTTTGAATCACACTTTCTCATCCTCAAAGGAAGGTAAATATCAACCTGTCTTGTGAGTCGAAAAACCACGTTTCCATTGGAAGTGGTGGATAATGTGTGTTGTAATCCGAAAAAGTTACCTTTCCAGAGTGTAGAGATTGTAGTGGACAGTCTCTGAAATCCATATTCCCTGTGTGAAAGGCAAGGATGGAAAAGCCAACATTTCCAAGCTCAGCATGACTAACAAGGGGGGTTCTGGGCTTTGTAGTCCTTCAAATGGAAAGTCAGGAGAAAGTCTGGATGGAAACTTTTTTGTTGTTGTTTCCTTTTCAAACGTCCATTCATAGCACCAGCAAACAAGCAAAGGCTGTGAACTTTGGTTTTTGTGAAGCTGGCTTTGTTTCAGATATTTACAGGGAAAATAGGAAATTCTTTTTGGCACTCCCACTGGATTTGGCCAGTGGAAACCAACAAAAATATTATTATTATTATTATTTTGAGGAAGAATGGATGAAGGCGGGAGGTTACTCTCCTTCATGCTAAAATAATAATAATAAATCCTTGCTTTGGGTTTTAGTCTGAATAGTTATTATTAATACTAATAATAATGATTAATAATAATATGCTCTGGGTTTTAGTCTGAACTTTAAATGATTGTTGTTGTTGTTGTTGTTGTTGTTATTATTATTATTATTAATATCACGCTTCTTCTCTCCCAAAGGAGGCTCAATGTATTTTCTCTCTGTCCACCCTTTTGCTTCTCCTTTAAGGTTCGGACTAAATCCCAGAATGGATCTGCCAACCCCTAGCTCTGATGAAGCTTGGTAAGACATTCCTTTATTAAAATATTATTATTAATAATAATAATGCATATAAAGTAGGAATGAAGTTAACTTTATGTTATGGACTTTAAGCTATTTCCGTGCCTACCTCGCAAGGCAATTTTCCTCGGCGGCACACTCCAAAGCGTAAAGCTGGACCCGCTGGACATAGGTAGACGCTTGGATGAAATACGGATCTGGGATTAAGTCTGGAAGGCCTGGAAAAATAAGATAATAATAATAATATCAATAATAATAATAATAATAATTCTTACTTTCTTCCTGTCCAAACTCAAGGCAGGTCACAGCGTAGTCAGAATAGACAAGACCATTGAAATACATATAATTTAATGAGATGTCTTAGAGATACCGTAGGTGAAATCAAAGTAGGAAGGACTCACCATAACTCACCATCCCCTGCTCAATACAGGTTGATCATCCCAAACCTGAAGAATTTGGTATGTCAGAGGTGATAAAACTTTTACATATAAATAAATAACTTGGAGATTGGTCCCAAGTCTAAGATAGGAAGGACTCTATAACCCAGAATCCCCTGATCAATACAGGCTGAGCATCCCAAACTCTCCAGATTTCAAAATACTTGCCTTGCTCTAAACATTCATCATGGGGTATCTTGGAGATGGGACCCAAGTCTAAGAGAGGGAGAAGCTGGAGAAGGAAAGACTCAATAACCCATCACCTCCTGATCTATACAGGTTGAGCACCCCAAACTTAAAGCGTTTGGGATGTCAGATGTAACCATAAAAAATATCACAGAGATTGATCCCAAGTCTAAGACTTGAGAAGGAAGGACTCCATATCCCATCGTCCCCTGACCAATACAAGCTGAGCATATAATTTTTTTAAAGTTTTTTTTCTTGTGTTTTTTACATTTGTTCTTATTCTCTATTTGCCTTTACAACTTTCCTACTTTTCTATCCTCTTGAAAATATTCTCCCACTTTCACTGTAATTTACAATACTTTAATAAAAACTATTTCCAAAAAAAAACAAAAACCCAAGCTGAGCATCCCAAACCTGGTGAGTTTGAGATGTCACATTTCGGGAAACCTATACATGTGAATAAATGAAATATTAATAATACTAATACTAATAATAATAATAGCTTTCCTACGAGCCCCCCAAAAGTCTCTTTGGGGACTCCCTTACTCACCGTGATGGAAGTAATGGGTCCCATATCCAGGCCGGGATTGGGATCCTAGCTGCAAATTGGGGTATGCGTCGTAGAAGACGCTGTTGCGGGGATCTTGAGGCTCCGCTCTGGCCAGACTCCTGCTTGAAGGACCTCGGGGAGTTTGGGGTCCCCCCTGAACGGGGACCGGGGAGCCATCTATTTCATTTATCACCCCAAATGGGGTCGGGTTAGCCCCTGCGGTGGGGACAAGGGACCCTGAATTCCCCTCGCCTGAGGCTTGGTCTTCAATGGGCCTGAGGGCTGTTTGTGGCCTGTTCCCAGACCTGTTGGGGCTCATGCGGAGGAAGAGCCTTTGGACCAATCCGGGGGGCCCTTGGAAGGGCCCAGCCATGTTGAGGAGCCGATGGAGGTGACCCCCGCTGGCCCAGCGGATCTCCTGCACCCCCTTGGTCCCCTCCACCATCAGCATCAGGACCAGCCACAGGCATCCCGGTAGCCCCATGGCTGTCCCAGAGACAGGATGGAGAGAGTGTGAGAAGGGGGGAAAGGACAGCATGAAGGAGAAGAGGAGGAGGAGATTGAGGACGACCCATCACTTTCCTCCCATAGAGGGCACCTGACCTGATTTGCCCCTCCTCCTTACTCCCTCCTTTCCTCCAACATCCCTCCATCAAGGCTTTTCTTTCTTTCTTTCTTTCTTTCTTTCTTTCTTTCTTTCTTTCTTTCTTTTCCTTTGGCCATGCTTCACTCAGACGCCAATCTACTGCGCCAAGCAGTCTATAACCACCCCCCTCTTACTTATCTGTCCGTCCATCCATCCATCCATCTATCTATCTCTCAGTCTCTTTGTCGTTATCCTGCTTCTCTCTATCCATTCATCTACCCATCTATCTATCATATATCTATTAATCGATCCATCCAGATATCTATCTATCTATCTATCTATCTATCTATCTATCTATCTATCTATCTATCTATCTATCTATCTATTCTGTTTCTATATTGTTTGCACTCCATCTTTTTGCCAAGCAATCTATATCCTGCTTCCCCCTCTCAATTTATTTCCCCCATCCATCCATCCATCCATCCATCCATCCATCCATCCATCCATCCATCCATCCAATCTATTTATTAATCTATCTGTCTGTCTGTCTGTTTAGATGTCCATCTATGTATCTATGTATCTATGTATCTATGTATGTATGTATGTATCTATCTATCTATCTATCTATCTATCTATCTATCTATCTATCTATCTATCTATCTATCTAGGTGTTTAAGACCATCAAGGGCTGCTGTAATGTGATTTTACATGCTTTTATGGTTATAACCTGGATTGTTTTAATATTTATGTTGTTTAATACTGTTTTAATATTTGTATACTTGTTTAATTTTAGTTGTATTGAAATGCTTTTAGTTGTGAGTCGCTTTGAGTCTCCATATAGAGAGAAAAAGCGGGATATATATAAACATAATAATAATATCTATCATCTATCCATCTATCTATCATCAATCCATCCATCAACTTATCTATCTATAATTGATCTATCTATTTAATCTTTCTATCTATCATCTATCCATCCATCCATCCATCCATCCGTCCATCCATCCATCCATCCATCCATGTATGCATCTGTTTTTGCTTTTAGTAATTTCTTTCTGTCACCTCCTTCTTCGGAAATCTTAAACCAGAAATTAGATGGGTCTCTTTCAAGAGAGGTCTAATTTTGTCTTCCTACCTGACAGAAGCTGCCCTTTGGGTGCCCCTCTTGATTCTATCTCCTGCTTCTTCTTCTCTCCACCTGTCTGCCTATCCATCATATCCCCCCCCCCCCATCCCATCTCATTGCCCAAAAAACAACCTTGCAGGGCTGTCGTCATGCTGGGTTCTCTCCTGGTAAATTTCCTTCCTTGCGCTTGGACCTTTCTCTCCCGGCTGGGACAATATTTGCCTGCTTGCCTTGGGATGGCTAAAAATAAAGGTCAATATTTGGCATCAGCCACAGTCTGGAATGTGCCATTTGCTGTGCCAATATTTGGTGACACAGGGAGGGACCCATTACTTTTTAAAAATAAAAATATGGAAATTTTTTGGCTGGAAGAAACCAGGAGTCAGAATTGGAACCTCATCTTTATCACCCTATAATATATATGTGTGCATCGTCATTTGAGTTCACTGTGCTCTCTGGATGTAGGTGAACTAAACTCCCCCAAATCAAGGTGAATTCCCCCAAAGCTCTCCAATATTTGTTGCTGGTGCCAAGTTAGGTCTAGGTCCATCTTAGGTGGGGTTCAGAGTGCTCTTTGATTGCAGGTGAACTTTAAATCCCAGTACCTACAACTCCCAAATGTCAAGGCCAATTCCCCCAAACCCCACCAGTATTCAAATTTGGGCATATCGGGTGTATGTGCCAAGTTTGGTCAAGATCCATTGTTCTTTGGGTTCACAGTGCTCTCTGAAAGTGAGCTACAACTCCTATAATTCAAGGTCACTTTGTATTTCTCATTGGTCACGGGGAATCTGTGGTCATGAGGGTTCTCCATTGCTGGTGGAGGTCACAGTGCTCTGTCTTGATGCAGAGTGAACTACAACTTCATGTTGAGTCAGTCCCGCAAACCCCTCCAGTATGTTCAGTTGCTGATCAATTCTCTGTTGCTGTAAACCATAGAAAATAGTAGGAAAAGGGTTATAGGAGAGGCATTGGGAGGGATCATTTATTTATTATTTATTTCCGGTGTTTCTATCTCGTCTCTTCTCTACCACCGAAGGGGGACTCAGGACGGCTTACATATAGTAGCGATGCAATGCCGCTACATAACAATTATAATAGTAAAATCACAATTAAATACAAACAGCAATCATTAAAACAGTAAATACATAAAACCATAAAACAGTATCGCAATATCAGCCGTAACTTCATTCCAGTCCATATCCAGCTACAGTGCTCCTTATGTCTATTGTCTGAAAGCCTGGTCCCAAAACCATGATTTTAATTTTTTTCTGAAGGCCAAGAGGGATGGGTCGATCTTATCTCATTAGGGAGTGCGTTCCATAGGCGGGGGGCCACGGCTGATCATGCAAATTCCATACTAATGGAGAGAGTCAGAAACACTGGGATGACTGTGCTGGAGGAAACACATGAAATCTAGGATGAAATGGTCCCCGTATGAAAGTCTTCACTTTGGTGGTTGGCAATACAGTGTTTGTGAAGGACGTTGACAGGACTTGGGCTACATGTTAATGGCGCTCACTACAACCTGCAATGTCATTGAAGGGAGGGCCACTGGTATCTCCTGAGCAGTGGGAGCTATAGCTGTTTGTGGAGGCAGGAGCTTATCTGTGTAAGTAGACACCCCAGCCACACACACATACATACTTATTTTCATTTTTTGTGTGTGTATAAATCTTTATCATCCCTATAGTATAATATATATTATATACTAGCTTTACCTGCCACGCGTTGCTGTGGCCAACCTTCTCTCCCTTTCTCTCCTTCTTTCAGTCCTTCCTTCATTTCCTTTTCTTCTTTCCTTTCTTCCTTCTCTACCTGTTTACTTCCTTCCTTAGCTTTTTGCTCCCATCCTTCCTTCTCTTTATTTCTTTCCTTCCCTCCCTCTTTCTCTCCTTCTTTCTCTTCTTCCTTTGCTCCGTCTTTCCTCCCTTCCCTTTTTTCTTTCCTTCTCTCCTCCTTCCTTCTCTTCCTCTTTCCTTCCTCCTCCCTTTTTATTTTCCTTCCTCTTTCTCTCCTTTCTTCCCTCTCTATCTCTTTCCTTCCTTCCTTCGCTCTTGACTTCCAGTCTTCCTTTTCTTTCTTTCTTTTCTTCCCTCCCTTTCTCTTCTTCCTTCGCTTTTTTCCCTCTCTTCCCCTTCCCAAATTCCCCTTCCTTCCTTCCTTCCTTCCTTCCTTCCTTCCTTCCTTCCTTCCTTCCTTCCGTCCTTCCTTCCTTCCTTTTGACACCTTCCCTTCCCCTTCCCTTTCTTCTTTTTTCTATCTTTCTTTCCTTTCCTCCTTCCTTCCTTTCTCCCTTCTTTCCCATCCTCCTTCTCTCCCTTTCTTCTTTCTTTCCTTCCTTTATTCTTTCATATATCTTCTCAACTTCTCCTTCCTTACTTCCTTCATACACCTTCCCTTCCCTCCTTTCTTCTTCCTTCCTTCCTTCCTTCCTTCTTCCTTCCTTCCTTCCTTCCTTCCTTTCTCCCTTCTTTCCCATCCTCCTTCTCTCCCTTTCTTCTTTCTTTTCTTCCTTTCTTGTTTCATATACCTTCTCAACTTCTCCTTCCTTCCTTCCTTCCTTCCTTCCTTCCTTCCTTCCTTCCTTCACCTTCCCTTCCCCTTCCCACTTTTCTTCTTTCTTTCCTTCTTTCCTTCCTTCCTTCCTTCCTTCCTTCCTTGCTATTTACACCCCTCCCCCTCATTTCCGTCCTTCCTTCCCTCTCCCGCTTCCTCCCCTCCTTCCCCTTCCTCACCAATGGCGGAGCCAGACGGCGGTGTGCGGGGGCGGCCAGGGCTGGGCGTTGCGGTGGCCGATGGGCTGTCCTCGGCAGAGCCAGGCCGCAGCCTCTCCCGGCCGGGCCAGGAAGGCGCGCAGCAGGGGCCTCCCAGGCAGTCTCCGCTGGTCGCGCAGCATCCTGGCCCCCACCGAGCACAGCCGGCCGAGCTCCAACTCCCAGGCCAGGGCTTCAGCGTCAGTGGGTAGGCCGCGTTCTAGAACTACAGTTCCCAGGGTGCATTGCGTGTGTACTTCCTCCCCTGGGCACTGCGCATGCTCAGTTGGTTTTTGTAATTGTGAGTTTGTTGAAATGTTGTTTGGAATTTTGATGAGTGTTGTGCATACCTTGTGGGTTGAGGTATGTGCACGGCAAATTTGGTGAGTTTTCGTCGGGGTTTTTTCGCGTTTTGCTGTCCCGTTGAACGCCCTTTCCCTTTTTATATATATAGATTATAATATAATATAATATAATTTATAATACGTATAATAATCCCTATAATATAATTCCCTTTCCCTGACCAGAATAATAATAATAATAATAATAATAATAATAATAATAATAATAATAATTGCAAAAGACAAAGAGGGAATACCGTAAAAACACAATCCAGAGCAGAAGAGAAAACTGGCGAAAGAAGGCTCTCCATGGACAGTTCCTGGGAAAAATTGAGAGCCAAATTGACAAAGAAAAAACATGGCTGTGGCTCACAAATGGAACTTTGAAAAAGGAGACGGAGGGCCTGATTCTGGCAGCCCAAGAACAAGCCATTAGAACAAATGCCATCAAAACCAGAATTGAAAAGTTGATGACAGGTCCCAAATGTAGACTCTGCAAGGAAGCAGATGAAACAATAGATCACATCCTGAGCTGCTACAAGAAGATTGCGCAGACAGACTACAAGCAGAGGCACATCACCGTTGCTCAGATGATTCATTGGAACTTGTGCCACAAATTACATCTGCCTGCAACAAAGAACTGGTGGGATCACAAGCCCAAAAAGGTTACAGGGA